AGAGGGGGGAGCGGTGAGCTGCTGAAGTGGTGAGTGGAGCATCATAAGGATGCATGTTATTATAGGCATGATGTTGGTATTGGCAGATAATAGCTTGGCGGTATAGATATGAAAATTTCAGTCAATATGGCGACACATTAATCATGCACCAGTGATGACATCTTATGTGCTATCAATGTGCTTCAACATGCTGCTTGTTTGGAAGTATTTTGAGGTAGTGGAAACAGACAGCAGGCACATTACTGAGAGAATATCATTTATGATAAAATCACATGTTGTTTGTCATCTTTTACATCCACTTCCCTTATAAATAGACCGTTGCGATAAATGCTAAAGACGTGGTCTTCTTTATAATGAAAGAAAAAGTAGGTGTGTTCCAGTTTTGGCCTAAACAAGAGTGAACATGTGACATCAGGAAACATCCAACTTCATGCAAAATGAGAAAATATTCTGCATACTTCTGTATAAGGCTGGGCGATAAGGGAAAAAGTTTATCGCTATATATTTTTTTTCATATCAGTCGATATTGATATGTATCACAAAATAAAAAAATTGTCAATCTTAAATGTTCCTTGTTACTCTTAAACAAAATTTAACATGTACTCGATATAATTTGCAGTGCACATTACTCTGCTTCATGTCCGACCTCAAAAAAAAAAAACCTCCACACCACCAAAGTTTTTGTGCCAGTGTTGTTGACGATGTCTTCATCTCTTGAGCCTTCATCTGCATTTCTGCCAGGGGTTAGCACTCATTTTCTTTTCACATGTTAAAGTGCTATGGTTGCATGTAGCTGCAGCCTGCTACTGCACAGTTGTTTGCTACTTGGTTCTAATTCAGCACATGATTGGTTCAGCGCGGCGCGACCCAAAGCAACTCCCCTTTTCACTGGCTATTCGTATAGTCTATCAAAACATGGCAGAATGCTGGCTATCGAAAAGCATATTGACCATGTTTCATATCAATATTGAGGGGAATTCATTTCTGATATGTTACATTATCGTTTTATGGCCCAGCCCTACTCCTGCACAAGCTCAAGACTTATACATGTGGTTCGGTCCTTTTGCTCACCAGCCAATTTTTTTAGTTTTGAGTCTTAATAATGCAGCATCCTGTTTGATGAGTTGCATGACCTTGAGGTAGTGAGCGAGTGGGATGACACTTTTTACAGCCACAACATCACAGGTAACAGGTTGCTTAACACTAAAATCTTAATGACATTGGGTCAAAAATGCATAAGGTAGGTTATTTTTTTTGCAATCTAGTCGTAAAATTTAGTATAGTCTATATTCTGTGGCATAAACCCAGGATGTTTATTGTCCCGAAAAGACTACAAAGACAATCTCTTTAGGGTCTGAGCTCCCCTGAAGGTTTGATCCTAAAATCACCTCAGTTGTGAATGCAGATCGGCTGAAAACAGTCACATTATTGCATTCAGAACTGTTCAAATCTGCTTCCGTTTCGCACTATTTGTAATATGTGTTAATTTTTCTGCAAGTGAGAAACCGCAATTCATCAGCACCCAGCTATCAATCACCGGTTTCCACTTGAATGTTCATGATCTCTGCACGTGTGGATGCGTTTTCCTGATTTATGAGCTCATTTGTTTTAAAAGCAGTAACATCTTGCTGCTAATCTGTATATATGGGTGCATGTTGAAGAAATAGAGGGTAAGAAAGAGGCTTCTGCATCCGTTTTCTCCAAAACCATAAATTCATTGTTGGGAAAGCTACAATCTAGATTACATGTCCTGCAGCTTAAACGTGTATTCCCCCATAAACAGCAATCTACAGCTCATAAAAATAATTTCTGCTCCAACGTAAACAATCCCCTAGACCACTCGCCCCTGCATATACGTTTGTGTGTGTGTGTGTGTATGCGTGTACACATGTATTTGTCCGTATAGCATAAACAATCCCCTACTCCTGTCAGGAACACAGAGTGATCCATCAGTTTCTCCACAGAAAACCAATTTCACTGGAGATGTTCAGTTTTTCACAGACACACACCACCTCTCCTCGCACAGAGGGAGAAGAGGGAAATACACACACACACTCGCACACATACACATACACAAAAAGAGGAAGATAAAGAAAAAGGAAAAAAGAACAGCGAGGAAATGGAACAGAGAGGAGAAGGAAACACAAGGCTAAATTGAAAGGGAAGGATCAGGGGAATAAGAGAAAATAGGAAAGTCTCGTCTTTCTGTGTTTAATAGGACACACTGTTATTTGCTGTCTCATCAGTTCAATATAGTACGTAAAAACTGTTCATCTGTTGCCCTGCACTCATGTGCACAAGGAGTTGACACATAGAGGCTGTCAAACAGGCTTTATGTTACGGCTGCAGAAAGAAAAGAAAAAAAAGCCACAGCCTCAGTGCCTACTCGAAAAAAAGGACGAAAATGAAAGATTTGAAGAAAAAAGACACTATCTGGCTTTTGACTGTTAAAACTCGAATTATGAGCAAGGAGCACGGCATGCACAAGTGGCCCAGTTTTGCAGTGTTGAAGCGGGCAGATGACAACATAATTACAGAGTCATCTCATAACACGTGATTAAACAAACAATTCATGTCGACTCCTCCTAAGGTCCCCGCTCGGAGCATCTTTTGTTTTCATGCATGTGTTTGCTGAATAGCTGAGTTGCATGTGTTCAAAGACAGACAAAAAAAAAACACATGCATGCACGTTAGCATATATGAGCACACGCAGACGGAGCTAGATGGAAAAATTATATGCAGACAAACAGGCATTGGACAGACAGCCGGCTAATGTATCTTTGCAGTAATGGGCTTAAGTTACAACATGATAAGAAAGGCCTTCTTTTTAGAGCAGCTGTATTGCTACTAATGACTAGAGGGCCTCCAATTGCCATCTCAGCCTGTTATAACTTGGAGATGGCTCTTCTGTGTTTTTAAGATGAATGCAAATTAAAAAGCATTAGGCTACATTCATTTGCGGTCTTTGGCATATAGGGCACTTTTGGTCCGAGGGCCACTTAAGGCTGCCTTATTTCTTCGGCTGACCTTGAAATCAAAGAAAGAGCAAGTTTTAATGATTTAGAGGGCTCTTAAAGACTTGAAAAGGGAAAAGGCAACACAGGGCCTCATTAAAATTTTCATTTAAATGCTAAAAAAGCTTTTTGTTACAAATGGTCCTGCCAGGATGCTGAGTTGATACACAAAAAGGATAGTAAGAATGCCCCAAATCTGAGCCAATTTGATGTCAGGGCATCTCCTCATCTCTTCATCAGTGATTCTTTAAATTACAAGGCATGCTTATTCGGCTGCTTTAATAATTTTCTTTTTGCAGGACTCAGGCTCGTGTGTGTGATAAACGACGCGCCGTGCAGCATTGTGATTTGGTGCAGGGCCTGTGAATGACCTAGGGAATGCGGAGTGTCACTTTATATTTAGCTTCTATTTCCTCACCGCCTGCTCTTCCGCTGCACATGGTATGATTTCAGTTTGGGAGTGCACGTGAGCGCGCGTGAAGAAAGAGTGAGACATATCCCATCACCCCCTAAAATTCCTTCATTCCCTCCTCCATTGCTCCCTTATTTCCCTCAGCGCGCCTTGTAAAAACCTTAGCCCGGCTGCTCAGCGCCCTTTAAAATGTAAAGCAATATTACGAAGCCTGACACTTTGATCTCTGTTACTGTGGGATTGTTTCAGGGGTCCACTGAATATAAAACAAGCTGTGACTGTCCAAAGTTGTGCCAGGATATTCACTTTGCAATTTGTTTTTGCACTGAAGCGAAATATGTGATGAGAGAACTGTTACATTGTTTGTTTGTTACAAGTGTTAACGTATTAAAAAATGCCAAAAAAAAAAGTGAAAAATGTGCCACGTATTTTGCCGCATGTAGATCCAGATCCTGTGTAACTTCACCTCTCGTGTGTTTAGTTATTTACAGCCCTGACAACAAAAAGCCTTGAACTGTTCTGCAAACTACACAGCACCCTTTGTGTCACAGGCAAAACAGGAAATCAGGCTTTTGTCCGCTCGAGATGGCATCAAAAAACACCTTGTTTCATCTGTCTTAAGCAATCCCATCTTGACGCCTTCACACGTCCCCATGTGGGGCTGTGCCGCTCCTCAGAACAGATTGGGAAACAGCACAAACGATCTGCCGGGGAAGTCCCAGCGGGCTGCCATAACATGCTCGTTTGCCGACGTACCTCTGTTGCACGGAGCCCATGTTTGATTTCTCTCAGGTCGCCCCTCCTTTCTCTTTCTCTCCTGCTCTCACTCTCACTTCACTTCTATCACTTGCTCATTTTGCTGTCTATATCACCTACTTTCTTTCTTTCTTTCCCTTTGTCCCTGACACTCAGTCTCCGTCTGCCTGTTGGCCTGTCTGTCTGCGTCTCTTTTTCTTTTCCTCTCGGGCATGCCTCCCTTTCTTTCTCCCTCACACCTCCACCTCCTCTTTCTCTTTCACTTTAAAATACGTGTTAGTTGGCTGTGTGTCTTGTAGAAATGCCAGCACTGATTGTATCCTTCATCCACAAGGCAATAATAAGGCAGGTGTACTTCTGCCCCCTCCATTTTCCTCACCTTCTTTCTTTCCTTTTGTACCTCAGAAATGAGGTATTGTAGCTGTAAACACTGAAAGCAGGAAGGCCAAAGACGGATATTTAGAAAAAAAAATTAGATTGCCTTTTTCATACGTTACTTTGTGTGGCCTTTGTGGACACCAGAAGAAAGGCTTCAAATGTTTATCTCCCATCTTAAAGGATGCATCACTGCAAACACAAGTCCTGTTCACTTATGATGCAAGTTTCAAACTTCACATCCAACATTTATCCCCTCATTTACTAAAAAAGCACGCTAAATTTCTTCCTGGAGGGGGGGGATCAAAGTTCTGCAGAATCAGGAGTATGGATAAAAAAGTCGCGTACACCTGTTAGGAGAAAAACAACAGGTTTGTTTTGATGCATACCCACAAAAAACAGCCAGCAATAAATAACACAATCTCACATAGAGTATTTGCACGGGGGACAATGGCTCCCTGATTTCTCAGGTGTAATGCTTTGGTGGATGAATCGCAGGTGTAGGAGATATTGTGTGCTGGATGGAACCCAGGTGCCGCAGCTATTTCCAGCCTATGCTGTTAATCACTGCCTGACGCAGATATATGGCTTGCATTTTAGCAGTTTTAAAATAGAGTTCCCTTGACTGCATATACTTATGTGCAGAAATAATAATAATAAGGGCGAGATAAAGTCAAGAGACTGTGAGGATGTTTTGTGTGAATGTGTGCAGCGGAAAAAAAATATGTTCTGATTTATCAGCAAATGTAGACTCAAAGTCTGCAAGATAATAGAAACTAGAAAGGATCTGATTCTGTCTGCCTGATAACAATAATTTGACAGTTTCAATTCCTGTGCAGCAATCAGGGCTTTGATGTAAGGAGCTGATTAATAACTGACTTCTCCATGCCTAAGATTTTTATGTGCAAAAGCTTCAAGGACAAAAAAAGTCTCCCTATTTCCAAAAACAGGTGCAGTAATTTGAAGGGCTAGCATAAAATCCTTTAGACCATGTTTGTATTTGCACATGCTCTATTGATTTGAGACCTCATCTGAACTCATACATTAACATATTGTAAAAAGAAACTCAAGATTATGAGCACGTTTGTTCGAAAACATGATCCGTCTTCCTTAGTTCCCCTTCCTGTTTTGATTCATTTCTATGATGGCCCCGAGTCATGGTGTGACAAAGGTTTACATCAGAAACAGACTGTCTAAATATCTGATTATAAGCTGTTTATCCTGGTTAAACGATGACAACATAGCAACGCCAATACGCAAGTGGCCTCAGATGTGATGTTGGTCAATATCTATTGACAGACAAATCATTGTTGTTGTTCTTTCGTTTCGTCATTGTCCAGGCCCGATGCATGAGGGGCTAAACTGGGAGTGAATGTGATTGGATTTTCAGTCTCCGTCATTAAATTCCCATGCGGGGAATACTAATTCCAGTATTTAGTGCGGTGATGCTAGGGCTTGCTTTCATCTTAAACTGATTCCAGTCTAATTAGATTGGGCATGTGGGGGGTGCTGGATGTATCCGTCTGGACTAATCCCTGCCTCTCTGTCCCAAACATTGTATTATCCAGAGAAAATCCATTGGCTGCAGGCTATTCAAAGGCAGATCTGCCTGAACTGCAGCCTCTGTACTGTATCATCTGGAAAGCTGTGGCTGGAAGGGTGCGCTGTGCAGAGAGGGTGGAACCTAATGGTCATGAGTGATGTATGGGTTGCAGAAAACGCCATTTAGAATTTACAGTAAACCTTTTATCGTGTATTCAGGGCAAGAGCGCTCACTTCTGCGGCCTCTTTAGCAAAGCTGAGTGTGAACTGCTGTGAACTAGTCTCCTCTTAAGAGGGCCTGTTTAATCTAGGACAGCGCAGTTGGGTAGCAAAGTTGGGTGGCCCACTAAAGCGCAGTCCAAATCCATTATTTTAAAAGCTTACATGTTTCAACTGACCGATAAGTAGTCAATTCTTGGAGATCAAGTTATAATTGGCAAACAAAACACTTGTGTGTACGTGTCTCCTTGTGCACAGTCCTTCAGCGAGCGCACATCAACCCTGTCATCCTCCCTGTGAATTACAGGCAGACCACAGTGAAAACACGGTGCAAAGAGGTCCTTCTTCTAGGCGCTGAGAAGGCCAGAAAAATGAAAGGCCTTCAGCCATTGTTCTCCACAAAGGTCAAACGCAATTCAATCCCATAATATGGCAAGGGGGGAGCCCTACCTCGGCAACCGCCTGCGCTTTAAGGGTGAGCAACAGGAAAGGGCCATTCAGCAGAACAGTTGCACCCTGTGAGCCGAGCACATTCGTCAAGGGCGAGGGGTGAAGTCAGAAGGGGGGAGAGAAAAAAAAAAAAAAAGCTGTTTTTGAGCCTTTTACATGTCGCGGCTGTTGCACTGCACACTGAAGTGTGTTAAGCGAAACAATAAAGGCCACAACCGATTCTGCCAGAGTGAAAAGATCCTCATCTTCCCCTTCATTTTTTTGCTGCCCTTGTGAAATTTCATTAGGTGGATTTAACGACTTGTGAATGTCGGCTTTCTCCGTGACCCTGACACTGGTGGCGGACACGTCTCGCTGGCAGGGTGTGATGTATTGTGTTGAGGTGTTCTTGAGGCGCAATTTTTAATGTGACAGCATCTGTTGACCTCAGGTCTAAAAAAAAGTCAACCTCCTGTCTCAAGCTGGCCTGCATTCTGCTTTTTAATAGAATTTTAAAGGCTGGATGTAGTTAGGGCACAAAACACGATTCACCTCCCCATCAATCTACTATAGGAACCTGCAAATGAATGTTAAGGCTATGTGTTTTGTTATACTTTCCTGTTTTAATGGGAGGGGTCTCATGCTGTACCTGATCAAATCCAGATTAGCAGACACTTCCAAACATAATCCCCTGCATCTGCTTAGCGTCAGATTAGCACAAACAGCGAAATGACAGAAAACACCCATTATATGATTTGGTATTTTAGTCTGGCAGCGACTTGAATGACAATTATCAAAGGGATCTTTATAGGGGGTATAACCAGCCTTTTTTTGACAGGGGTGGTCAAACTGGAGCATTGACATAGACAGGGGTGGCCGGGGTGTCTGTGTGTGCAAATACACATATTAATCACATCTACCATCTCTATCATGATCTACTGTAAAAACTACTATTCTTAAGTATCACACAGTTGTTATAATCCTGTGTATGATATTAGACTCTTAAAAAGGAACATAGTAACAGAGAGATCCATTTGGCTTAGTTCTTAAACAGCTAAATAATGCTTGTTTAAAGTTACAACTGAATGGACTAGAAACAAGAAAGTGTGCAACATTTAAATACTAAGAAAACCATTGCCTGGCACTTGGTTTGGTGAAATAGATTTCAGGGATGGGCGGGCAATGCCACCCCCAGCCAATCATTTGGACATGGCCCTGATATTGACACAACACATAGACTGTGTATCCGAAATGAATAACTCAATCCCTAACCCTAACCCCCATATGGTCATAGCTGACTATGTAGTGAGCTCAATCACCGGAGGTTTCGGACACTACATGGCGCACCGTTGTGACGTCACTGCTCAGACTGCCGCTGGAGACACAATGCATGACGGGATGCCAGCCACCGGTGAGTGACCATTGGATGGTCACTACATTTTGTCATATGGGGCATTGGAATTGATCACTCAGGTTTCAGACACCCCACAAAATGACGCTAACCCCCATATAGTCGCCTATATAGGGGTTAGGGATCAATTTCGGACACTGCCATACTATATCAAATGTTTGACATAAGTATACTTGACCATCTTAACAAAAACAGTTCCTTAAAGGTTGTTTGAGAACTACATCAAACAAAAACCTCATGCAACTAAAAACCTCAATCAATCTGTAAGTCCAATTTTATTGGCAGTCCTGAGGGTGCTATTTTGATGGTTTTGCTTACATTGATGCTTATTACCGATAACCAATCAAACCACCTGGCTTTATGATAAAACACAGCAAAATGAAATGTTGAAAAATGAAAACATTTTTGGATGTCGAGTAAATAAACTGTATTCAAATGACTTGATTCTTGAAGGCAATGAGTTCAGTGTCAGGAAGATTTAAGAAAGACAAGCCAATGAAACTTCATCTTAAATGATGAATTGATTAAATCCCAAAAGAGTAAACATGACAAAAAAGCATTTGATGAGACCCAACTGGTTTGCAGATACAGTTTTTAATGTATCACAACAATGAGCAACAAACATACTTGATGAACTATTTCCAGAAGTTGTTCAAATACCATCTACAATAAACGTCATTTCAACTATGACAACAGGTCTGTGACAAAATAAAAAAAAGGTTTCAAAACCATGTTATTACCGTGATACGGTACAGTTGAGACCTCAAACAGTACAGTAACAAAAACTAATGCGACTACTCTCTATATATAAAACATCAATAACATTTTTGGTTTAGTTTATTTAAAGTTTTAGCCATAGGGGCTTCTTCTTATTAAAACCTCAGGGTGCATTTCCTATGTAACCCAGATGTTGAAGAGTACATATTGTGTAGGATATGATTGCGCCATGAAAATCCCTTTGACATCCAGAAGAACAATTCCAATTTCAACCTTTTGAAGGCTGTCCCCATAAACATGACACAATCCATCCATTTTTTTTAAAAAGTTCTTTTTTTTTTTCTTTTTGGCTGCTGTGCAGTTGCAATATCTATGTACAGTTATATTGTTGGACCATCCTTTTTGTTGGTTTGTTAGCTTTTACCAGTCCTTGGTGTGGAAAGCGTCCTGTCTGGAGCTAGCATCTTAGCACACGATGCTAGCGGACAGTTCAGTCTTTTAATGCTGAGCCACAGAGTGGGAAAGGCAAAAAGCCAGAGTTGTGAAAGCCTTTGGAATCAGGACAGTCGCTCATGTTTGTACAATGGCAGAATTGCACCTTGGGAGCCCAGGATGTCTCTTATGAAACACAATCGAAAAGTGTCTTCAGGATTAAAGAAAATGTTAAAATACTAAAAATCCAAATAATGACATTAAAAAGCTCACACAGAAAATTAAAAACTGACATTTTGCTTTAAAACTTTGAAAAAAAAAAACACCTTTACAATAATAAAACATAAGAGGAAATGTTACTTGATTTCATTGTTTGAAACAATAACTAAGCATGATTTGATTTAACCTGTCAAACAGTTGCATTACATGCTACTTGCTCATCTCAGAATAGGAAATACCAAAAGCAATACATTTTTGCATTTCTTCATATTAATAAATTTGTACCATGCACAGCCAACTACGAATATGTACAACAGCTTAGCTTTCTTTGTTCACAAGCCTTTTTCTTTCATACAAATAGCCTTCTGTTACTTTGGAATGAATCACATTGGTTTCAATTACCAAACTAGAAAGTGATTCGTAAAAAATTGAACACCCTTTGACAGCTTTCACATTCTTAGTTCCACAGCAAAATAACAAAATAATATAAAATAAAAATAAAAAAAAAAAAAAGCAAAGCAAAGCAATTAATGGATCAGTATTATGTCTGGTAGAAAGTTGAGAGAATTTATGGCAAGCAAAATAACATTACACAGTAGCAGCAAAACTTTGTAAGGTAATACTTTGCAACGTTGAAATCACTAAATGTGGAAAATTAAAATGTTGACTGTAACTGTAGATCATCAGAAGTGCCCAGAAAACTGATGGGAGGACATGGACCTATGCACAAAGTGTCTGCGTATAGGTGTAACACTGTTTTAAGTCCTACAAGTACATGAAAATGTTTTAATATACAACAAAAATGCTGTTGTCCCCCTTTTAAAGCAGCATGTTTGCAAATGTATAGCAAATGATCATACCTTTTTTAACATTGTGACCAACTTGTACCTTAACAGTTTCAAGTATACAGTACTGCTTTCGTGGATGCACCAATTGTTAAATAGGTCTCTAGATTGTTAGGCATCAATCCTGAAACAAATATGGACCAATATGCTGCTGCAATAGACACAAATAATAATTAAAACACAAACATACATACATACATACAAACAGAAAAAATTCTATTAAATTAACAAATGGCCTAATCAAATAATAAAAAGACAAATAAAAACAAAATAAGTGCACTATAGTCCAGACACAAGCAGGTACCGTAACAGTACAGCAATTCACAAATGAAAAATGTTATATTCACATAATCCGAGAGAGTCTATCAAAACTAGAGTTATTACCTCTTCAGAAAAGGGTGTGAGCAGAGGTAAAAGTGAAAGGGTAAGAGTTGGCACAGATTAGTATATACTACAAGAAAAAAGGGGTGGGAAATAGATACAGCTTGTTGTAATACAAACTGGCAAACACAGGGGCATCATACACATTTACTTCATCATTCTAAATTCCCTCAGTGGCAAAACCATACTGTCTTTGTAGGGCAAAAACTAAAAGGATATGCACATCGTCCACTGTAACAGTAATATTGTCTCTTGGTACTCTATACACATCAAGGAAATGCGTCCGATAAAGCTTGACATGTTTTGGTTATAAGCCAAGTGTACCCAGGCTTGTTGCTGCTTTAACAAATGAGAAATGTTATGTTCTGACCTGAGAATTTAAAGCTACTGAATTACACCTATCTAAACTAAGAGAGATTCTCTTTGAGGGTTCTGGATCGTCATCCCATACAGTACATGCTAGCATTTGGAAAACAATCCAGCTGAGGTGCAATTTGCTATCGTGAGAGTTTTTGGCTTGAAACAAGCCCCCCCAAGGGAGCCTGTGGGATTTTTTCCTACTCCATGTTTTTGTATACAATATAAGCTCAGTCAAGCATCTGCAACAGTTCTGTCCATAACAAAAATCAATCAATATCTTGCCAGCATATCAATATGGGAAAAACAATCCTGAGTCAATCATTTGGTACTGTAATTTTTTGGGTTAAGAGAAACTTTGGAACTGCAGTTTAAAAAGTCTTATTTTTTTCTTTAAGCAAGGGATCCTTTTGTCACTCCTACACACTGAACATATCCATTCTGATACTACTGAAGCTCGCGTCTAGGCCAGAGGCTGACTTAGCCTTGACTTCCAACGCGTTATCTAAGTCATCCAGCTTCTGGCTTAGCTCATTGTCAGACTCATCTGAACAACTCTCGGTGGGTAGTGAGGTTGGAACCCCTGAGGTGCTGCAGGAAGTTGAGGTAACCGTTGAAGGTGAGGAGAGGGGAGGGGGAGGAGAGGCAGACGGGGAGGAGGAAGCAGCTTTCCGGGCTGTGGTGGCCTGGAACAGGACATTTGGCCAGGACTTCATGGACAAGTGAGAGAGATGAGGAAAGGTGTTATTAGAAGAAGCTGCAGACTGCGAGGTAGATGTGGTGTTAGGAGTAGGGGAGCAGACAGAGTGAGGTAATAATCTAGTATGCTCTTTGGCATTTCTCATTGCTTGTTTGATTGTTTTCTCTTTGTGCAAGCTCGACTGAAGGTGTTGGCCAAGTGCTTCATTCCCGTTAACGACCACATTGCAGGCAACACAAGTGTAGTTGCTTACTGCCTTTCGAAGCACTGTCTCTTGCGGGTCAGTAAAAGGATGTCCGAAGTAACAGAAGGACTTCTGATGACGCACCACTGAATCTTCGTCAGCAAAAATCATCTGGCACTTCCTGCATATAAACTCATGCTTGACGGACGGTACAATAAAAGCGTCTGGAAAATCCATGGTACTTTTGGTATCTGTTTTCGGTTCTTCTTTTGTGCTTTCTGTTGAAGAGCCTTTGTTGGTTTCATCCTTAGCATCTATAGCTTCTTTTGGTTTGAAAGAGTTGGTGGTGGTGCTCTTTATGCTCTGGGGAGTCTTCACAGGGGTTTGTTTCAGTTGCTGCTGCTGCTGCTGTTGCTGCTGCTGCTGCTCAAGCTGTTTCTGCTGCTGCTCAAGCTGTTTCTGCTGCTGCTGTTGTTGCTTCTGCAGTGAATCCTGAAGGGACTGCTGGTACTGCTGGTACTGCTGCAGGAGAGCGGTCGGGGAGAGACCAGCAGCCATGGCAGCTTGTGGTACGGCTGCTGGGCCATATGGAAACAGGCTCTCCATCCCGCACAGAGGTGGGAAATAGCCCCCTGTTTGGAGCCCTCTAGGGAGCTGGGGAGAGAAGCAGTTTGGAAATCCAGGCAGGAAGTAGGGCAGGAACTGCCCCCCTAAGAAAGAGCTGGGGTCACCTGTTGCCAGAGCGTTCTGCAGTGCCTGAAGCTGTGCGGCGTCCAGTGATGTCTCACTTCCTGGTTTCCCTGAAGCTGGACCTGACTTATCCCTTTTCTTGGCCATGCTGGGGGTCTCAGGACGCGGGCCGCTCTCATTCTCTCGATCTTTAACCTTTATCTGAGGTGGCTTGTCTCCTGGTTTCTTGCTGCTGTCTCTCTCTGTGTCTTTACCTTGCTGCTCTGTATGATTTACTGCTGCCAAAGGTGTGGAGGGAACAGGAGGAGGAGGAGGAGGTGGAGGAGGAGGAGGAGGAGTCTGCAGAAGAGTCTTGGTTGGGGTAGTGCTGAGAGACATGGCAGGAGAAGGGGTGGCTGGTGTAGGGAACCCAAGCATGCCAGCACCGGGAGACGCTAAAGCTGAAATACAGTGGTATATAAATATGGAAATATTCAATATTTAAATATTCAACCCCAAATCACTGTGGAGATTAGTTTGTATGACTAGGCAAAGATGCGTAATTTTCACTGGCTGAGTTTTTACTTTTTGTTATGGAACAAAACTGTTACATGCCCTTTATGATAATTTTAATCTGCCAAAATGTTATAATATAAATATACCAAACCTACAATAAGGGGAAAAACAAACAACACAAGCAAAAAACATGATATAGACACATATGTCTTAAAAAATCTCTGAATTATCAATTAGCAGTTCATCTCTGATGATGAGGTCATGCATGCACATACACCATCATTTTGTTTAAAAGTTTTAAAAAATAAGACTTTTTAACAAACACCACCGTGATAAAGAATAAACAGTAGTATAGTAGAATAAAATAGTGCATCATAAAGCTCAGTTTGTAAAGCGTCTACTCTATTTAACTTTATCTTTCAGTGTTCGTCATACTAACTCACCAGGTGTGTTGGGTGGGAAAACAGGAAGTGATGATGGCCCATTGACCCCAGGTAGTAGCACTGGTGGGAGTCCAGTTAACCCTGGGTAGCCTGAAGGTAGGCTGAGGCCATGAAGTGCATTATTGTTGTCCACTGCAGTCTGTTGCTGGCCAGGCAGGCTGAGTCCCTCACCAGCTTTCTTCATCCGGTCCAGCTCTTGCTGCGCCATCAGCTGACGGACAGTGGTTGGTGCTAGGTAGTCCTTTTCACGATCAACCTGGTTTCCCAGGGTTTCTTGCACTTTGGTGATGTGCTGTTTGGAGAAGATGTGGTCTCGGACGGACATCCGGGCAGTGTACTTAACACAACACAAAGTACACTCAGGCCTCGGCCCCTCAGGTGAGCCTTGACTTATCATGAATGGCTTTCCAATGTTTATCTTGAATTTCTTTTCTTTAGCACGGGCATTCTGGAACCACACCTGGACCACCCGCTTGGGGAGTCCAATCTCATTGCCCAACATTTCACACTCTTGCATTGTTGGAGTGCGGTAGTCACTAAAACAAGCTTTGAGAACTTTTAGTTGCAAGTTACTCATCTGGGTCCTGAACCGTTTGTGGCCTGGCCTATCCCCACTACTGCTGCCTTTCCCAGACTTGCTAAAGGGGTTTCCTGCCCCAAAGGGACTGGGGGAGCTGGGATCAGCAAGGCTTGATGACTCACTCCGGTCATTGTTTTCATCCATGTCATCGTCTCTTGAGCTATAGTAAGAGTCACAGTCTTTTCCAGAGAAGCTGAGAGCTGGGCTCACCATGCTGAATTGAAACCTATCACTGCCACCATCAGAATTTGTTGATAGGCCGGTCTTGTTGTCACTCAGCCTATCTCCTCCGTTTGCTGTGAAGCTCTCAACTTCGTTGTTGTTACCTTCATCTCCAGTTGTGGCATCGCTAATGGCTGTGTTAATTGATGATGTCTCATCAAAGTCCATTTTGCTGACATCATAGGATGAGGTTTCTGCTGAATTAATATTGGGCCCTTCAGTTTCATCACAGTTTTCAGCTTTTATGGATGAAGGGCTTAAGAAGTTTTTTACTTGCGCCTCAGTTGGTTTGATTGGAGTTGAGGCTGCAGCAGGTAGCTCATACTCATTTGGCTCAGTCTTGGTAGGCAGTTGTGAGAAGTCAAAGAAGCTATACTTATTTGGGCTTTCCCCTCTGTCATTGTCTTGATTCATCATTGGACTCGGTGGCAAGCTGAATCCTGCTTGCTTAGCCTCATGCCAGTGTCTTGATCGTATGTGGCTATCTAGAGCAGATTTAGCCTTGAACAGTGCTCTACAAAAGGGGCATTTCTTGTGGGACTGAGAGGGCCCTATAGCCCTAAACTGTCCTTTTCTTTCTCTTGCCCGGGTGTTTTGGAACCAAACTTGCACAACTCTCTTCTTCAAGCCAACCTCTCGTGCAATGTGGTCCAACATCTTCCTTGTTGGGTTAGAGTCAAGTAGGTATTTGTCATAAAGAATCTCCAGTTGTTCTGGTGTGATGGTGGTTCTCAAACGTTTATCTCTGTGTTGCTCTTCACTACTGTTTCCACCTTCTTTATCATTGCCATTTTCATCCTTGTCATCCAGTTTCCTCTTCATTGCCCCAGAGCCTGTAGCAGAGGCCAAACCAGAGCTACCCTGAGAGGGGATTTGGGAGAGGCCACCAGATAACAGCTGGCTGGCCATTAGAGGGTTGTTGGGGTCAAATATCATATAGGGCATATCAATGGGTCTTTCAAGGAACTGAGAATGAAGGAATTGGTTTTGGGCAGCTAAGAAATGCATGTGCTGGTGCTCCTGCCATAGCTCCACAGTGGGTAATGCAATCTTGCACTGGTCACACTGGTACTGCAGCATCTGGTGGGGGAGGCTGTTAGTGAGGGAAGACAGAGCCAGAGAAAGAGGACTAGAGGGAACTGTGGCTGCCTGCGGCTGGGAATGGGGTCTTGACATTTGTGGCTGAGGAGCTTTTTGAGGGGGTGGCTGAGGTGTGCAAGCCTTGGATGGTCTGGGTTCTGGTAGTGACTTGATCACTGGGGAGGGGGCGGTCTCAGTTTGTTTAGATTCAATTTCAGTGGTGACATCTGGCTTGGGTGAAGTTTTCCCCATGCTTGGACGAGGCGAGGCCATCACAGGTGAGCTTGAGCCAGAACTAGTGGCAGTTCCATGTGATTGTTTGAAAGGGTCTGAGGACAACTGTGAAGACTTAGCTGAACATTGCTCAACAAAATCTACGTACTCCTCACAGTTGTTGTCATCATTTCCTTCCTCGTCTTCATCCTTGTAACACAACTTTTTCTGGTGTGTGATAAGGTCAAAGATGCGTGGGAACACAGTGTTGCACTTTTTACACTGATACTGCATGTTGCTAGTTCTGATGTACCGCTCATTGGTCAGTTCTTTCTTCTCACTGTCTTTACAGTCAGCCTGGTTTTCATAGCTCTTGCGAGCTTTTTGGCGTGCATTCTGAAACCACACCACAATCACCCGAGTTGGTAGGTTGAGCACAGTGGATAGCTGCTCAATCTCATCGTCTTTTGGGTAGGCATTAGTGTCAAAGAAATCTTGCAGCACTCTCAGCTGGTAATCAGTGAATCTGGTCCTGGAGGACCTCTTGTTGAGGGTTGCGTCAGTTCTGTAGTATTCATGTGCACTGACCTGGGGCTCCATTCTAATATCTTCCAATGTAGTAATAGGAGGAATACTAAAATTATAGGGAGAGTCTTTACTGCGCTGCCTCTCTTTGAAGAGTGTGTTACGAAACCAGTGCTTTATGACTTTTTGGGGCAAACCAGACTTCTCTGACATCTCCTGAATTTGCTCTTCATTGGGGGAATTGTTGATATCAAAGTTTGCACGCAGGATCTTAAGCTGCTCATCCGTAATGCGGGTGCGTGGCCGCTTGAACTGAGACTGGCGGAGGAAGTTTGGATCAAGACCTAATTGTTGCTGGCAGAGCTGTGTCAGGTCTGTAGAGAGAGAGTCCATAGTGGGCAGCTGTAGAGCGAGCTGAGGGGGAAGACCTGGGTGCTGGACGGACTGCATCATTAGAGGTGGGAAAAGGGGCAAATCTAAGGGTACAGGAAGCTGCACTTGGGGGGGTGCCGGAGGAGCAGCAGGTGGTGGAGGAGGGGGCGGAGGCTGGTTTTGCGTTGCTTGGTGAGAGGGCTGGTGTGAGGTCTGATGGGGGACAGGAACTGGTGAAGGTACTGGAGTTTGGGGCTTGGTCATTGATGTTGAAGGTGGTTGAGGGGCTGTCACTGGTGCTGGAGCTGGAGGTGGAGGTGGTGGAGGGGGCGGTGGTGGCGGCGGTGGTGGTGGAGTCTCAGGTGAAGCAGGGTTTATTGGATAGAGCTTGTCATAGGCCTCTCTGTATTGTTGGGCAAACTTTTCCAGCTCTACATATGGAAAGAACTGGCTGTGCACATGTTCCTGGTGGCTTTTCAGGATAAGCATGTTGGAGAACAGTTTTCCACACATGCCACACTCAAGTTTATCAGTGTTCATCTCAGCTTGTTCAATCCCATCCTTGTTTTTCTTTTGGTTCTTCTGCCTGTTTTCATTGTACTGGATGACCAGTTCAAATCCAAAGTTCTCTAACAGTGCTTTGGCTGCATTTCCCCTTGCTCCTGACACAATACGTGGAGGAGGAATCAATGGCTCTGGGAACTTTGACTTTTTAGGGTCTCGGCTGTCTTTTCCTCCATCACTTAATGCATCACTTCCATTCTCCATTTTTGCTCGAGTTTCCTGTTTTTCTAGGTGGTCCTCCGCGTCTCTTGGCATCAGCATTTCTGAAACTGAACCACCACTGCACTCAACCTTTTGTTTGTGGTTCTGCAGCTGCTGGTTTTTCTGTTGTTGAATTTGTGACTGTGCCTGAGAGGCCTGCTGCTGTTGTTGGGCCTGCTGCTGGGCCTGAGCTTGCTGCAACTGGTGTTGCTGTTGCATCTGTTGCTTCAGGTCCTCCAGGAATGACCCTGTAAGGCCAGGCATTCCAAAAGCTGCTGCTGAATGTAGGGCAAGTTCTGGGCTAAGGTTGAACTCAGCACCTGGGATGTAGAAGGGGAACAGGAACTGTGGCTGTTGGAACTGCAGTAGTGCTTCTGGGGTCATTGGAAAATGGGGGAAGAATGCTGGGTTAAGAAACTGTGGCTGAAAGAAGGCAGCCTGTTGCTGGAGCTCATGTTGGAGCTGAAGCTGCAGTTGGGCTGAGGACTGTGCAGACTGGTGGCTGGCTGCTTGTGATGAAACACGGTCAGTAGATGTTGTCTGCTTTGTGTTGCTGCTGCTGTTAGCTTCTTTGGGTTCCACAGTGTTTTCTTTGTTAGCAGAGGGTGTGCCACTTCTCGCAGTATCTGTGTTGCTGTTGTTCACTTGTGTGCTTGGGGCTGGGCTCTTTGCAGGCACTGGACAACTTGAGCCAGTGTTACTGCTACTGCTGCTCATTTCAGATTTGGCTGTTCTGGCTTTGGTCTGGTGGAGTACTGACCTCATGTGAATTTCAAGTGTTGAGCTTTGGCTGTAAGCAACATTGCAAATATTGCATTTGAATGGCTTGTTGTCAATGCTGTTGCTTGTCTCTTGTGGAACTGGGCTTGATGCCTCTTGAAGAACCTTCTTTAACTTATGCAGATGGGAAACTGAGTTATAGTGAACAAGCAAGATGTTCTTCTGGGTAAAGGACTCTTTACATACTGTGCACTTATAAGGCCTAGAAGGGTCCAAAAATTTCTCCATTGTAAAGTTTGGCCCTTTTCTAAATGGTAAGGTCCGTTTAGGTTCTGCTCCCATGTCATCTAGCAGAGAGCCACTGTCACTTCCTGTCGGACTGGGCTTCTCTTCTTGGTCCATTTCATCATCTTTGTCCAAGTCATGTTCAAAAGCCTGAGCTTCTTCCAAGGCCCTGGCCTCACTCTCTGTGATATCTCCATTCAGCGGCAGATTTCCGATGAGTTGCTGCACCTCAGCCTCACTAAGTTCAGGGTGTCCATTTTCTAAATGCTTCCTGAGAGCCAGGAATGTCCTAAAGCTGCGCTGGCAAAGGCTGCACATGGTGGCTGCTCTGATGGCATGGTATTGGGAATGTATCTGAAGCTTCTGCATTGTCTTAAAGGCCAGGCTGCAGTGATTGCAACGATATTTGTAGACATGACGGTCAGATACTGACAGCTGTTGTTGTTGCTGCTGGAGCCTTTGGAGCTCACTGAGATGGTCTTGAAGGGTATCAGGAGACTTGCTGCCATGTCCTAATCCACTAGCTCTCTTCCAGCCTGGGGCCTCTGAGGCCTCCTTTGGAGGCTTGAGTTCATCATTCTGGAGGTCCATGTCATTCTTGTCTTGAGAGATCAGCTCATCCTTTGAGTTGTGTCCTAAAATAAGAAAAAAAAACATCAGTTTGATGTAAAATACATTGCACCAAATACATATAATTTCAAAGTAACACATAAATCCTGATATAATTGTCAATAGTTGTCAAACACAACTCACCTTGAGACTTTCCTGACCCATCAGTCAGAGAGGTAGAGGGATCCATCAAAGACAGACCTTTGTCTTGTCCAGCTTGGGGATGCATTGTGTTATTTGGTGTTGCTGTGTCGGGTCCAACAACCTATCAAGATAGAAACACATTTTTTAATCCTTATTGCAATTTCAATGCTGATATAAGATTGTGGATAAAAAATATATCCCAAGTGTACCTAAAAGTTGGTACATTTTTTAACTGTCATTTGGCCTACAAGTTGAATTTCATTACACTTATTAAAGTAAGCATTCAAATAGATATAGATTTCAGTGTTCTAATGCTTTCTTAATACTAAAACTGATGAAACAAAAAATTCAACTTCATCACCTTTATACTTGCTTCTCTCTAAATCAATGTCACAATTTGTTTTTGAAAAGCGAAAGGATTTGCAAATATGCAAACATACAAATGAGACACAGGCAAATCTTATTATCAATCGTTATTCCCACGTACAGTCAAAATCAACTTTTCCACGCAGTCAGGAGCCACACTGTGAAGGTGGGTGAGATGCAACTGCAGGTGAATCTTGTTGCTCAGGACATCCTGGCACAGTGGGCAGCGGATCACCGGCTGCATTGAATGCTGGGACATCACATGGAGCTGCATGCGGTTGGCATCTTTACTGCTGTAGTTGCAGTATGGGCACTGTTGAACCTAAGAAAAAGAAAAAGAAACAGGATTCCATAATAAGTATCTGGTTAAAGACAAGAAATAATAAAAACAACATCCCAAAGATTAACAAGACTGCACATCTGCTTAAAACAGTCTTTAGTCTGGTGGTTAAACTACAGCTCTGCTTAGTTTCTGATTTTGCAAAGCACTGACTAGAAATTGGTCTTTAACTCCCTCTATGAGCAAAAGAGTAAGTCCTCCTTAGATTTTGCTCTGGATTATTAACTGCAACACTTGCCTCTTGTAATTGAAAATATAGTATATGCACCAAGATAGCAAATTTTGTTGAATTAACGAGATGGCATATTGGAGTCATGCGTCAAGGTCTAAATACTGGATTCAATCTCCACAGTGGCTCATTTAAAAATGTTTTTAAGTTTTAATCAAGAGCAGCTGAGTTGTTTTGGATGACAATACCTTCATTTTAAAAGAGTAAGCGTATATTTTTAGGGTTTTCTGAGTCTTCACCGCTATCTCAGCTCCTCTCACCACTCTCACCTCTCCTAACCACTCCCCATGCCCACCTTAACACTGAAAATGTAGATCAACCATGTTTCATGTAATTCACTTAAGTCTCGCAACTCATGCAATTTTATTAGCAGAAAACACGATCGGCCAGAATTTCTAATCAGGGTATTACAGATGACAAAGGTGTGTTCTCTCCCAAGCTACGCTTTGCCCTCATTACAGGGAGTACTCCTAACATAGCTGCCTCCCCACCACCTGTCTTAATAGAATCCATTTCTGAAATGACTAAGTCCTCCCTCCTTGCAGGGCCCAGAAGTAGACAAGCTAATACTTCATAATCTAATTTAAAAACACATATAATTTAAAGAGATGCAAAAAGGGGGAAAGAAGCAGGGAGGGGGCCTAAGGCTAGTGCAGGTATTCCACTTAAGAGCACAAAGACTGACCTACTGTGCTTGATGCTAAAAAGCTCTGTCAGGGAGAGTATGGTGGACTGTGTTTAACCCTTTGATAGAAAGCTGGCGCCAGCAATTGCTAAATGCTTAGCTTAGCATTTCTGCTTCCTTCCGTTTAGAGGTATCTACCCATTAGCTTATCCCAAAGTGACAGTGAAGGTTAGATTTCATTAGTTTCCGTGACAGAGAACCTGTCTCATTAGCTAGGAGATACCTGCAGCTGTAACATGTGGACACAAAGCTCAGATGTATGTTCTGGGGGGGTAAGTAAAAAGCAGTCAGAGGTTGGAATCAGGTTGCAAACACAAGACATGCACCTGTACGACTTTGACACATGATTCAATATCTCACCTGCTCATTGGCAGAGGTCTTCCCCTCGGCAGACTTTGGCCTTTTTGGCGGGCTCTCAATTTGTCGATCCGGCAGGAGGGAATGTTTCACCATAGCATTGGGTCCGGTAACCTCTTTGGATATGGCGTTCACTCCTGGTACATGATGGTGTGAGAAACAAGATGGGTGACAGAAACAGAAAGAAGACATTTCATATTAATGATTTAAAGATAAGGCAAATTTCAAAATGACTGATGACTGAACAATAAACTTTTTTTTTTTTAAACTATGCGTCTTTGGGATCAGGAGTTGAGCAGACTGACATATTAAACAAGAGTTGAAAGGAAGGATCAGGGTGACATTGATATATAGTATCCCATAGATCACATACATACTGTATGAGAAACTGAAATAATAATAATATAGAGGATATTAAGCTTATCTAAGTGACATAACTGAGTGAATATCTGACATTTTGTTCTGTATTACATCCAAATAATCTAAACACTGAATTAATATTAATTGAGCAGAAGGTGATGATTTAAAAAATGATTTGACACCTTGACAACATAAGCATGGTTTCAAGCATGGACTATTATTCACATTCACATACAGTGACGTGTTTCTGCCCCGAGGACATGTGAAATGGAGAAAACTCAAGCAGGCTCATTATCACAGCACGACATACATTAAATGTTATGGTAATATTATACACTTCATTAGTTCATATACATTTCCCCAGCTGCCTCAACAACTTCTCTGTCTGCAAAAGATGCTAAATTTTCAGGGCTTGGTCACGGCTGGTGGTACAGTAGCAGCACTACTTGTGTGTGTATGTGTGTCTGTTTGTATGTGTGCATGTAAGCGTGTGCAACGTTAACAGCAGGGCTCAATGTGGAGAGATCAGCCTCTGGTTGTATTTAGTAAATGCTGCAGCCGCTGATAAATCTTTCATTAGCCTCATCCTGAGATACAGGCCATGCAGGCCCTGCTATACTCTGCCACTGCAATTTACTCACCCGGCACAACACAAAGACACAGCAACAGCAACTCTCCCTCCCTCTATCCCTCCCTCTCCCTTGCTCTCGTCCTCCCTCTCTCCCTAAGCCATCACCCCCACCCCTCCTCGCTCTTGTCTCCCCTCCCTCGTCTGGTCACTCAAGGCAATATGTGAGCCTCACTCTTGCGAATCAACGCTTCACGCTAGATGCACAAATGGAAAAAAAGGGAAATCAAAGCACTGATACATGGAGAGGGGGGTTGAAAAAAACATTTTGTATTTCATATTATTCTGTGGCTCGTGTTTGTATTGGGCGCATATCAATTCCTCCGGCCCGTTCATGCATTTTAATTCTGTTGCATTAAGTAGGCGTTCCACTTATTTTATTTGTAATCCCCTATATCTGGAGCCTGAAATATTGGCCTGTCAAGGAAAGTGACAAGAGAGAGAGGGAGGGAGGAAGAAAGGGAGAAAAAGAGAGAGAGGGAGAGAGAGGGGAGAGAGGGGAGAGAGAAAAAAAAAAAACACAAGGGCACAATGTGAATTTCCAAGAACATCCGAGAATTGCTCGGCAGCTCAGAATAGCGAGGTAATCTCGTCTTCCACTGCTTCTGATGGCCCCTGCAGGGCTTGCATTGTGTGTGTCTATGTGCATGCATGTGTGCGTGTATATTACGTGTTTCATGACAGGCCTCTGACACTCCATTGGTCAGATGGGTCCAGCCTGGGAGCGCCCATCATATCACCTGACCTTTTCAAAGCCTGCGCCCCGCCTCCTGTATTTATTATGACCATTTCTAATTTCAACTTTCAATTTTTGCCTCCGTCTTCTAGTCAATTTGCAACTAAATTACATCCCTGCGAAAAGGAGATGAGGCTATTGTCGGACAAGGGGCTGCAAACACATTTACAATGCGGGCGAGGGGAAAGAGCCCACAGATCACCATTGATTACTGTCATATTGAATGTAAATGTATGTTTGTGTAGCATGTGTATGTGCGCGGCATGGAGATCTGTCCTTCTGGTTTAGATTCATCTTCGACCTAGCGCTTTCATCAACACTTATGACGCTCACACGCAGGAAAACAGTTGGTTAACCTTGAATGCAAAGAGAGCAGTTCTCTCTATGGCCACTTAGGAGCTTTAAATGGCGAGCCCTGCCAGCGCATAATAAAGTTGTTTTGAAGGATAGAATGGCATTCAAAACTGCAGAGTGTCCTCCAAGGATATAATCACCTGTACCACGAATAAATATGATGGCAAGCAAAAAAAAAAAAAAAAAAAAAAAAAAACAGACAGTGCCCACAAATTTAACGGGGGTAATCAAAACGTCTGCTTTAAGTTTTTACCCTGACTTGTATTCTCGTCCTCAAAAGTGCTCGTACAGCTAAAATAATTACTGAGTAAAGAGAGACAGCAAGGATACCCTCCTCCTACTCCTCTTTTTCTCTTTACCTTTCGTCTCTTTTTTCTTACAACCTCTCCTCTATCCTTAGGTGGGCTCCACCAGCTGAAGCCCAGTGAAGCAGAGGGGCAGAATAAACCTGACCCCCCCCATCACCACCACCACCACCACCACCAATGACAAATGTCTGCATGCAGCAGGACCTTGCTTGATTAGATAAATCAAAAGGTGATTTATGACACTCAACCCCTTTTGCATTGCAGGGGGAAAAAGCGGCACACTCACCACCCATCTTTATTTGCAACTGTCAATGGCGTTTAGGGAGCAGTGTATATATACACGCTTATATACAAGCAGGTGGGCGCTCAAATGGAGAGAAATACAGAGCAATGGAGGAAGAGGCCAAGAAATGGAGAAAAAAAAACAGAGGGATGAACAAAAACTAATAGAGAAGGACAGAGAGAGCCTTTCCTCTAGATACCTCAGGATATTTCTGTCCTAAATTGTTCCCAAAAAGGCGGCAGGATGGCTACACAATCATCGCTGATGTTTTTCCCGTGGATGTATTTTAAAATATGTCCTTTTCTGTCAAAAAGGGTGAGACATTTTGTGCAAACTAAGCCAAGCAAATGAGATTTTCACACAAACAAGCATATCATTGAATCCTTAAATCTCTCCGACGATGACTTTATATGAAATCAACTACATCTAAGGAGCAGGCTTTCAAAACAATCACCTGTACCTATTCCAATCTTTTTCAATTTTTTTTCTGTCTTTTACAAGCTGCAGAACAATTAGATTCCATTCCTGACATTTCATTTTATGAAAGTAAAAAAAATAAAAAAAACATAGAGCAGGGAGAGGGGGGAAAAGGCTGTCAATTAAGAGGGAGCAGGCTGGGTGGCGGCAGCTTGGATTTAGTATTCAATTTAGCTGTCCTGAGCCCTGGCAGACTGGCTAAGGTTACGGAGCAGTAAATCTAGGAGGGAGAGCTGGCCAAAACGGGCCAGGGAGGGCTAGCCGGCATGATTTACTGGCCTACTGCTCCGAGGTTACGCATTAGGCTGACCCCCGGTCACCTGATAACATTACAGCAACACACTCTGAACCCCAAACTCCCACTGAAGCACTCAGCAGGCCCAGATCTAGCCGCAGGGAGGTAGAGAGAGAGAAAGGGAGGAAGAGAGAGGCAGAGAAACGGTTAGATGGAGATGGAGAGAGAGAGAGAGAGGCTGTTAAACAACAGCTGTCTCATAGTTTGTGTTTTTTAATGACTAGCCCTCCTTTCTCTTCTGTCTCCAGCTCGTGTTCTAATGAGAGATAAATATGAGCATGGCCTTGTCACATTTGACAAATCGTCTGAGACGTTCAACAAGCTGTCATTACACAGAAAACACACATACATGCACAAAGGAATTGCTGCAGGCTTGTAATTAAACATGCTAATGTCTTTAATATATTTTAATCTCATCTTTGAGAGACAGAAGACGCGCACAGCTCTCATCTCAAGTTTTGCAAATCTGCGAGATGCATGCAAATAAAAAAAATATTCAGAATTCGAAGACCCTGATATGGAATATTTAGCATCTGATCTTGTTTGCATGTCATTTCCCAATTTAAGATTGCATATGAAATTAATATATAACATCTGACTGTAGGAACAATGAGTAATTTCTTTGCTAATTTGAAGCAGGTAGAGATCTGTAATTTCCTTAGGCTGCCTGACAGGCTCATTTCCATGCTGGGGCCTTTGTTTGGTTGGTTATTTATAAGAAGTGGGCCCCTGAGCCATGGTGGCGACATGCACCATCCACACACACAGCACAAAGCTATCTGGAAGTAATCCACATCAGGGACATTTGCATGGAAAATGTAACATGGATTATAATTAATCTAAAGTGACATGGGATTATAAAAGACAATGTAAATGAAGCAGGGGGAAAAGCACTTTCTGCCTTTCCTTGCCCCTCCCCCCTCTCTCTATCTATCTGCCCCTCTTTGTTTAAAGGATCTTGGTCTTGGAGATGAAGTGCGCAAACACACTGCTCACTTGGTCACACTGTAATCCCTTCCCTGGAGATCTCCATACTGACACACACACACAAACACACACACACACAGACACAGATCTGAACATTTGAGGCTTGCCAGAGATTTGGGGCTGAGGATGGAGATGCTAAATCTTACTACTTTAAGCTGGAAAGAGGGAAAAACAAGGCCCTGACTCTGGTGATAACCCTAGCATAACAACACACGGACACACCAGACGTTCTTTTGCATTTTCTGGCATTTGGCTTCCTGAAGCCTCCTTTAATCCGAATGCAAATAAAACACCAAAAACCACTCGAGCAATAATATATCTAGCTTCCTAGCCAAAAAAAATAGCTGACCCCAGGGCAAGTCCTCGAACAAATTATTCAGAAAAATAAAGAGGCATACATTTGTGCTTTATTAAATAGATATCCGACATCTGATAAACTACACTTGGGGCGATGAATGCATGTACATAAGCAGGCTTCAAAGTAGGAAGGACCAGGACACTTTTTTTTGCATGTGTGCAGTGGTGTTAAATGACGCCGGCGGTAATATGCGGCGGTAAATGCATGGATGGTGGTTCCCCGCCAGTCTGTCAGACGGGCCTGTCAGAGAGATAGAGCTGAAAGATAGATGACTAGCTAAACTAATAGGCCCCAGCCTCACTCAGCTCTCCTTCTGCCTCATTGAGCCTCACATTATGGAGCTAGGTATGGCATGCTAGGAAGAGGAGGTGGGGAGGGAGCTTGAGATGGATAGAGGTTGGGAGTTGGAAGGTGTATGCGTGTCTGAGTTGGGGGTGGGGGTGGTGGTGGTGGGGGTGTAAGAGAGAGAAAGAGGAGGAAAGACATTAGTAGAGGGAGAAAGAATGAGAGAGAGAAACCCATGCAATGACAGAGAAAAAAAGAGGAGAGAGACCCCATGCAATATTCATCCCAAGCCATGGATTTCCATCTCATACATAAAAGGACCATATGAATTCTTATTTGGGTAAATCAAATCTAACAAAGCCGGGGCTATCCCGACCACAGCCTCGCAGCAGAGGCATTATGTGCTCCCTACCTCGCCCAAAATAACAAAAACACCAAGCCTTCTTGTACGGATTGTTGCTCCTCCCAGCTTACAACATTGTCATACTAACAAACAGCCCTTTCTGTTTTGTGCTCTTTTTCTATCCGAGGTAATGCCGGGTGATAGGGTCACAGATTGGACAACAATTAAGGGATGGATTGAGCCGGAGAAAAAATGGGTGGGGGGGAGAAAAATGAAGGGAGGATGCAAGAGGGGGAAAAAAACTAATTTAAGGGTTGCAGGGATGCGGTGCAATATTAGAAAAACATATACACAGGCCCCCCCATCTAATCCTGCGCTTATGAAAAATTAATATGTCATCGGAGAGGGCACAAGAACGAGAAAAGATTAATGCAAGGCGCTTATAAATTACAAGCACGCAAACTGATTTGATTAAAAAATAATCTGGGGCCTGGACATTGCCTGGTAATATCCACAACACTCAACTTATCCCTCTCCCTTTCTCTCTGTTTTTTTTCTCCCTCCTTCTTTTTCACTCTCTCTCTCCCCCCTCTGTCTCTCCCTCTCTCTCTTTCTCTTTTTCTCTTTCTGTCAGATGGAAACGATTAAAGCAGGTCACATGGAGGCTAGTCGGCAGCATTCACATGCTACACACACATGTTAGAACCTTATCTGAGAGAGAGTGAGGGAGAGGGATGAGCTATAACTTGAAAAAGAAGGGAAGCTTAAGGTTCATATGTGATTTTTGTGTGTGTGTGTGTGTGTGTGTGCGCAAGTGTGTGTATATGTTACGTGTGTGAATTAGGACTTACGGTCAGTTCTCCGGCTGTCAGTCAAATCCCGGTCAGTAAGGTTCAGTCCCAGCCGAGAGGAGGAGCGGGGAGGTCGCTCACCATCCTCTGAAGTCTCTTCTGAAAACGCAGAGAAATGGACTACATTACCCATAATGCACAGTAGAAACATTCTACTTACTAGCTGGGGGATCAGCATTGAAAAAGAAGCCTGCTAGGGTACTGTTGTAATATACAAGAGTCATTTTGAAAATATTACTGTTTAATGTGTTTCTAGTTTACCGTAATATGTGGAATATCCCACCCAACGAAAAACTTCACTTGAACAAAATGTTCTGTTGAAAAAAAAACCCATGCAGTACCACTTAAACTGAATGAACTTAAACATAAACAGGGTTGAAAAGAGGGCAAAGCATTTGATAACAAAAAACCGTCCAACAAAGAAACAGCTTTAATCATTGTGGTCGCTCTAAACAGCCGGAAAAAAATGTATTTACATTTACACGCCAATATAAATCCTTCAAAATAACTTTTCCCCTTTTCAAAGCTTTTCATTATAACATCAGGTTAGATGAGTTTCTAAATTACAGAATAAAGAAAAAAAGCTCTTTTACTTTCAGTTTCCTCAACAGGAGTAAATAAAAATCTGTCCATTCATCTTCTTTCAAATCACTAAAAAAATGGAGGTCAATGGTAATATGCTCACATGGTGTAAACACTCATTGTTCCCTTGAAGGCCAGTGTTTAAAGAAAAGAGTGAAAACTTAAAACAGAGATGTTCACGACTACACCCAATATAGATATTGTGTCTATGCATTGTTGCAAAATATTATGCACACGCGCACATGCACAGGCAAACCAACCAACACACACACATGCAGCTCTGTAATATTAGCAGATTAGCCTGCCCATCTCTGAGAGTTCAGCCCCTTGTTTGATAATTCTGTGTATCTGCAGTGTTCTGCCAGTGGATTAAAGTGTGTGTATGTGTGAGTGTGTGTGCGCTTTGTGTGTGTGTGCGTGCGTGTATGTGTGTATATGTGTCGCCAGCACAAGCTAACACTAATCCTAGCCAAGCCCCAGCGCTCCCTTTCATCCAGCCATCATTTGTCTCCGGCTGGGCTGATGTCACTTTGTAATGAATTTTGAGCAGTCTGAGAGAGGCCAGATAACCAGGCATGCGCACACACACACACTTACACACACTCAAACACACACACACGCTGAAAAACATATATACACATATATAGTCCCCTCCTCCAGCTCTGGGTAGCACACACAAATGCAAAAAAAATCAAACAGAAACACTTGCACACAGGCATCAAATCATACACTCACAGTATCATATCCACACACACACACACACACACACACATAGACACACACACACGGAGCAAAAGCGTTAAAAATTTCATGTCTTCTAAACGGGAGGGGGGGTGGGGGGTCTCTCTCTACCACAAACCCCTCACTCTGCCAGAGAATAATACTGGTGGATGTGTCTGCTCTGTGTGTGCATGTGTGTTTGTGTGCATGTGTATAAAAGAGCTGTGCTCATCAATCCTGCACTGCCTTAATAACCATATTTTACATCACACACACACACACACACACACACACACACACACACACACACACACACACACACACACACACACACACACACACACACACACACACACACACACACACACACACACACACTTACCCAGAGTCATATTCATAGAAATCAGGCAAAGGGTGCACTAAGGTCAGCTCGCATTTGCATACAATCACTTTGGCCATTGTATGACGAGCACAAGGGGTCCGCAAACCCCCCTCGGAAACATGATATGATTAACCCTTTCACATACAGCGGGGTGCCTACACACATGCACAAGTAAAGACGCACACACACACAAAGAAACAGACAGACAGACACATAGACTAAGCACTGGCGCCGTTGCTTTAAGCGCCAACACATTAAGTGGACATTATATCCAGCATGAAATTTTCATGGCAGATGCTGGCATGTGATTGAAGAGGAAAAATCCGGTCGGGTGTGTGTTTAGACATTGTTGTATTTTTGCATTTGCACACGCTTGTGAGCGCTGTACACGCTTTGCACAAGAGTGTACACATTCTGTTTCAAGGTGCATGTGTGCATCCCTCTGTGTGTGTATGTGTGTGTGTGCGTTGGAAAAAAAAGAGAGAGAGAGCGACTGCACTCTGCTCCTGATGTTTTATTAATATGTTGGTGACAACGGGGATGAAATATCTCCTGTCAGCCAGGAGAGCCCGGCTGCAGAAATTGCAATTTTCACTGCTGGTGCTGCAGCGTCCATCTTTGTATTTTAATTCAACCCCACCTTCACATGGATGGAAACAGGAAGATAGCCTGTGAGTGTGTGTGTGTGTGTGCATGTGGGTGTAAATGTGTGTGTGTGTAGTGGGTTTAAAAGTCCTTCCTCACTGATTTATCTTTTCTCTGTACTTGACTTTTGTTCGATGCCAAGGAAAAGCAAATGGCACAAATCGAACAGCATGTTTCACAGAAGAGTGAGAAAAGGAAGGGGAGGGAGAAGGGTCAAAATAGAAATAGAGAAAGGGAAAAAAATAAGCTCTGGTAGATCACACATTCTGCAAGGTCAGGGAAATGTCTCAAAAAAGAGAAGAAAAGAAATCTCCAAAAGCAGGAGGACAAAAACACCTTTTCATCTCCTTTGTCACTACCCGCTGTATATGAACATATAACAGTAAAAGACATATACCTTTGCTTTTGATTGAGAGTGATCTCTTTTTATATAACAGGTTAATTTCAGGTTGTTATCTTTACATAATATTATCACTTTCTTAATATACTGAAGGTTTAATTTTGTCACAAATAGATTTAATTTCCCTGGTGTATTTTAACAGTTCTGTAGGTGAACACAAACCAAGTTATTACTGTCATTATCATGCGCACAACACCTAACAGCATACTGAGTGTAATGATCAATGTGAGCACATACTCTTATTAATAAACTAAACTTTATGAGGTAATTTGTTGAATAAAATTTGCGAAGAAATGGGTGCGAATGAAAATACTGCTTCATTATTTCCATACAAAACAAAGGGTGAGGTCTGTACAATAGACGCAGCAAGTGCCTGATCATCATCATGACGCCACTAAACCACTATCTTGACTCTAGGGGGCAGTCTACCTGTAGCTAGACGGGACACAAGAGAAACAAGAGACAATGAACAGAGAGAGAGAGGGAGGACTGAGGGTGAAGAGTGGGTGAAGAAAGAGAAGAAGAGAAAGAAAAGGAGGGGTGATCATCTGGGCCTCATCAGTGTTTTTTTTTCTCACTCCTTTCCCCTTCTAGATCTGCGGTGAGCGCGTGTGTGTGTGTGTGTGCGTGCATACAGGGAATGTGTTTCCACACTGAGGACATTCCCAGACGAGCTCTCTCGATACATCAGCACAGCGTCTGCCCTCTGACTGACCCTGACAGTTAACGCACCACATGAGTGTGTGCGTGGACGCGCGTGCGACTCCGCGTGCGCATGTTTGGGAGTGTTTGTGTGGATGTGTGCCATTGATCAAGCGAGTGAGACAGTGACTGCATGTGTTTGCATGTGAGTTGTCATGTGCAAGAAAGAAAGAGCATGAGGGAGACAGAGAGTTCTGCGGCAGGGACTCTTTAACCATCAACTTAATCGCTACCAGAGCAAAAACTTTCGCAGTCACCTTCCACTGCCTCTGTGCGCGCACACACACACACACATATAGAGGAGGTGGGTCAGGCTAAGCAGGGTGTGTGATTTTGGCAGCCTGGTGGGACTCTCTTTGATGTGGGTCGGTCGGAACATTAAAGCCGGCCGGTGAGCTCGAGCTAACCACAGACCCTGGGTCCGATTACCCTGCAACCAACACTGGCCTATATTTAACTGTTAGAGAGGAAGAATAATTAAGTGACTCCTGATCAGGGATACAGCGAAATGAGTCTGGTTTTTAAATTTAACTATTAATTGAAAGGCAGTGTAACTAATTAGGGTCACTGGATGAATACGTCTCTTGTTTGTCTGAAAAAATACATCAAGAAGTCCTAGAAAAACTCGCCGTTTTCCATAATCGAAGAGGAGAGTAATGTGATCCAAATTTCCGATGTAAATCTAAGTGAGAAAGTTTCACATGCAACTTCAAAACATCACAAAAATAGAAAAAGAAAAAGCGAGTGTCAGATAAGAAGAGAGAAATACAGAAAGAGATGTTTGGAAAGAAGAAAAAATAGACATATGGGAGATGGAGGCAATGGAGGATGTATTGAAAGTGTCAGTGCACTGAATGTGTGTGTCCGTGTGTGTGTGTGTGTGCCCTCTAGCTGTATAATGACCTGCTCTGAGACCACTCGCTCCCCTTCCCAGTCTCCCCCTAAGGGCCCATAACCGCCATGCCGGGTCATTATGTGCCCGTTGGAGGACTCAGTCGCAACAGCACACAACCGTAGAGCAATGCCATCTCTGAGAAACTGGACGCCAAGGCTCCAAAATGGCTGAATTCATTAGCTGGGGCCGAGCTGCCTTTAATTTGCTTCCTTAGGGCTCGGATGGTGCTCATTAAAGGGGTAAGGGAGTAAAAAGAATGTTTTTTTTTTACATTATTGTTTATCTTAAATCACTGGCAGTATGAAAACGGGGCATCAAGAGAAACAGTAATTGCTAGCAAAGAAACTACGTGAAATGCATGAGAATGATAGCATAACTAGACTGAAAAACCAATGCTGTACAGCTGTTAGCTCCGAAACGCTACAGCAGAATCTGTGCTGTGTGGTTATATGTGTAGAAAATGATAAAAAAGACAAGATATGGTGTGTATCTGCTGTAGCTGTAGCTAGTAATGCAGCCTTTATGTTTTGTGTAACACCCATGACTGCCATGTCTCCCCCACTTAGCCGTGATGTTGACGCTGATTTCTTCTTACAACTCTGGTCATGTCCCCTGTGAGACCACGTGCATGTGTGTGCGTGCGTGCATGTGTGTACGCGATAGGGGCCCTGTGATGTCACATTCCTGCGCCGCGCGTGGCTCTAGTTTGGCCTCTAGGTTTTAAAGGGGAAAGCTTTGAAACATTACACCATCCCACACAGTCACAGGCGGTGCGCACACGCACGCACAGTCAAGGGCCAGTGGTAATACTGCCAGGGTAATAACCTCACAGACTTACTGATCCCCCCCCTCTCCCCTCCTCTTCTGTTCTCTCACCCTCAAATCTTTATTTACCCTTCTCTCCCTCTCCACCTCCCTCTCTTCCCTCGTTCTCCCTGTACCTTTTCCCCCTGAATTTCAGCGCGTTTAACAAGCATTTAGATCTTAACCAGATGTTGTTAATGTAGCATGTCTAAAATACTAAACATCAACCCGGCGGAGAGGGGCTACAGCTCCTGCACAGGGCCTGGGAATAACTGACACACACACGCACACACACCTGCCTTCGCTCACACACACCTACACACGCAGGAATCACTCTGCACATAACACACACATCTACTCCCACACCGCGTTCAATGTATTTCACGCACAGAGGCCCACAGCCCACATGCTAACATGTAAACAGACACACACCAGCACAAGCAAACACACGTGTTTCCATCCGCCCACACACACCCACGTTATTGCTGAAAACACACGAGAACTTATTACAGCTCCGAAAAAAAAAAAAAAAAAAAAATCTATTGTTTCAGGTTGACTCTGAAAGCCAGACAATAGGATTGTCACATTTAATGCGCTCCTGGTGTGAATGTCAATAAGTTGAACTGACAGAATAAGCTGAAAAAATGACTTTTGTGTAAAAAACGCTTGTATCAGCAGCTCCAAATTTGCTTTGTTGTTGTCAATTACGACTTCCTGAGACGCTTCATTGTATTTTCTTTCGCTCAAATTGCCCGCGCGGCTGTCTTGCAGGCGACTAACAAAACACCTATTACTCCTTTTGGAAAAAAAAAAAAGAAGAAAAAAGAGAGAAAATCATATGAATAAACATAGCTAAGATTAAAGGCTTGCATGTCTTGCTTGCTGCGCAGACAGAAAGTGTTGTTTCGTGTTAAGAGGGGTTTCATTTTCAGCGCTGTGAGCACTGGGGGGGATGCTGTTAATGATTCTTTAATAGCAAATACAAAAGGTTTTCACAGGACAAAAATATGGCTTCAAAAGGTTCGGTGGTGGAAAAAAAAGAGTGCCTCAACACCTGGCGTTATACAAAAGGCTAGCACACCTACTGTACACCTCCACACGTGTGCGCACACACACACACCTGCATCTTACACAACAGCCATATTGCATTTCGGCTGTTTGAATCACCTCAGGCTGAGTAGGTGAATTGAAGAGGCGGCACGGCAAGCTTACAGAGGGATTTAGGAATAATTTGAAAAGAAGATTCCTCTCCTCTGTTTCATCTCCCCTCATCTCTTTTCTTTATTTTCTGTTTTTCCGGGTCTTTTATGATTCCTCTGTCCAATATTTATCCAGCCCCTGATTATAAACATCTGGCCGATGGGGCAGTCTGCACAGCGGCAGCCGTAGAAAAAAAAAACACACACACACACACATAAAAAAAAACAAAAAAAACACACGCACTCTAAGAGAGTCACACACATAGAGGAAATATCACACACGCTCGCCAACGTGACCCTGTCAAGTCCAGAGAGGAGGACAGACGGAGGGAGGGGGGAACAGAAAGAGAGACAGACAGAGAAAGAGAGAGAGAGAGAGAGAGGGAGAGAGAGAAAGTCAGACCAGACACAGACGGAGACACAGAGAGAGAACTAGTAGCTGAGGGTTAATGGCCTTCCCATCTCTGTGATAAGAATTCATTCTGTTCTATTACCAGCACTTATCTACAGACGCTGCTGTCTTTCCCCTCTCTCTCTCCCTCAAAAACACACACACACACACACACACACACATACACTCTGACAGACACACGCACGCACACACAGCAAGGGTCCGAGATCGATAGATGAACCTAATGAAGAAAGCAGCTGTTTCTCGGCATACCTGCTCAACTCTATCAGCTCAACAAGATCTCCCTGCCGCATTCATCCGTCTATCTATCCATCCACCTATCTATCCATCTGTCCATCTATTTTTATATCTTTTCACACAACTATCCATCCATATACCTGTCCTATCTGTCCCTCAGTGCCTCCATTTATCCCTCTATCAGTCCATCCATCTTTACAAGGTAAACAAAGATACCAGCAGGATAGACAGAGTTTCCAATTGACCAGACTGGTCCTTGTCATGTATTCAAGGTTTATTTATTTTCCGGGAACTAATACGAGGAAGGGAATCTAATAAAATGGCTGCCATGGTTTGAGAGAATGGCGATTTTTTTTGTTGGTTTTATTTATTTATTTGTGTTGGTGAGTGGATGTGTCTATGCTTAAAATAGGCCTGTGACGGGCAGTGGCCAAATGGATAATGCTTAAACAGATCTTTATCCTATTGGGCTACTGTCCCGTTTTAGCGGCATAAAAACCATCTGCTTTTAGAGCCACCAAAAACAAGACCGTAATCCTGGGCTGGAAATCAAAGAAAAGATTGGAGTAGATAGAAAGGAGAGATGAAAATACTGTTACGATATCATGAGAAGTAGTATCGTTTACTGGTCTGCATTAGTTTTGTCAAATCTGAACTATGAATTTGCTCCTATTTTTACAGAAAAGCACATTTTAGTAAAGGATTTTCTCCTCTTTCTTGATAGATATGCTTATGTTTATTAGACTGGCTAATGCTAATCGCTATTTTACATGTTAAAGAGAAGCCTTACACCTGTTGAACCTACTCACTGCTGGATTGGATCGGTGCATTCAAGGTTCAAAAAGCAAGTCTCTGTTTGCATTCAGGGGCAGAGTTTATCTTCTGGTTCTCATTGGTTTCACTTCCAAGATATCATCTGCCAATACAACCACGAAGAAGTGCTGCACAAATAACAACCATATTGGTTTGAATATAAGACTTTTTCCCTTTTAACATGTGTAAAAAAGGTGAGATCATTGTTCCAGGTCTTCACGTTTGAGTGTCAGCATACGTACAGTGAAGTAACTGATTCTTTTACTGTCACCCAAACGCCACACGTCACATTTGTCGACCAACAAAGCGGCGCAGAGAAAACAGTAGAACCTGGATGCTGTCACTCTCTCAAGTTTGCTCAACAAAAACAGCAGAAAAAAAAAACACTTCTTTGTTGATTCTAAAGAAATGAGAGGAAATACAACCGAACTACAACTCCTGTCCTAGAAAGGAGGTTAAAAAAAGTGACTGGCTGGAGGAGGTGGATTAAACAGCAGGGGTGCAATATAGGCAAGTGAAGGCACAGCATTGCGCTCGCATTAGTCTCCCACAAGTTGATCGGGATGAAGTTAAAAGAAGTTTACACCACAGTGTCAGGACAGATAGGAGATTGCTGCTGGTCCTGGCTTTATAGATGGAAATTAACAATGAAAAGCAACATCTTTTTCCATCATACACAAGATATTATGGGATAACATGCACATTTTATCGCATTAATCATTCAATTAGTTTCTTTAAATCTAATTTGTTGGGTAATAGCAGCAGAGTTTTTGATGTTTTATTATTGGTAACTGCAGGTTGTCAGGCAAAAATAGATATTTATAGCTTACATCCGACAGTTGTTTGTTAAGATTTGAGTTATACCAACATTTACCTCAGGTTTCCTTTCATTCTTTTACCTTTCAACACTTCTACATGCTACCTTCATTAACATTGACATACAGTTGAGTCTGGAGCGCCACATAGTCGCCAATGCTCCATAACAATTTCATATACTGGCTATAAGTCCATGTGATGGCCATAGAGGGGTGTGCAAAACAAAACAAGTCTGCATCATGAGGGCTTTATTATGTGTTGAGGTAAAAAAGGATGGCATGACTCCTCGGCGTAAGAAGAAAAGAGTCACGGAAGAGAAAGGAATAAATATCTTCAAGCCCAAATATTTATTAGGTTGCTCAGAATCTCCAAAAATGACCACATGGAACCTGTAACAGAATGTGATACACACACACACACACACAAATGAACGCATGAAGACACAGACCCGGGGCAACCGCCCCCGGAGATGATATTCGCAGACGGTTACAAATAAGGAGTGTTGGCTTTCCTCTGACTTTCTCAAAAACATGCAAAAAATGTCCATTTCATTACTGGCTAAACAATGTCATATGGGCCCCCACTGGCTCTAATAGAAGCAGACAAAGACAGAGCAGCACACATGTGCTTCGAATAAATCAGATTACTGAGCGAGAGTGGGGGAGAGAAAGAGTGAGAGAAAGAGGGAAAGAAAGAGAGACACCGCCAGACACTTAGAGGATTGACAATATTCCCTTTTCTTGCTACCTCCACCCCCTCCTTTTTCCTCCCTTTCCTCCACTTTCTTAACTCCCCTCCTCCTCCCCCCAGCGGGATCTGTTTCAGATTTGAGCCAGTGCTAGAGCCATATCTCTCCCTTATCTCTGCTAGCCGTCAGAAAACAGAAAGCTCCATGTTTCCATGCATTAGACTCCCGGCCCCTGACACGCCACTTGAAAATCTCACAGCCCCTCAAAATGGTTGAGCAGGAAAATAAAAACAGCAAAGATATCATTTAATCAAATGAAATACAGGTTGCCGGGGTTGCATTGATATTATTTTTTTGGGAGGGGAAATGCTCTGATGCTGTGTCATATCAAAGAAAATGTCAGCCGTGAAAATTATGGAAATGCATTTTTGGCATTGTGACAACAAATGTCAACCAAAATCCCCTAAAATGAGATCAGTCTTAGAGAAGCACAAAGCGTCATTAACTGTTTTTTGAAAAGCCATCAGAGTTTGAGGGACTGTGACATTTTTTCACCCCCCTGACCACCTCTGAAAATCGACCTCCATGAAGATATCCTGTCGTGCTTTTGGCTCCAATTATGCCAAAGCTCCTCTCCAATGACTGTAAAGAGAAGTATTGATTCCCTGTAAAGTTGTTACAAAAAAAGAAGAAAGCGCAGACAGGGTGGGGAATATGTTAACAATTTGAGGAAAAAGGAAAAATCAATATTCAAATGACTCCTTTTATTGATTTATAATTAGGTCTTAATTGCGGCTAGGCTTGGACTCTCCGACCGCTCTGTGACGTTAGCCGGGGAAAGAAGATAGGGGAACATTATTGATACACTTTAACAGTGGTGGTCGCCCAGACATTGATTCAGCCGTTTTGCGGTGCCTTTGGCATGCTCTGAGGGCCTAAATGCACGGAAAACACACACACACACATGCAAACACACACATACACACTTACATCGCACATACACCTGCATGCACAAACAAATACACACTTGGTGAAGTAACACAGCATAATTAACCTTCATCTGGGAAAAGTCAGGCCTCCCTTATCTGCAAACTTGATTCTGCATGTGTGTGTTAATGTGTGTGTGCGTGTGGGTGTTGTAATTACTCTATTAGGTGTGGAACTGATTGACTTCAGATGGTGTTGGTGGAGGTATTATTGCAAACAAAATAAGACAGTGTGTGTGTGTGAAGTGAAATCTTATTCAAGCCTTCATGCAGACAGTATTTATGTCTCACAGGTGTGTATGGGTGTCTCTTCATGTCCTATATGAAAGTGTGTGTTCGTGTTCGAATCTGTCCGTGCATCAGTCCCCACAGGCCTAATCAGGTATCAGATACCTTTTGTTTTGGGAGCTCATTGATGGATGAAATCTTTATCTGTGCTATTGATCAGGAGGGCGCGGGTCCTAAACTGTCTGTCTAGCTGCCTGGCTGCTCCGGCTCTAACAAGATTGCCAGGGCCGAGTATATCAGTTAACATTTAATCAATGGCAGCTTAAGACACTGGGGCTAAGGGAAAGAAGCCCACCGCCTCAGCCCCCTGCCCCAAACCATTACCCGGGATTGAAGGGGAACTATACTTCTGTGCGTGTGTGTGGGATCCAGATGATTACAAAGGATTGGGTCTGGTTGATCACATGTCTTCGGGGGACAGAGGTGTGTGTTTGCGAGTGTGTATGCGTGCGTTTGTATGTCAGTGTTTACAGGCATGTGAATGCCGGCTTGTCGATACATGTTAATACGCCAAAAAACGCCAGAGGGGGTGGTTTGTGCTACGTTTCCACGCTGCTCTGAAGAAAATAGGAAAACTGAATAAAGTGACTGATGTGTTCGAAAAAAATTGCTATTAAAATCAAGTGAAGGCTTCAAATTGAACACGGCTGTGCGAAAAACACTCGCACACACACACACACGCAGCAGAGGAAAGATATGACATATCAGGGAATGCGTGATTTTATTTTTTCTGCCTTGCTTGCAAAAAGCCTCCTGATGGTAAAATGCAAAAAAAGGAGAGTCAGCAAAAAAGAAATATGATCTCTTAGACTTTTTTCTTGCTTTTTTATTTTACCATCAGCTCATCTTTCTGTAAATGAAACCCCATCAGATCTAAGAGGCAGATCCTTCGTCTCCCATCTCCAATTTTTCCTTTCATTTTCTCATTCACGCTATCGCTGAACCTCATCATCATCAAATCTCATTTCGAGAGAATTAAAGATGTACTTATACTAGTTGCCTATGCAAGTGTGTGTGTGTGAGAAAGAGAGAGAGAGTGTGTGTGCCGTGCAGGTCCACAGTCTGCATGTGTGTGTTTGTCAGGGGGTTGCTCTGACGGGGGAAGCCCCTCTCACGTCCGTGCCTTTCGTCCAAAGCCTGGGAGATTCCCACCACCAAAAATCAATGTGTGTGAGAGCATATGTGCGCTTGTGTGTGTGTCAAGGTTTTGTAAGACAAATCTCTCCAGCGTGCGCCGCTTTAGTGCTATTGAACCAGGCTTCGATCACTCGGCCACTGTGAATAATGCAAGGGAGGCTACTGCTCACTTACAGCACAGGATCCTCGCAATGAGTGTGTGTGTGCGTGCGCGCGGGCACATGTAAGCGTGTGACAGGATGGTCCTTTTTCCCTCTTGCAAATGCAACAGGGCAGTTCTTCGACGTTCCTCCACTTGGCCCTCTTAATCTCGTGTCAGATACAGGAACTCCCACATTGATACTGTCTCTTTGAGTGTGTGTGTGCGTGTCCGCGCGTGTGTGTGCGTACGCTGGAGGCTTCTACAGTAGACGGGAAGAGCTTAACTCAAGCAGACAGCTCAGGCCTGCACTTTGACACACCCTGACTCATTACATACAGCCGGCACACAGCGGAATATTGTCATTAAAAAAGACAATTAGATACGAAGTCAAGGGAGCATCACTTACACACACATGGACACACACGCCTTCGCACACACACACACACATATACACACACAGGGCGGGAAATATAGGTGAACACTCTCGTCTTCATATCCCCAGGTATATGAAGCGGAGATATTAATAATCAGGATGTTACAAAGTAATTAAAATAAATCCAAATGATGAGTGTGTGTGTGTGTGTGTTTTGAGTGTATGTGTGTTTTTTGTTAATTAAACTGAAGGATCTGATATGACACAAACCGTAATGCTTTAATGGTGTCCTATACTTGATGTAGCTGGAGGGGACGACAGTTGACAGGGCTATAGGGAGTGACAGGACAACACACACACACTCACACACACACGCAAACACAGAGCTGCTTATTGGCCCTGCCTAAGAGGAGCATCTCTTTTTGCGACATAATTATCTGTGTCATCACTTATTAGGCAATTAAACAAACATCAGTTTCTATTTCCTCTCCCTCCATCTCTCCTCTCTTCCTATTTCGCCTCCTCATCCTCTTCTCTCCTATTCTTTTCTTCTTTTTTTTATTTAATCTTCTCCTTCCTCCTCTCCTCTCCTCTCCCTCTGCTCCTCTTCCTCCCCTCCTGTGTGACTCCAGACAAGGTTTCAATTTCAGCATGCTGATTGTCTCATTGCCGACTCTATGCATGTCTAACACTTACTAGCACTCTGGGGACTGGCAATACACACCATAGAATGCCTATTACACTCCCACACATTCTTGGTGAGTGTGTGTTCCTGTTTGTGTGTGTGTGTGCGTGCATGTGTGTATGTGTGTGTTTGTGTGGCAAGGGGTGATGAGGGTGTAAAATGCCTATTACGCTGAGAGTCTGGTCTCTCTTACACTGGAGAGAATTCTCCGGCGCCTAAAGAGCAGAAAATTGCAACGCTCCTCTTCCTCACTCCCCATTAACCTGCTTTTGAAACAAAGGCCTGACCAAGGTGTGCCCGAGTATGTGTGTGTGTTCGCGAGTGTGTACTCTTTCCCATTAGCCCCCATGTGCCATCATGGGAACAGCACACTGTGGGTCCAACCAAGCGGAAACACCAGCGTCTCATCTGCATATACGTTGACTTTCCTTTGTTTTCCATTATATTTAAACCATCTTTCGGTGGCTACTTTTAGCTCACTTCACCTTTACACCGCGACACCTTTAGCTCGCCGTCTACTCGCTCACTATTCAATCATCCACTTTAAAAAAATCTACATTTTTATGCCCCCCGAAAATGATCTTGTCACTCATTTTACCGTCTTCCTTTCTATCCGTCATCAAAGATGGCAAAAGGAGAAGGCATCTTTTTGAGGAGCGTCAAGATGACTAAAGCAGCGGGCATATTTGTCTAATTTGCACAAAGACATCCACATCAAAGCACAAATCAAGACCAAAGCTCATTCAATGGATTTTTATCAGTCTATCCATTTCTCGCTCTTTTTTCTTCCTCCTGCATCCTTTTTTCTCCCTCTCTGTCACATTCCTCTTTCGCTCTCTATTTTTCAGAGCGTTATTAGAACATGATAAAAGCGAAAGGGATGTCATGACACGGGACCCCCTGTTAGCATTAGGAGGTGGGAGAGAAAACGAACGAGAGAACGAGAGGGAGGGGAAAAAAGGGAGAGAAAAGATGAAAGAGATTTGTCTGGAAATTATTGCTCACAAGGCATTGATTCTCTGCTTTAATCTCACACAGTGTGCTCAAATTTCCTATTAGGGAGATGGAGAAAAGGAGAGAGAGGGAGATGGGTCTTATTCACATAGGTGCGGAGGTGAAACTTGGCATGGCTCTCGGTGTTTCTTTGGGCAGACAAAACATACTATTTCCCTTATTCTGTAAAGAAAAACAAGGTCTAAAATCTATTTTTTCATGCGCCGCCTTGCTCTCCATTAGTCTCCTGTAGGTAAACATGGGAGAGAAACAGTTATTGCTAGAGAACAGCTGGAGGGTCACATACACACATGTACTCGACAAGCCACTGACAGCTGCTGTAGCTGCAAAGCTTCCCCCGGTTAGCGACGATTAGCCTTGGCTATAGGTAATCAATAGCTGCTATCAATTCCATACCTCCAATTGATGGATGAGGTAAGGAAACCGAGGAGAGTGAGGCAGAAGGGGCTGATATAGGGAGAATGTGTTGCTGCAACAAGCCATGACAGAAACTCTACCTGACAAAACAACATCCCAAAGTAACGCTCCTTCTTTGTGTGTGTGTGTGTGAGTGTGTGTGTGCATATAGGCTGCTGCTTTAAATGTCCATCTGTGAATTGAATCATCGCAGTCTGAGATTAGTAGCTGCTTGGACCCGGCCAGCGTATTGCCTGGTTACCGTGGCTCCGGCTCCTCACAGCCCTCCTCCCATCAGCGGATTGTTTGTCTTAATGCTGTGTGACATGGCCCATTGTTTTGTCCATCTGTGGTTAAGAGTCAATGGACAGAGGGTGTATGAGGGGGATCGGGGAGAGACCGAAGAATGGAGGTGAGGGAGAAGAAAATAAAGAAGAGCTGGAGTGAAAAGAGAGGGAGGGGGTGTAGGCAGGAAAAAGGGAAAGAAACAGGATGCATAGATGAGCTGAAAGGTGAAATACTGAGAGTTGGGGGGGAAACATGCAATAACCGTGTGATTTCAATATGGTCCTCAGGCTTCCTTTTCCAGGACCTTCCAGAGGCGTCAACTTCCATATGGACCAGGCTTTAAGCTCATTGATATCACTGACGTGAAAGGGATCCTGGCCCTGACGCCAGTCCCCCCTTCAAAGGGTTAAGTCATATTTAGTATGCGTCCTCATAGCCCCACGGCTTTGTATTGTAAATAAGACTAATGTGGCATTGGTCAGGTATGCTAATTCAGATAATCAGCGCAATTTCTGCAAATTATAACTGTCAGTGCGGTGGGCACAGAACCTTGGCGGAAAACATGAGGGAACAATTTAGCCGGGTAATACCCCTCCACCAAAGAGCTGCTCAACTCAAAGAAAAACAATCGGCCTGAGCCCATACCGCCCCGACACACCATTTCAAAAATAGTTTATGGTGAACGAGGCTCTTTTTTTCAGGCACAAGTCAGCATGCTGCCCTTTTTTTTCCCTGTGTGCACACACAGACCGCAAAGTAATTATAATTCGCTTGGATGGAATTATTCAAAAAATGACCACATCTTTTACTCCCTCAGCCATAGAGAATATGGTTTTGGGAAATTTGGGGGTAAATTGCTACTTGCCGAAAATATAATAATATACATATATGAATGTGTCTTATTTTGATTTGACAAATGATTTAAAATGCAGCGTATTGTCTCCAACTAATTGTACGGCAATAAAAAGCAGCATACTTGACTAAAATCCTCCTGGGTAAAATCACATCACTCTCATCAGAATAGTTTTCTCCAGGAACGGCGTTTAACTCATATTGGGCACATAAAAAAAAACATTCCAAGTTTTTATTATGCGAGGAATGGATCCCGCCTGTCTGAAATCTGTGGACTTTACCTTTTATGTAAGTAAGTGCGCGCCTGTTCAACAGTAAATGAGAAAGAAAAGGTCAAATACTATTTGTTAAGTGTAGGTAATAAGCTGTTTGTAAGAGAATCGATATGCTACATAATTGGCTGCCCTTACCTATTAAACATCTAATCTAAACACAGATGTGTAACAGATCCCTGCATGCTAAGGATGAAAGGAAACAGTAACTAAAACTGTCCTTTTTCAGCTCGTCTCACCCCCTGCATCCTGACTTGAAAAAGAAAATGGCCACCACTGCGCTGACTCCAGCGGTTAGCTAGATCTGGGTGTGTGTTGCATCCTTTCTCTCACTCCTCCGACCATCCGTGACTGTTTATGTAATGGCCACAAATTACTGAGACAAACCCTGGAAATAGACTTCTGTCTGAGGAGAGAGGAGAACCGCTGGAATGGCGAAACCAGCCCTGCCACCCGGAGGGGAAAAAAGTAGAACATGAAGAAGTAAAAGTGAAGAAGGACGAGGGAAAACCTAATACGCCTAGAGATGCTCGGGTGTCATCGCATCGAAATGCTCTTTGGGAGACAGCTAAGCCTTTTCCCACGATGTAAATTGAATGATCGCTTTTGGTGCTTTGACTCATCCAGTTTGGGTTAGGTAAATTTGGAAAACGAGGAAACGTCGGCGGCGCGACTGGAAACAAGCAACATGGCACATTTGCTCTCTGACCAGGTGCCATCGCCTCTTGCTTGCAGCACACACACTCGCACACACACACAAATCTGAATCCACTTCTACAAACAAGCACATGTAGCGATAATAAGTGTCCATTAGGCTCGGTTTTTAGCCTACAGCAGCTATGTAAATGGTTAGCACAGCTACACTAATTTGACCAGAAACTGAAAATGTCCCAGAGCCTTATCACTCTGAGAAAACAAAAGACGCCGAATACACACACACACTCGCATGTACACGTCCACATAAAAGTGTTGTTGGTCTCTCTAAGTCCGACGAGGTCTTTTGTTTAAAAGAGGGACTCAGACAAAGAGGGCTCTCTCCCTCCCTCTTTAATGCATGTTGGGTGGTGGCAGTAGGATGGAGGGGGGGAGTATGGAGGGATGGAGATGTGTGGGTGGTGGGGTGGTGGAGGGATGGATGACAAGCTGGGCTCTCAGAAATAATTACCTCCATAAGATCCCATCTCCCTTTTCCTTTCTGTGAGGGACAGAGGGAGCAGAGGACGGGGGGGAGAAAGAAATGACAGAAAGTAAAGTATGCAGAAAAGACCCTTGTGTTTCTGCTTGGTCTGGCTTATGAGGAGCTTTACACATGATGGAGCACAAGGCTAATGGGCGAGGGTGCGTACATAGAAAAAACACACTCAGGCACACGTACAGAAACCTCCTCTTAGTGTTCTTCACTGCTAAACAAACGGTCAGCTGGTCGAGAGACATGAGCGCTGACAGAATAACATCCAGACAGAGAAAAATCATTGTAACAACTTAACTTCAGAGACTGTTAATGTCTCCCAAAATACGGTTTAACAAATTGGTCGAATTATAAAATCAATGATGGAATACCCATGACTTGCAATCTGTCATATTTTGCTTTACTTCTTGGATTTCACTAAACGGCTCCATTCAGGGCTTAACTTCGTTATGAAGTGGAGAAGGGCACCAAAAAAAATCTAATTTCTCTAACAACTTTTGGACGACCCTCAAAGTAAAATGGCGTCCGAGTCCTCCATGTTGAGAGGCAATTCATTTATGCATGCTCCTCTGATACAAACTGGCATTTTTTCATAAACTCAATTTTCTTTAACACTTCTAATTGTATACAGAGAGGGACGGTTTATCCGGGTAATGTGGACACAGAGGGCCTTTTGTCTTTAAAGGACACAGGGAGGGGAAAAAAAACAGAGTAAGAAGTTTTGTCTGAACAGCCGATGAGAGTCAGATATCCCCCCCTTGACAATTGTGTTTACCCAGTGTAAAGGATGAGACGGCTGGGCCCAGGTTTGGGGAATTTCAACCTCAAGAGTGCACAAGCAAACCCACGTGTTGACATGCACACAATGCAGTCTGACAAAAGTGTTGCGTGTACACTCCCGTCTTTGTTCGAAACACCTATACCCTTTGCGGTGTGTCTCTGCAGAACTGTATCCTTAATTAGGCCATAAAATCAGCATCAAAATTGTTTAATGAAAGCCATTCACATGTACATAAAGTCCAGAGCATTAGAACTCTTATTCCCAAATGGGCCTATAATTATCTGGCCAAGTGCCAGGTCCCAAGCTTTAAGAGAAAGATACCGGTCAGCACTTAAATTAATCTTTTTCATACCGGTCTCTAATGAACAGAAAGTGCTCGAGTCAGGAGTTGTAGCCCCAGAAAACTAGTGGCATGCATACACATGCACGTACACACCAATAGAGGGGTCCTTAAACTGAACTCAGGCTGGAAATGTTGCCTACTATGGAGCCTTTTCCATCAGTGAAAACATTCACATCATCTATCACTATACGGGCCTAAAGCAGCTATAATATACTTTTTCTTTTATAGGGCATAAACTACTCTGGCATGTAATATCCGCACGTGTTGTTGTGTAATCTAAAACACAGAGGACTCGGCTCAAAACTGCTAAAATACAGAAAAAAAAATAATGTTGAGTCCACTGCAGAGAAGGAACAAGAACTCCCATTTATCACATAAAGCTTAGTGTTTATCTCCAGTTCAAACACTGTAACACCATCTGTGCCAACACCTGCAAACTTTGTAAGGTCTACAAGGAAATACCTCTGAAACATTTAACATGTACCTTATGAAAGAATACTGTTGTTCACTAAAATATTTTATAGACTGGGCAAAAGGAGGGCATCCAAAAAAGTGGCTTAGCATTTTAGTCGCCGCCAGCGTCCGCTTAAGCTTAGCGCTAGCTTCCTCGTGGAAATTTACCATGTGGCATCAAAGCCAAGGTATAAAAACGAAGGCCCGAGCAACAAATATGGTGTGTTTTAAGAGCGGAACATTTGAAATAGGTGCAGCAGGCGATTATTGCTTCTGACAGGTTTAAAAGATGGTTGCACTCACTGGTTTGAGATATAAAAAAAAAGAGAGAGAGGGAGAGAGTGGGGGGGAGAAAAAAGAAAAGGCTTAAAGCTGCTCTGGTTAGAAAAAAAAATGGGCAGGAGCAGGAGAGAGAGTGGAAGATGGAATAAGCAGGACAAAAAAGGAGAGAGATAGAAAAAGAGAGCAGGAGAAGAAAAAAAAGAGGGAGGAGGGAGGGTCATGTTAAAATGTACGGTAATGATTTATGTAAGCATGCTTTTCTGCTGCACCCCCAAATCTCACCGAAACTTTGATCCATGTGTAATTAAAACCAAACGTACACCGGCAACAGTCTCCATTTCAGGATTGGGAGCTCTTCTCCTGCTCTTGTGTGTGTGTGTGTGTGTGTGTGTGTGTGTGTGTGTGTGTGTGTGTGTGATTGTGTGTGTGTGTTGGGATTCACATGTGTTTCTAAGCGCTGGGCCTCCATCTGTTTTGGGAGTACATGTACAGTATAAACAGGACACTTTGGGGAGCGCAGATTCATGCTGGAATACACTCATACACACGCTGAAACACACACACACACACACACACACACTCACAGATGGATGTATGGGCTAATACTATGCTGGAATGCTATTCAAAACGTGTTGCCCTCCCCTCATCCACCCCACCCCACCACATCCCACCCGCTCCTTCAGGTCAAGCAAAGCAAAAACAAGTTAAGCGCTCATTTTCTCCCGGCAGCATTAACATAGGGATGACTAAATAATGGACCCTGACTCTTGGTCTTCTGGTTTAAATTACAGCACAGCCCCCTCCCCTTACACCCTGCAACCCCTTACCAACCATCCAACCCCCACTCAAAGAAAAACGATTAATCTTTTTTTTTTTTTTTTTGTCTCTCTGAATGTTTTACAGTTCTGTTACACTTATTAGCTGCTGGCAGGACGGAGAGTCTTAAATGAAAGCCAAATTGCTTTGGTCATGAGAAAGGAAATGAAAGCTCACTCCAGGGAGAGACTGTGTAGCTGTAGCATACGTGTGTGCGTGTGTGTGTGTGTGTGTGCAATGCATGTGTGTTTGGCTATCCTATGTGTGCAGAGGCTTTTTCACTACAAGATACTCCCAAGGTGAAATTTCATAAACTCACTGCTTGCCTGGCTGGGATGTCCCTGTGCACGGGACAGTGTGTGTTTGTGTTTAACTCTGCGTGTGTGTGTGTGTGTGTGTGTGTAGCAGATATAAGCACGGCAGCCTAATAGGAACAGTATGCTCATTTTGGAGAGATTAGGAGGAATGGACGGGTCTGTATCGAGAGACGTGATCTGGATATGAAGGCCGAAGGAAGGAGGGACGGAGGGAGGAGGAGAAGTTTGACAGAATGAAGAGGGAGTGGTGCAGAAATGGGAGAAAAAGAGATGGGAGGAGCTTAGGGGGGAACAGAGAGATGGATGTGACTTCAAAGAAAGAAAACTGACCGCTCAAAGTAAAAACTGAGGTTTTAAAAAAACATGTCCAGGTGACACATATGACACACAAAAACATGAACACAACCCCAAAAAGAGCTTCTTAAAACCTCAGCTAGCAGACAAATCAGGTCAAAGAGTCACAGACCTTGGCTGGACGGGCTCTCCTTGACCTGGAACAGCTCGTGGAAGCTCAGTCCATCCTCGTCCCCTCCCAGGCCCTGCTGGTGCAGCTGCAGTTTCCTCAGTCCTTCGTTTTGCTGGTGGCGAGCCGAGCGGGCGTGCTGCACCAGGTTGAGGCGGGCCTTGGTGGAGTAGTCACACAGGGTGCAGTAGTAGACGCACGACTCCGGGCTGTACGCACTGTCCTGCTTCTGCAAGTGCTGTGAAGAGAGAAGTTAGAGCGTGTATTAGATGGTGTTCACATTTTTGGATCGTACAGACAGTTCAGGGAAGAGGTTGGGTGTTTCTCACAGCTTCAACTTTGCATTTTTGCGCAATTCTCGCATCACATTTGGTTTTTAAAAAGTGCCACATTTCTGTAAAACTGCCTTCTGACTCTTATGATTCATTTTATAACCTGTTAAATTTCAATGAGTAACAACTCGGTACTTTAAACCATTATTTTTCTGCACAATATGTTCTGTAATTTTTCAAAGCACTTGGTTCAATAATTAGAAACAGGGGAAAAAAAAAGAAAATGTTGCTGAATCCGCAGGAGTAGGTTTAAGTTTCGATATTGTCTTTACATTCAGAGACCATTATTTCCAAATTAACTAGATATATTTTAGGTGACATAAAGCTGGAGAACACACAAAACAAGAGGCAGCGCTCAGACCACTATTTTTGTCTTTAACATGAACATTGTCCGGCTCTCCTCATTGTTAGCAGCTGCAGGGGTTTCTCATTCAACGTGTGCTGTCAGTTGCAAGCCCTTAATTTCCAGTTGCCTCCTTAATGGCATTGCAGCCATGCAAAGCTACCCCCTACCTCGACGTGTGCGCGCTCACAAACGCACACACACACACGCACAAGCCTACGCATGCGCACACACGCGGGCACACAGCCCCCATCCCACCTTGCCCTACTCCCATACACCCAGTCAAGCCAAGCATATCAAGTGTGCCTCTGTTGTTGCTGCCGGGCTAATGAACAATGCACAAAAACAAAAGAGCAGGCCAAGCTTTTATTATCTGATCCTCTGTGGAGGGAGGGGAGGGAGGCTGAGAGGGAAAAAAAAAAAAAAGAGAGCCAGGCAAAGAGACAGAGACACAGAGGTGGCTCACGAAGGTTGGTTTATGCTTTGTTAAGATTTATTCATACAGCCGTGTGAGAAACAGGTGCAGGCTACTATGCATGAATTAATACTCGTAATGGTGTATATGTGTGTGTCTCTCACCGCTCCTACAGGAACATGTTTCATTCTTGAAAAGTTAGCAAGGTGATATTTTCTCCCGAGCATTATTGCAACATGTTATATGGAGCGGGAGGAAGACAGAAAATGTATGAGTGTATGGGAGGGTTGGGGGGGGGGCACGGTTAGCTGCAGGTGTGTGAGTTCAAACCCCCTCCTCCCACTTTCCCTCTTCCTCCTTTGACAAACAGGGATTAGCAACATAGCTACAGCGGCTAACACATCTTTTCTCTCTGTCTCTCCCTCTTTCTTTCTTTTGTAGGGAATCTTACGAGCTTTTTCTCACGAGACGGTGGGACGTCCCCTCGCAGTCAGAGGCCCTTTCAGAAGTCTTAAGTTTTAATTAAGTCGGAGTTGTCAGAAGAAAGCTCCCCTAGTCCAGAGCTCAGGGCCATTAATTACAGCTATCTTTGTTTCTCTGTGAAAAGAGGCCTCCCTCGCTCCCTCTCTCTCTCTCTCTCTCTCTTTCCTCCTTTTCTTTCTTCCCCTCCCTCCCAAGCAGGAGAACCAAGCTGCTGAGCTTTACCCTGGAAACCACACACACACACACACATGTGCCCATGGAGGTACAGACACCCACACACAGGCACACACACAAGAAGGTTGAAGTTTAATGTCTTTTCATTCATATAGCATTTCTATTTACACATATTCAACTCGTAGGAAACCCTGGTGGTAGAACGAGAAAACTCTGGAGCGATTACAAATCTCATCAGCTTTTTCTTTGCTCACAAGCACCAGGACTCAGCCTTTCGAGATGCACCAATCATCTCGTTCTGGCCGCTCATAATGGCCCTCAAAGTCCAACTTACTCCGAATGCTCACAACATACGGAAAAGCTTTTAAACTTCATTCTGTCATCAATCAATACCACTTCAGTATAAAAAAGAGGGAACTTTACTCAGCTCTGCACTTGTTCTTTTTCTTCTCTCAGTTATGTCATGGCTCTTGCTACATACTCTGAAATAATGACTATTCTGAAATGACGGGGAATTTCTGTCCTCCAATGCCATTCTTTAGTAAAATATTCAAAAATGCCAGAGGAGAGGCTCACCGAAAATGAACAGATTTGATTTGTTGAAAGGGCTGTGAAGAACTTTGATATTGTGTTGATTCTTGTGACCCTCTTGGATAAAATTGGGAGAGTTTTTCCAGTGTATGATGACTGCATTTCCCATGAGCATCACCCACTGTTGTAAAAATATGGCTTTGAACAGAGTAGGCTTTTGTTGTGGGGGACAAATGAATGGAGTACAGACCTTCTACTTTAACATGATGTTTTCGGTCGAGACAATTGTTTGCAGGATGCAGAGTGATTTAACGGTAACTACTGTAAATGTAGCCACTACAGAACTTTGGTAAACTCTGATTTGTTCCTTACAAAAGATGACAGGACCTGCTGGTTTAATGCTGCAGGTCACTTGATGTTACAGTTGCTCTTTTGTCCGAAAAGAGAAGCAAATTATTCACATGCTGGCAGTGGAAATTGAATCCTGTTCATAGACATTTTGGTCTTTAGGCCGAGAAACAATACTTTACAGTTCTACTCCGATCATTTTTGTTACTACTTTAAGTGTTTTCAGTGGTCCTTAAACTGTGATTATGAAGTTTTTACCAAAAATCATGTTACCTCAAGTAAATCATTAGCAATCTGCCTTTGAGTCGTGGGCGGAGACAGCGCTGCTCTTCACGTTAGCATGTAGCCTAACATACCCGGTTTAGTAGAAGTAGCAGGTAACATATGAGCTATTCAGCTCTCGGACACTAATGTCTTTAGGAACACGATGAAAGCTAATATCATGATTAGCTTACTTACAAGCATTGCAATCCGCTAACGCACACGCTTGTTCCGCGATCAAGCCCTGACCCTAACCCTCAATTTTTTGGAGTCTGGGGGCTCTGGGGACGAAACTTTGATTTGCTACGTAGGAAATCTAACTGTATCTGAACCTGCGATTTGGGTCTGCTAGAGATTTACAGCGATTTGAATGAATACTCAGAAAAGCAATTCGCATTCAGCTTCAGAAAAATGACAGAAATGAAAGATTTTCATCTGAGTGGGACTTTAACAGTAACAGCAATGAGTACAAAACATAATGAAAAAAAACTATAAAAAGAAAGAAAATCACTGCTGTTTACTAACTTTAATCTCACTTCGAACTCGAGTGGAGCTAAACTTATCTAACTTTGGGTGATTTCACCGCTGATTAAGCGACGTCATTTTAAGGGTGATGTTGTTTCAAAATCAGTCGAAAACTCCTCACATTGCCCTCCTATCAACAGAAAAGAAGGTTTCACTGGGATTTCTTTGATAATTTTCCGTTTTTTCCTAATGGTACAGCCATTAAGGTAATTACACTGCTCTGAAAATAAGACACATTCATATAAATCAGAAGTGGCCTAAATGCTCCACATCCTTCACAGCCCTAACTTACATTCTATTTGTTTTTAGATTATGCGGCTTGGGCTGGGAGTATCTGCATCATATACTTTGGGTTGGACTGGGCTGCCAGATAGGTTTAGTCCTAATATTAATTCTCTCTCCATCAGCACATTCCAAAGGGTTTGTTTAAGACCTAAACTAGAGGGCTGTCTGTCGCTCTCTGGCGCTCTGCAGGCCAGAAATGCAGGCGGTCTGGTGATCACAGGCCAGAACATCCATGATTTATGAACTTTTAAAGGAGCGCTTTGACTCCTGCCAGGCGTGGGCTGTGTAATGCATATTCAAACACACAAACACACTGTTCCTGCTTCTGGGTTTTGCACCCATGTGTGTCTGCTTGAAATGTGTATGTAATTTACGCCGCGGCTGATTTTTGGGTGTGTGTGTACAAGTGCCATACATGCGTTTTCTTGTTGTACAATCGCCCGTGTGTGTGTTTTTGTGTGGGCAGACTGGCAAAAAAAGGCCCATCCTTGTCAATATGGCACCACTCCAGAGTGCCTGGTGGTTAATTGTTGAGGATTAGTGTTTGGCAAACAACCAAATACGCTAACTCTCCCCATGGGCCAATCAAAATCAGCTAAACAGCCCTCCCTGGGTGGACCTAAACATGGCACAGACGTCTCAGGATGGTGGAGGAGGTGCACTTACACCCCCTCTCCACATACACAGAATGCAAATTATGACACCCGGGACTTCCTGTTTACCTGTCAAAAACACAACATTGTGAGGCCCGTCGATGACACACACACACACACACTCAAACACATAGACACACACACCCTGGGACTCGCATGAGGAGAGGGGAGGAGAGTCAATTTGACAGGTAAGGGAAGCTCCCTTGTGTTAGTGGTTTGCCAGGCGCTGTGTGTGCCTCGCCGAGTGTGTGTCTGCGTGTGTGAGGATGACAGAGGACCACATTCATTATGCAGAATGAGATGTTTACAAAACACCTTTTCTCACAAACACATCAACACGAGCGCACACACCTCCCCTCTGCTCGCTCCCTGCGTGTGTTTGCGAGGAAGGATGGCGGCGCTGCTATCTCATATTCATTTGTTCCATCTGTGGTGACAAAGCTGCCTCATTAACTGAATTCTTAATAAGCCAAAGCAAAAGACATCGTCTCACAGATTCTTTTATCTCCCCCTGCATGTATACGTACGTCAAAGTGAGTGTGGAGGTGCGTATATGTGTGAGTGTGCGGATGGGTGTGGGTATAATTCGAGTTTTATGTTCTCTTCTTCGAACTGTACGTGTGTGTAGGTTTAGCTCTAATGTATCAGTAATTTCTGCCTCCACATTTTTTGATTAACCTCGTATAAGTGTTTTTTTTTTCTTTCTTCCTGTTTATAATTCAATCGTGCTTTTATTTTGTGTGGAAGCCTCTGATTGTGTGTGTGTTTGTGGAATAGTTTGAAAAGCAGCAGAGTTGTGTTTTTTTCCTCCATAAACCAAATGAAAAATTAGGGTATTCAGTACAAACATGACATTTCCTGTCATTAAGTGTAGAGCCAGACAGCTAATGAACACATTCTGAAAATAAGAACCCTTCACGATGGCAGCTGTGTCTTAATAACCAGTTTGTGTGTTTCCGAGCGTGTGCGCACACGTTTTATACGTAAAGATCATTTCATACATTCTGTTTTCCTCTTCCTGTCCGCTGAGAGTGCGCTCGCATGCAAATGTGCATCCCACACATCGTGAAAAAACCTCTTTATTTCCTTTCATCAGAGTGTTTTTAAAAAGGGGAAGCAGGGAGCTTGTTGTCGGGTATACCTTCTTTTTGGAACATCACCAGCTTCCGGTGCTATTCCCCCTGGGCCCCCGGGGGCCATCGGGGACAAAAACAGCCCCACTTGGCCCGGCAAATAACAAAAGCGTGTTTTGTTCCTTGAAAGTATTTTAAACACATACCAGCGCTGCCTGGAATGCTGCCAAGTGTAGGATTCCATCAGTGCTACCACCTCCCTAACACATGTTACTGCTAACCGCCGCTCAGCCCCCAAGACATACAGTAGATGTAACGCAAGATCACTGCCGATGGATTCACTGTCAGACTGCACTGCTGAAAAAAAAAAAAAGGAGCAGCTGAGGGCCCAGGTATGTGTCACCTAACAGTCACAGATAAAGAGAGCAGCAGAGATAATGTATAGAGAGACAGTTTCGGTGCTGCACACGCACAAAAACAAATATGCAAATACAAGACGTACAAAAACTGCTGAGTGCACACTGCATTTGCTCACACATCTCCTGCTTCTCCCTCTCTCTTTCGCTCCTTCAAGGCCACTGTTTGTGATCTGAAGGCGCTCTAGACACAAAACAATCCCAAGAAAAAAAAAAAAAAAAACTCCCCAACCAACCTGACCTTTTTTTTTTCCCTTCGCTGATGGTTGTCTTCCATTTTTCTACCACCAGAAATGCAAAGAACGATTCTTCCCAGCACTAAATTCTCTCTCTCTCTTTTTCTCTCTTTCTCTCTCTCGAGCTCCTGCATGCTGGCAGTCTCATGTGATCACAGCTCTGGGGCCTGTATGTGAGGCACAGGGCCTGTAAGCTAGCTTAGCACAGGTCACCCTACAATAATAAGCATCTCTTGCATAATAACAGGCAAGGCAAATAAATGAGTTATCACAATGAGGCTTTCCTGCTAGCTTTCTGTCATTCTTCTCCTCCGCCGTGTTGTCTTTCCCTCTTTCAGTCCGGAGCTTTTCTTCCATTTTTCACTCACTTCACTTTTTTTCCCCTCTTTTCTGTATTTATCAGCGCTAAAAGAGAAACAGAGGAGCAACTGTGATCTGTCTTTGGATGAGTTTGGAAAATCATGTAACGCTAAAGTCCGGTTAATGATCATGCCTTTCATTTGTCGGACTCCTACACGCAAACACTCAATCACTCAGACACACACACTTGTGGCAGTGACGTAAGTGTGTCTGACATGTGGGGCAAAGGTCAATCAGAAGTTCACAGCTTTCTGACCCCTGGCCCCCTCTCTTGGAAAAACCCCATCAGACTCTCAATCTTTAACTCTCTCTCTCTCTCTCTTTTGCCCTGGCACACTCATACACCAACATGAAACATGGAGAAACAGACGCTTTATTTACAGCGGGATCCATTTCCTCAAATCGTCATCAGTGAAGGAAATATCTCTTTAGCATCTCCGAACGTATTTATTCTTTACGGTTTGGGTTACAGAGTCTAGAGGGACACCGACAAAGACGAATCTTCCCTTCTTATCAGTGTATGTGTGTCAGGTGTCTTAAAAGCCAGCTCACCTCCATCTTCCATGAAAATGGATCAGTATTTACATTAGCATTAGATTTAGACGGCATGGCTCAGCCACTTACTCCCTATTAGCCATCCTGACCTTAGCCCATTAGGGTCTAAAAGCCCCCGCTTGTCTCCATCGCCGCCAGGTGAGACTGACCAGACCTCCCAATTCCCTAAACCATATTGCTGCAAAGATTATCTTTTCCATTGACTCACGAGGGGACAGAGATCATAAAATGCTGAAATCGAGATCACTGAGCATGCTTGGGGATCGTCTTTTTTTTTTTCCCCTAAAGTGAACAAGGGGAGGGATAGCGCGCAAATGCTAACATGGTTTTGGGTTGGGTTCATCATTTTTCAGTTTTTCCAGCATGCAGAGATGCTTTTGGGAAATCAAGGCAGGGCCTAATTGACAGTTTCTATGAAAGACGGGGAGAAAACAAAAATAAAGAGGTTGAAATTCTGGCCCTTCAGCTTATTGGCCGGTACCATCAAAGAGGTTTGTACTACACTGATGTTGTTATATTTAACTAAAACTGAAAGGGAAGAGAAGGGAAAATAATTTTGGTGCCGAGGGGAGCTGAAAGATTTTTGCCAAGTTTGTTTTTTTGCCCTTTTTCGTACTGGAGACATGCTGAAAAATGTCTATTAGAGAGAGTTAGACAGAAGGAATGAGAGAGAGGGAGAAACTAAGCGATAGATTGAGAAGCAAGGAGAGTGAGAATCCATGACAGACAGAACAAAAGAACAAGAGACAGACAGAGAGAGAGAGAGAGAGAATGATAGGGGAGAATCTAGACGAGCGTAGCCGGGTTCAAATCACTAATTACACATTCCTGAGCCTGTGAAGGGGAGTATTGTTTTCCATTTAGCCCCTACCCTGTCGCATGGTTTCACTTAGCACAAAACAAAAGGTACAGGGAACAAAACACAAGCCTAATGCCAGGCGCTCCTAATGACAGAGAAATGGGAGAAATTATCCCTGGGGTGGATCCTCGTGAGAAAATGGCTACTGATTACTGGACAAAGGGAGTTCATTTTGAAACTGTCACAAAATGGCAGACTGTCTGTCTCTCTCCTTTTAGAGCCGTGTTTATTAAACCAGTGTACTCTCATGCCGTTTCTTCTTCAACTATATCATCGCATGCATGACTTGCCTAATCTATACCTACTTAACTTTCAGCACTACATAATATACTCTTACATAATCCACTTCCGAAGCGTAAAATGTGATATTTCAACACACTCCATGGAACAAAAGGCAAAGTTCAGGCCTTCTTCCAAGAAAAGAGTGTAACAATGTGGTTTGTTGTGTGCGCAAGCTGTGCAGAAGTGTGTGTGCAAGTTGAAGTGGTACCTCTGCCAGAGGGAGCACAATGAAAAGCACCTCTTCAGCAGCGCCCGTTTGCATATTGCAACAGGAAATCAAATGCCTCGCAGTTGACCTACAAGATGGCACACTTGATCCCTCCTACTTTCTTCACAAAAGATGGCCGATTTTTAGTCCACCCCGCTCTCTCTTCTCCTGCTTTAACCCTCTGATTTTTAACTACAGTATCTCAAGAGTAAAAGTAGATCGTTTCAGCGCCACATAAGCTCGATTCACCGAACGCTCAACAACCTGGGCTGTTCTGTCTTTTCCCCGTAAACCCATAATGATGAGCTGCGGCGCACCGGCAACATAGAAGGGACCCTACCATTTTCTGTATTAACTAAAGGAAGAGGAGGAGGATGGGGGGTAAGCTGATAGCAGTGGCAACACTGGGCAGAGTCGCCTGGCTGGTAGTGTTTGCCCAAGCCCGGGCTGTCTAAAGGAAGGATATTGTTTTCCCCTGAAAAAGCCTCAGCCGCAGTCCGCATACCAGCGTCCACTCAACATACCAATGGGCTCTTTGAAGATTACTCAAATGTTTGCCTTTGTTCCCCCACCACCAACCTCCCCCCTACCCCAAGTCCTAACCTACACTGCCAAAATGAGGAAAAGAGGACAGAGTAAAAAAAAACTTATATCTTCAGAAAACAGTTGGAAAGCAATACCACCCTTGGCTTGGATGCACTCTGATTCAAAATGGCCTCCACAGGGGATGGACGTCCACTGAAAGGAATAATAGCACTTTGACCACCAGCATAGTGAATCTAAACACAAACAATAGAGATGGAGTGGGGCGGGGGGGTGAATTAATGCATAGAAGCGGATATTATACAACTCCGCTGAATATAAGTGTCCCATCTGTCTGCCCGTAAAGCACAACATGCTTTAAAGAGAGTCCGCTCCTCGTCCATGTGCGACTAAGTCCACAATTACAGTGGAATATGATAATTCCAATGGGTTAATTTGACTAAATGTGCTGAAACTAAGGACCCCATAGACCCCCACCTACCCCCACCAATTCCGCATTAATCCCGGACAAGCAAGTGGGCTTTCTATCAGGTCTATTTCAAAGCATTAGGGATTACCTCGCAGAAACTAAGCTGCTTGAACTCACAGGAGGTCAGCGTTATTGTGCTGCCGCAAGGATGGAAGACCAGTTGTAGAGACGGATAGACAGCGGGACGGGTCAGTCCCTCTTTTCTCCAGGCTCTCTGACAACATCCCTCAATCTTTCCTCCCTCCCTCTGTTTTCATCCTCATCTCTCTTTCTTTTTTTTTCACTGTATAATCGAATATCTCCCACTACTTATCTATTCACTGAGCACCTAATGGTTAAAATCAATTACAGCTGGAATGCTGAAATGCCAAATACTGGGCCACATGCTGATAATGACAGAGAGAGTGTGAGAAGGAGCAGGAGAGAGAGAGAGACTTGGGACCGTTCCAAGGGAGGCACAATTACCTCCAATCGATTGATTATTGATTTGGAAGGGCGTTGAGGAGTATTTCAGTTCAACTTTGTCCATATCAATATCCTGATAGCTTCATGAGAGGGGGGAAAGTGTGAATGCGCTATCTAAATACCATTCTGAAGCTGAGGTAGCATTTCAGGAGGGGCACACCTTCCTGTCCTGATTTGACGTACACGTAAAGGGACTAAGACAGCTTTCACACAACATTTAAATGTCAGCTGATTCTTAAAGTCACACTAATGAACTTACGCGGAAATATTTATCTGATCTAGCTGCCGTGTGAGGCAGCTCTGATCGAATCAAGGTATCAAAAATGACGCTGAGTGTGCCCCTCTTTGATTACAACCTGATTTATCTTTTCTAAACTTTCTCAGAGATGATCAAGACCGAGAGAAAAACAAAAGATAAGGAGGAGTTGAGGATGAAAGGAAGCAAGGGAGAGGAAGAGAAGTGTGAGTAGGGGGTGTGAGGATAGAAAGAGGAGGAGGAGGAGGAGGGAGAGGAAGGTGGGTGTATTTGGGTGGGTTTTAGGGATATGGCAGGGGTGGGAGGGTTCAAGAGGAAAAAAAAAAAGACAAACTCCTGCTAGGTCCTTTGTTCCTGCATCCCAGCGATGTTCCCTTCTTTCTGGTGGTCTGGAAGACACTGACTGACCCCTCCCGACATTCTCCATAGCACCCCCTCTTTCTGCTATCGTTCCCATACCTGTCAGTCCCGATCTGCTTCACAGCCCCCTGCACACGGACAAACGGCTCGGCTTCGGCCTAGCATGGCTCGGCCCGGTCAGGCCCAAATGAGCCACAGTTTAGAAAAAAGTGGGGGAGATAATGAACAGGATCACACCTGGGTTCATAAACAGGGAAACCAACGCTGTCTGTTGTTTTTTCTTACTCAGGAATATACAAAAACGGAAAGCGTCTGTTGTTTAAAATCTACAGGACTGATTCGTCTAAAAGTTTAGAAGTTAGAGGGAAGTTAGAGGACGCCGGCTGTAGTAATTAAACCTTACAAGTGAGTGTCAATCAGGAGCCGGACCAAAGCTGGACACTGCATACACACACACACACACAATTTCACACACACCCTAATGCTTTGCTGACCATCTGGTTAAGGCGTTGCAGGGAGAATGGGTGAAACTCCTATTAATATCTATGAGGATTATTAGGAGGAAAAGGGGGGAGGGGCTTGGAGAAGTCTGTCTATTCAAACCTTTCTGTCAAACACACAAAGCACCACATACAAACACACACACACACACACACACACACACACACACACACACATGCTCACACACCTGCTTTTATGCTTTAATTAGCCACTACCCTCCCCTACTCCCCACTTCACCAGACCTCTGAAAGATTTCCATTGTAGCAGCCTCGCAGGTGAAAGAGGAGACTATTCGAATAATCTACCAACAGGCAGAAAGAGACAGAAAAAGAACAACTTGTATAGAGTGAAAAATAAAGAGAATGAGAGACAGACAGACAACCTTTCTGGCAAAAACACTGAGGTGAATTCACTCGTCTGTTCAAGTTTACAGCTCTGAACCCTCGACGGCAGGCTGCATCATCCGTCTCCATGACAGAACATGAAAATCTATATCTCGCATCAAGTAGCATCCAGTGTGAAGTGTCTGAGAACATTCCTTTTTGAACAGAATAGCAACTCTTTAAGTCTGTCTTTGAGTGTGAGACAAGGACGCAGTGATCAAGAGCCTGTGTCTGGAACAAGAGGACACGGGCTCAAGTGGAAAATAGCAACTCGATAACCAAAACTATGGCGTGCCCGTGAGTGTGTGTATCTATGGATGCATGAAATGCCGTGCTTCTCGCTGCATTTATGTGCGAGTGTGTGTCATAAATGGTGCACTGCATTTGAAATAGATCCAGTCTCTTTTCTATTCCGGGGGACCAGCACAATGGCTTTTTATGCAAATCTATGGGAGTCAATCTCCTGTCCATTTCCCCATCACACAAGTCCAAATGACAGTCCAATAATTTGGGCTGCATATATATAGGGCCATTTGATTTTCAAATGAGAGTGGGCCGGGTTGACCCCTGCTAATAGCCAAGGCACAGCGGTAGACTTAATATCACAGATGCATAAGCACAGCCATCTCGATCTGAGGGAGATGGAGGAGAATAAAATCTCAAAGGGGAGGGGGGGAGCAGAGAAAAAATGATTTGATTGATGGCAAAAGGCAAGAAATGAAAAATAAAAATACAAAAATATATAAAGGAGATGATGAAAATGAGAAAAGGGGTGACTCTTCTTTTGATGCATCTACAAATCCTGTCCCCTCTCCTCTTCTTCTTTCCTTCTATCTCTCCCTCCTCCCATCATTCCCCTCATTTAATTCCCCCCACCCCTCATTTCCCGGCCATGGTGTTGCCAGGAGGATCATGGGTAATGAGATGGCCTATCTGCAGCTCCCCAGGGGAGAGATAGAAAGAGAGAGAGAGAGAGAGAGAAAGAGGGGAGAGTCAGAGACAAAACAAAGGGAGTGGGCAAGAGAGGGAAAAAAAAGAGTGAAAGAGTGTGAGATCAAGTCAAAAGAGACAGAGAAAAATACTCTTTCTACCTTTTTAATTCTCCACATGTCCTCCAAATATGTCCGAGCAAATCGCTCCATCCAAAGCCCCTCTCCTTCCTCCCCCATCTCAATCATAAAAAGTTGAGCATTTTATGAGCTTAAGATTTGGAGTTCAAAGGAGAGCGTAAGGGAAGAGACGGAAAAGGGGAAAAAATAATGAAAAGAAAAACAGAGATATGGAAATTTGCAGTGGACCCCGGACATTTATTTCCGCTTGAATTATGACGGAAAGCTGGACAGACAGAGAGACAGACAGTGGGTGGAGTTGTGGTGTTGTTGGCTGAGGACATTTGAAGATTTATTCACACAGCCATCTGAGAAACAGGTGCCACGGCCTATGAGACACACAGTATGTCTGTATATGTGTGTGTGTGGTCCCTGACCATGCCACATTGACCATGAACATTCTCAACTTCTAATGACCCAGGGGCGAGCACGGCCCCAGATCTTAACCTCAAAGCTCTGTGGACACACAAACACACACGCTAACTACAAACTGAGCCCCCTACTTAGTCCTGCAGCACTTGTGAATGGCACTGACAGATTTACTTCACTATTCGTGTGTATTAGGGCCCGTGTTTGTTATTAAAAATCATAACGAAGCCATATATCATCATATTCAGAGCTTAGCCAAACACAGGCCTGGCCAGCTATGGACACGCTATGCTACAGCAACATAAAACGCAGAGTTTACCTCACAGGCTGCTAGCATAAAAACCCTATACTTACACAGGCTGCTAGCATAAAAACCGTACAGTTAAACAGGCTGCTATTGTAAATTAAATACATTAACTGAAGTTACTAGCATCAAACTTCATGTTTTAAAGCTAGCAAGCATGAAATACTATGCAAAAATATCCTTTAGGTGGTTATTTAACTTACTTTTAGCTTTAATTCAAACTTTACCGCAGAAGTCATCCAGTGACCCATCCCATTTCCTACACTTCTTCTCCATTTAGAAACCAGGTACAGACTTCCTCTATTTCCATATAGGGCCTGACTTCCTGTGCCACCTGCTGTGCCCTGGACACCAGATGACTCGATGTCCGTGTGCTGCTAATGTCATTTCCCTCTTGCAGTTTCAAAGTCTGGAAAAAAAACACTTTCAAACTCTGCGTTCCTCAGAAGTACTCCATCGCTGCTACAAAGCAGCCATAAAAATCTCCTGAATATGCTTTTTGTTTGTATCTTCAAATGGTTTCCCATGCCATAAAGATATTCTCTGTTTCCAAAAAACCAGATGGTAAAGTCGTCAACACTCGGATCTTTTATGCACCCGGCCAAGCTACCTCCATCCCCATGTGCTTTTCACCTCTGCCAATACATAAAAGGAGAGGTGTTTTTCTGGTCAAATAAAGAAATGATTTTTTTCCTCTGCTGTTCTAGGCTTTTTTTCTCTCTCTCTCCCCCTCTCTCTGCTTTACTACCACATGTCCAAGGGTAAAATAGTGGGATTTCTGCCAGAGGCATTAAAAGCGTCATCTGTGGAACAGATTTGTTGAGGCCTGTGGGGTTGGTGGGTGGGTAGATGATGTAGAGGGGTGTATGGGTGCATAGAAGGGGCACTGGGAAGACCCTCACTTGCCTTGGCTAAACCGACGCATATGTGTGTGTGTGTGTGTGTGTGTGTCTGAAAGGACACTCCCTCTCCAACCTCCTCAGAAAGAAAGTGAACAACATGGTGAGGGCTGCGCTCTGACAGGCCTCTTTGTTTCACCGATGGTCTGTTTCTACGCCGGCTGTCAATGTCGGGTTCGAACATTTACAAAAAATAGGTAGCTTGCTCGCAAATATTCAGTGTTGCCTGTTAATAAATCTGGCAAAGACATACTCGAAAGTCTGAATGCTGCTAACTGCCTGTACATAAAGACACACACACCTATGTTAAAGCCTTCCTCTGACGGAAGTGAGATCCTAATTAGTTAGGACTAATCAAGCTGATCCAATTACTTAAGACCTTAACTAACTTTTTACCAAGAGTACATACAAAATATTTCTATACACGTAGCGATCAGACTCGCCCCATGAAGCTTAGCGTCTGCACGAAGCTAAGCCGATCAGGTGTCAATATGTACATCCTATTTAAGTTAACTGCCACTCTTTTAAATAAACCTTAGCTTCTTAATAGGCTTAACCCCTAGAGCCTTGGAACTGTAAGTAAAACCAGCCATCGAGTTCCCGATGAATAAAATTACATATAGGTTACAATGCAGAAGAAGGAGCCACTTCCCCTCCTTCGTAAAATAAAAGCAGGTTTTATATAAAAACATTTTCAAAGCTTTAAATCTCTGTCTAAATAGATGCTGCATGATACTCTAATTTATCCAAGATTTACACCTACAGCATGATAATAAAAAAGGTCACTCTTTGACATGACTATATTATTTTGAGATAATCTAAATATCATAAAAACAGAACTTAATGTGTATGAATATGTATTAAAATAAATTGTATTTTTTTCCTAAAGAAAATCAGTGGAATCTCATTATTACACTGTCTTACTCCTGCTGTCTTTACATTCAAAGCACTACAAATACACACACAAACATACACACACTCTCTCACACACACACACACACCTCCCCCTTTCTAAGTGTTGCTTAGAGTAGTAAAGAAATCCTCATTAATGTAATGCACTTGATCCTGTCCTGTAGGTCAAGGCCTCGGAAATGTAACCGACTTGTATTAAACTCAAGGAGACGTCTGACAAACTTAATCAATGTAAACATACCGAAAGGGAGAAAGATGCCAAATTTGAACTTTGCGAGTGAAAAAAAATAAAACGGTCCATTGCTCCAAGTGTTAAGAGTTTAATTAGTTAAGTAAGTGATTCCTGTCTGAGTTCACTGCTCTGATGGGCAACCAGAGTGGTAACCCTGCAACAGGTCATGACCAAATAATCCAAAGCGCAAAAGTTCACCTATAGGCCTGAAGAACAGTATGTGCCTGCAGGAGAGCTGTGTGAAAGTATACCAAATGGAAAAACATAAACAAATGTGAGTGTGTTTCTGGAAACATTCATTTGGGAGTGTAAATGTAGCACACATACACGAATTGTTTTTAAATCTGAGTTATTAAAAAAATCTTATTTTCATGAAAACTGCTTTTATATTTAAGTTCTTAATCATTTTTTCTGCAAATGCAGGCATAATATATCTAAATCAAAATAATCTGTTATACAGCAAGGTCTTTATTTTCACTGTCACTGCTTCCTGCTTGATTTACACCATCATATTGAAAACAAATTCTTAATTATTGCAGAATTATTTCCAGCTGTGAAAAAGAAAGCTGAAAACACAGCTGAAGAAAATCAAAACTCTGAAAAATGTAAAACTTGCTGTAAGTACGTGACCACTGTGTTGTTAACAGCAAAAGCCGTGCCAGCGGTTTATGAGCGGATGATGTACCCATATCTGATAAAAATCATCCTGGGCACTCTGACAATGACCTTTTCCATCTTTATCATTCCATTCTCACGGGAACTTTATATCCCTGCGACAGTCGCCTAAGAGGATGGGCCAAACTCTGTCTAAACAAAAACATGCGTGCTTTCTCTGAATCTGACCCTAAAATGAGGGTTTTCTGCTCCGATATGCATCAGGAGGTTCATTTCTAAGTTTGTGCTGAGTGTTCAACAAAACATGCGACAGGCAAAAATTATGAATAATCTTAAATCTTCTTAAATTACTGTCTTTAAATTATGATGTTTGGTTCTTTTTTTTCTCAGGCTCTTTTTGCAGCAGGGGCAGAAAAAACTAAATTTAGAGAGCTAAATTTTCTGTGGGATAGAGGACATGGGAAACGTTTTTTACCTTGTAGAGGCGGATGGCAGCCTCATGCCTCTGGTTGGTGGCATGCAGCCTCAGTTTATCCACGCTGTTGCTGTAGTAGTCACAGGCGTTGCACTTGAGGTGCACGGGGTTGCCAATGGCCACACACTTTAATCTCCACTGGTTGGCCTTGCCTCCCTCCTTGATGTGGGCCACCAGCTGGTGCTTCTGCATGTGCTTGTCGGTCTTGCAGTGCAGCTGAAAGTTGGCCTTAAGCTGCGTGTTGTAGCTGCAGAGCTTGCACTGGTACACGTCGCCCACCACGCATCGCCACTCCTCTTCAGGCAGGGAGCGCTCGGCGTTGACGTGGGCGTTGAGGGCCTCCAGGCTGTCCGTGGAATAGCAGTTGCACACGGCGCACTGGTAGAGGCGCAGCGTTGGGTCGTTGATAGGTGGCGACAAGGAGGAGAGGGAGGGGTCCGACGAGGACATACCACCCATTCCACCAGAAGACACCAGAGACAGGTCGTCTGCCATCAGTTGACCACTGGCAAGACGCAACTCCGCTGAAAGGTCGCTATTCACTGTGGAGAGAATGAGTGAGAACAAAGGTTAGACAGGAAGAAGATGGACAAATTAGCGCTTAAACTGCGGCGCTTTTACTAAATTTACACACATGAAACTGCAGAGCCATAACATGACAGAAAGAGCGCAGGGGCAGCAGAAATAAAGAGATGTTAAAACAAAGAGGTACGACAAAAAGACAAAGCTGGGATGAAAATGAAAAGCTGGAATGCAGAGAGGGGGGATAAGGGATAGAAAGAAAGAGAAAAGGCCCTTTAAATGAAATTAAGTGTGGAGAGAAAAGTGAGTCGACTATGCAGGGCCTTTCTCACACAAAAGGATTTGATAAAATAAAGCCTCACAGAGGACTAGGGCTCCTTACAAAGTCTTGTCTATAAAAAACCCTAATAGGATTGAATCAGGATCAATTACAATCATCCTTTTCAACTTGCTAACTCGCTCATCAGGTAGCTTTAATTACTGCTCTCGGCAATGAGGGGACGGCGGTTCTAGGGCTCCAGGCTTTTCTCGCATACACACACAGATTTGAAAAGCTGATCAATGCATTACACGTGTTCTCTCTTTCTTATGCCAACCCTCCCTAGAACAAAACACAGATCTGCCATTCATACAAATGTAATTAACTCCTCCATTTGATTCTTTTGTTGTGTCTATGAATGAAACCAAAGCTCATCTTTTTTTTTTTTTTTTTTTTTTCTACACAGATAATATCTAAACAAGCTGTTGGAGCGCAGAGGGGAATTTTACATCATCTGGATTTTTTTGATTTTGATTTTTCAAACTGTTTAATTTTAATCCTCCAAACTAAATGTGTGCTGCTGTAAAAAGGACACATCTGTACATAAATTGGGCTGCTAAATTACTCTCTGCTGAAATGTATCTGTTTGAATGGATAAATATTCCATTCACACCATCTAACCTACGTACAGCTGTGCACACTATAGGAAGCTGTGTGCTATCAGTGTAATTCACTGAGAATACATCTGCTGGCTGGGCTGTGACCTCCACACTAGAGGAGGGAGTGGGTGTGTAACACTGCAGGGTCATTGTTAAATCTCTCTCACTCCTACGGGAATCCGCTTCCTGCTGTGTGAGAGTGTTCGTGTATGTGTGTCTAAATGTGTGTGCGTGTATGTGTGTGTGTGAGTGGGTTCTCTCCTGGGTGAGTGAAGGTGGGGTAGTGTGTGTATGGGGGAGGATTAAGCTGACTTAAGAAAATTACAAATGAAAGATTAAGAATAATTCTCATGTGGCGTCTCATAATCATTTTTTAATCAGCGAGAGGGGTCAAAGAAAGGAGACAATGACAGAGGGACAATATGAGAGGAGAGATAAGAGGGAAAGAGAAAGGGAAGAGGGTGCGGCAAGAGGGGCAAGGTAAAAGGATGAGAGCAGAAAAAAAAAGAGAGGTTGAGAGGGGAGTAAGAAAAATGGAGAGGTACAAAGGAAATGGCACAGAGATAAAAACAATACCTAGATGACATCAGTGAGAGACCAAACAGATAAAACCCGCCAAGAAGATTAGAAAAACACTTTGCCCCACTCTCAGCAGAAATACATCAGTTTTTTAAAGTTGTATTTTTAGGCTTTAAGTGTTTATTTAGAGAGGATAGAACAATTGATACAGTATGAAAAAAAGAGAAAGTAACCTGGCCCCCTGCTTGACGACTGTGACATTGGGTGCAGAAGTTAACTACTAAACCACTTCCTGAGAAATACTTTAGTCTGAAAGGCAATACGGTTTTTTAGACATTTGTATCCAGGTGTTTTATTTTAACTCTAGTTGCACTCACCTAGACCTGATCCCAGAGCAGCTGCTGTTGCAGGATCAAGCTGGAAAGGGTTAATCATCATCTGGGCGTCTGGGCCGCCGCTGCTGGCAGGGTTCTCCAGTTTCACACCTGCGAGGCCCATGTTTTGAGCCAGGTAGTACTGGTAAAGCTCTGCTTCGGCTGGGGCCAGGCCCAGATGGAGGCTGTGTTGGATTTGCTTCATGTTCTGCTGCAGCAGCATCATGTTATGCATGTGTTTCTCACTGGTCATATGGATCCGCAAGTTCCGTGCCACGTTGGTCTCATAGTCGCACACCTGTATGAAGCAAAGTTGAATAAATGATCTGCTTATTTGCACCAGAACTTATTTACTGTAAGCAACAAGGGATTGTTTGATACTTGAAATTAAACTATGGTTATTGCTTACAATGGTCTTGAAATCAATTTCTTCCACATTAATCTAATGTTCAAATGGCAAGAGAAGAAAAAGAATACATATTCTAAAACCCTATCCACAAGAGACAAATCAGCAGCATCCTGAATAAAGTGACCATAATGATGCATTTTTTATGGCCTTTCCAAGACTTAGAGATAATGACAGTGTATCTGAAAAATCCTGTTTTATAATGACCAGAGGTCAGATGATGTGTCCAAGAAAAATAATAGACATAATGACGCAGGGGAACATAAATGAGTCATTGTGTAGACACTGAAACAAGCAAATTGGTGTGTTGCTACTACAGCGCTACAATGGTGCTCTGTTTCTTTCATTACCTCACAGCGCCAAGTGGGCTTCTGTTTGGGCTTGGATGGTGAGGGAGCACCGCAGCCTCCACCAAGGCTGGCACTGGGCACAGGGTTGGCATGGTTGTGGTTGTATTGTGCCTCAGTGCCACCGTTCTGGAGTGTTTGTACATTATTCAGATGCTTATCCGACTGCATGTGGATGCTAAGGTTGCCTTTGGTGGTGGTTGAGTAGTTGCATACCTAAAAGGAAAGAGTTCATACATTCTTAAATATTATACACTATTAACATTATTAAAAGCACATTTATCACTTATTTATACATGTCTTTACTAAGTCTTTTGAATAATTCACTCAATCTCCAAAGCAGTGATGGCTGTTGTTGTTTAAAGGATAAAAACACATTTTCCCCACATCTGACCCTCAATGTACAATAGAGTCCTGATGTGTTTCTTAAGAAGTATCCAAAACTGGTAAGATCACTGTCTGTGTTTTGAAATGGACTATGCCAGAGCTTCAGAAGCAGTTGCATCATCTAGACCGCCAAGATATTTTTAACTTCTTTCTTTCAAACTATTCCCATAAGACCCAGTGATGACTTTTGGTTAAATCAATGATACAAGTTGGTTCATAAAACCCACGTCTTTAAAAAAAATGAGGCATTTTTAATTTCTCAATATTAGAAAGACATGAAAAAACAGAGAGAAAAGAAATCCTAAGGATGAAAAAAAGAATAAGGAGGACAGACCTCGCAGCGGAAAGGCTTGTATCCACAGGTATAACTTTCACCCCTGGCTAGACGAGGATGAGGCTGCCCTGTGCGGCAGTATACACAAGATCCACCAGACTCTGGATGTTTCTCCTTCATGTGTGCATCAAGTGTCTGCTGGTACTTGTAATGCCAGTTACACTTAGGACACTTCAACGTCTTGCAGGAGTTGCGTGAATGCATCATGGTCATATGCCCTCCCAGAGACCGTGAAGATCCCAAGACTGTGTCACACTTGGGGCACTCCACCCCACTACCTGGGGACCCTTCACCTGGGCCTGGGGTACCAGGTGTCCCTGGAGTCCCAGGTGTGCTAGGATTTCCTGTGTGTTGATGCAGAGGACCAGGACTCTCATCATCTCTGCGCAACATCATCATGTCAAGGGGGTGCGAGGACGGCGATGACCCATCCCGTCCTCCTAGGGCTTCACTGGTTGAGTCGTTGCTGCTTTCCCGCTCTCTGGCAGCGGCCAGGGCTGTGGTTAGGCGGCTCTTCTCCATCTCCAGCTTCTCACATATAGGCAGGGAGGAAGAGGAGGTGGATGCGGGGCCTTTACTGTCACTGTTAAACTTTAGCACACTGTTGGAAAGGGGGGAAATACTTTGGTTTAAGAGAGGGAAATCTTTGCTACTGGTGCTGTCAGCCCGCTGGCCTGTCATGGCCATGTTCATGGCCTGTTCCTCCTCCTCATCTGCCTCCATTTCTACTCCACCACCATTGGAGTAAGAATCCTCATCCTGCTCAGGACTCTCTCCTCCCACTGCACCGGGCTCCCGCTTGATGGGCGGGTACTGGCTCAGGTCCGGCCCATTGGGTTGCAAAGTGCATGTGTCCCTAACGTGGCCCTTGCAGTCACTATCAGAGTTCTGACCTTCCAGGTTGCCACCAGTGGCAGCAGCAGCAGAACTCCCGCTGGGGGTTCTGCGGGCACCAGCCCCTCCCCCGAGGTTTGGGTTGGTCTCAGCCTTTGGCATGGTTTGGGTTCTGGGGGTTTGGTCATTGGAGGAGCTGCTGGCACTGCCCTTCAGGAAAGCAAAACCTGCCTGAAGGGAATCGGCATTCTCGCCACTACTGTGGAAAGCGTTCCATAAGCTGCGAAGCCCCGTGTCTGGCCCTAAGAAGTTGGCAGGTGTGGGATAGTGGGGTAGCACAGAGGATGGGGGAGTTTTTGGTTCCAGAAAGCTTATAAGAGGTTCTTTGTCCTTGCCGATGCCCTGGATGATGGCGGAGACATGCTTGTTGCTCAGCAGCTTTTGCTCCTGATCATTCAGGGTCATACGGTGGTCATGGACAGCATGTGTCACGAAGGAACGGCTGTAGCCAAAAGACAGCTTGCACAGGAAACACATCAGCACAGGCTTCCGCCGCCCATCGGCTACACAGCCTTCAAACTTGGACAAGTCCACATTGTTGGGGACATCTTTGGACACACAGGAGTTTTTGGCTGCACCATCCGCCGTCAGATAGTCTTTGTCATTCTTGTGGCGGAGGTCATAGACACGGAAACTGTGCAACACGGGACCAGCGCCCGCCAGCCCTCCAGCTGAGGTATTTGGGAAGGAGGGATGGTCGGACACTAGGGGTTTACCCCCCAGGGATGAGGCGATGTGGAAGGTGTTGATGATCTGGGGGTAGAAGGACATGGGTGCAGCGGGCTGATCCAACCGCTCCCCCCCTGGGCTCTGGCCACTGCTGACCTGGGCACTGGGGAAAGTCTGGGGGGACAGCAGGCCCCTGAATTGGAGAGACCCAGAGAGCCCCCCCTGGTTGCCACGCTGCTCTTTGGAGTCCTCCAAGATGAAGGCAGAGCCATCAGGCTGGTAGATGATCTCGCTGCACAGGTTCTCCACATCACTATCGTCTTCCATCTCCATCTCGCTGTTCATATCCCCAACCTCTGCAGCACCCACCTCACGCTCTCCTTCATCTTCACTCTCCTCTCCTACCATCCCTTCAAGCTCCTCACCCTCTTTGTGACCTCCAGTGGTAGGCAGGCGGGCATTGGGGCAGTGGTGCTCCATGTATTTTTGTAAACTGGAGAAGGAACTAGAACATTCGTTGCAGGGGATCTCCTTAGCCGGTGCCACAGGTGATGTGGCAGGGGCAGAACAGTCCGAACCCAAAGCTGCTCCTCCTCCTCCTCCCGGTAAAGTCCCAGTAACACTCCCTTTGTTACCAGAATTAAAGCTTTCTTTCCGACTCAGTTCAGAAACAGGGTCGGTGGTTGCACTGATAGCAGTGGGGGTGGCAGTGGACCTCAGGGGGCTCACTGCAGGCTCTCCATGGCCATTCTCCGGCTCTCCAATGGCGGCAGGTGACGACTGGTTGTTGTTGGTGTTGGCAACACTGGTCTCCATGGCAATGACGGAGTTGTCCTCAGCGGCAGCGTCCAGCCTCTGGCCACCATGTTCTTGCTGCCGTGATGACACCATAGGGGGAGAGTCACAAGTTGCCATGACGACCACTACATGGGGATCTCATCTCATCCAGCGTAACAGGGACCTAAGTTTGGAAAACGAAAGAACAACTTAGATCTGGCAAATGTGCATCTTTATTTTACGATTTGCAGAAAGTAAACATCCTTGAATAAAAGTTTCATTTGCTTTTGGTTCCAGGAACCAGAGCTTGAAAACAGTGGAAATTGGGTATAAATGAATCAAGCAGCTACCACGTCAGCCAGCAGTGGGGAAATTTATAGGAATAACCAAATTATCGAGTGAAGAGACTCTTTGATGGACGACCTACAGTGCAGCCTCTATTGCATGGTGTGTGCTTAAAAGCAGTGCTCAGGGATGATGTCAGCTTGGGACAAAATAACAGAGCCAAGAGTTAAACGCATCAATCAAGATCATCAAACAATTTATATGCAGGAGCCGGTGCCTCTCTTTAAGAGTGGACAGGAGTTTGAGGAGTCTTCATTCATTAGCCTCAAACAGTCTTGGCATGTTCTTACTTGCCTGGACTTGCTAATTAGGGTGCATGTATTAACCAACTAATGCCCTGAAGGTATGAATAGGAGGATAAGGGCAGTAAAGACTTATATGCTGACATGGCCTGAAGTTCATGACCGCAATTGAGCATGTGGAAAGCTTCTTGTGGGCAAATTTTCTACACATGGTTACAGATGCAGGAATAGATCAGGAATCTAAGATAATAATGTCAAGAAAATATTTGTATGCTAGATTAATAAAAGGAAATAGGAGAAAGGGGGAGAGAGAGAAAGAGAGAGAGAAAGCTTCCCTAAGGAATGATGTTTGGAATACCAGTGAGATGTTATCAATCCTGGGAGGCTGCCCATCTCTCAACCCCTCACTACTTCAATATAGCTGCTTTTCACAACAAGTCACCAATGCAGAGGCACACAACCTAGGAAAAAAAAAACTTTCTTCACACACACACACATGTTCTAACCAAAGCCATTATGTCTAATCACCTAAAGAAATCAAGAAAAAACAACTGAGTCAAAGCCACGAGGAAAGGGGAAAAGCTGAAGGACTGAAGCTTCGCTCTCAGAAGAAACCGCTTTCTTGCTCAGCTAAATGCAACAAATGAGAACTGGATGTGCATGCCAGTGTTTCTTTTTTTTTCTTCTTTCTCTTGATACAGTACCAGCGCCTTTCAGATAGATGCGTGTAAATGAGCTGGCATTAAAAGAAAGCTTTAAAGAGCCATGTTAACCTTTAACCCAATCCACCTGCTGCTTAATTCTTCCTCTCTTTTCCCTACACTCCCTCTCTCTCACAACAAAGCTACAAAGCAATTAGAGGATTAATCCGCAACAATCCAGGGCTAAACAAAGCCAGTGGGAGAGACAGTAAAAGCGTGAGGAATGAAATCAAACGTGTGTGAGTATGTTCTGGGGTGCATGTGTGTGCACGCGCTATAATCAGGTCTAATCTGACATATCCCAGAGATGATTCCATGGGGACTAGTGATAGATTAAAGAGAAAAATTATGTTTTTTTCTCTCTGTGTCTCACTCAGCTTCTGCATCTCTATTCATGAGATTAAGAAAATTCATAAGGAGCAGTAGATTATTTTTTGGTACTTAACTGTTCAGCATGCACGTGGCAAAAAGCCGAAGGTACGTTTGTGGTATAAACATGACAAATCACAACCTGGCATAGCTAGTGGTAGAGTTAGAAAGTCACTCCTTCGCAAAAACAAAGTTAAATAGCAACTTTATAAAACTTCTTCTAATGACATGAAAACTGTATTTCAACTTAAACCCAAACTAGTCAGTGGAACTACTTTTTAAGTTCTACCCACTGTAGTTTTCTGCAGACATACACAACTATTAAAAACACACATACACACCTGTCCATACAAAATGTAAGCTCCCACTGGAAGTCTGATGGCATAGCAGTTTGCAGCAGCTGTATCTGAACTACAAAGGAGTTAAGTGCCATAAGAATGCATATTTAAATGCAAAGTGGGCAACTTTAACCACACACTTCTCTGTCTGACATAAAAAAACAAGAAACTGTGAATTTGGCAGAGGTAGAAAAAAATGTATGTACGAATAAAGGCTTTTCACACCCACTTAAATCAGATATTTACCATAAATCTCCAATTACACTCACCTAGCACCAAAACAACATCCTAATCCTGTTCCTCCGCTCAAACATATACATATTTCATTTTTCCACCAGTGTCCCTCTTACCCAGCCTTGTGTTAAATGTGATTGAGGGTAAAGCTGTTCAGAAGCAGTGGGTTTGAGAGCCTAATGCGACACATACGACAGGATTTACTACTTGTCAGTGGTGTCATTTCGCTGCTTATTTCATTGGGGAGCAACCCGTTTGAATTGTGGCTCGGACATAAAACACTGCGGGTTTATGAATTATGCATCTCCTAACACTTTAAGTATGGAATTATGTCTTATGGGTAAGCCAATGTGTTAAGCACTTGGCACTGACATATCACCCTTATTGCTAACAGGTTAGCAGCTGTTTACACGTGTGTCGACTGCCAACAATAACGTGGCTGTCCATTATTTTGTTATTCGGGGTTGTAATTGAAGCCATTATTTGTCAAACCAAAAGAGCACTGGCACACAAAGTAACACAATGAGATTAATGCTTTATGGTAAGATATTCTGCTGCTTTTTTCAGCCTTTTTGAGGAATTTCTTCATTAGTCTTTGCTAAACTTTGCACATGTGTGGCTGCCTCTAAGATCCAGGCAAACACAAATTAAAACTACACTCATCAGGGAGACAAAAATGGTAAAATGAGAGTGTGTCCAGTCTATAAAATGAATGTAGTACTGGATCTTAACTTAAAATGCTCCTGGCTTAAAAGTATTAACCTTTCTTACAGAAGAGTAATGTGGTTCAATGCAGCCTGGTGTGGGCGTTTGTAGTCCTCCTGATCCATTTAGCATGTGCTAATTTAGCATAGCTGGACAGAGAAGTAATGAGATGTCTGGTCTTGCTATCAAGTGAATAAAATATTCTCCTGATGTATCTTTCTGAGCTAAAAACTCAAATTTAAACACAAAACTTTTCAGACTCGCATGGCTCAGTATAATAAGTTGTTATCAGCTTTATAAAAGCTGATTACCAGACACTGAAAGTTATCTACTTTGCTTCTCTACGTTGTCCTCCATTCCCCGAGCCTTGCACCTTTCACAGCAGTAGTGCCCACTGCTGCTTCTTTTAAGGCGGATCATGTTACTGCTAGCTAAGAAGCCCCCACCCTGTCTTCCTTCGCTCTGCTAACCAACCAGGCTACTTTCATTTGAGTAGCGATGTACAGATACAGGGAGAGAGAGAGAGAGAGAGAGAGAGAGAGAGAGAGAGAGAGAGAGAGAGAGAAACCAACAATGAAGCCCAGGTTTTTCCTAACAGTGAAAAAAATAGTCCCCCTCTTTTAAGCGGAGAACAAAAGAGATGGCCTGAGCTGCTCCCACCTCTGTTTTTTAATTAAGCATGTCCCTTTGCTTTCACGCACATGCACACTGACACAGGTTGACACAAACGCAAACACACACATATACACTAAGGTAATTAAAGTGGCAGATCAGATCCAGTGAGAGGCAAATAATAGGCCAGGAATGCCTGGTTTGGACACTGCTAGTTCTAAGGGGGAGAAAAGAGGGCTTGGAGACTCCTACGAGGCCTATTGTTTTTCTCCCCCTCCTCCTCCTCTCTGCTCTCTCTTCTCTATCCCTCCATCTGCTTTTCAGTAGCTCTCTGAGAGATAGAGAGACGGTCTAGAGCGGGGGATTTCTTCACCTTTTTTTTTCAGACTCCCAACTTTCCCCCACTCTGAGTTTGGTTCCACTTTTTCTTGGAGGAGTCTAACTCTTCTGAAACTTAAATGAGTAGTTTGAAAGCTACCGTATGGGCCAAAACCAGTGTCAGTCACAAGCTTGTACAGTTCTAATTAATATGCCTGCGATATAAGAGGTGTCCCAAAATGTCCACAGTGTAAAGCAGAGTGCTGAACTCTTGTCGATGTCAGCGTCTCCTCCTGCTCTTCTTCGGTAAAATGCCAAACCTGTAATTGCAGTGTCGCCACATTGTCATAAGTGTTTACACTTGGATCTGTTAGGTTCAGTTTCATCACTAACTGTCTGATTTTTTTAACGCGGGGGAAGACACAAGACAGCACTGTTAAAACTTCTGTGAATATTTGGAAGATCTGTAAACACTGAGATTAGTCTGATCCGAGCTTTGAAATGTGGTCATCTGAGTTGTAAAAACTGTTATTTCCCTTCTGCTCGCCAAACTGTTTTGGCACAAGGGCGAGCGAGGGCTAATAACTAGAGAAATTTAATCCAGACTGGATTTTTGAGGTGACCCGTCTAAGCTGGCAAAGTCAAACAACAAAGTCAGGAGACAGCGTGAGACTATGTGTCCATTCCTTAAGGTCTCCTGGAAGGTCATCCTTCTCCCGGCATGTGTCCCCTCGCTCCAACACCAAATCTTCTATCAAAATGTCACCGAGCGTTAGCAAAAGACAAAAGAGAAGGGCACTGTGAAAGCCCCTGCATCCATCTCCCACTGTCAGTGCCATGAATAGGCCTACTCGGGTCTAATTAGACCTGTTTATTTGTTGCCATGCAGAAAGGAAGGGGTGAAAAACGAAGTGGATGAAGAAAGAGGAGGAGGGGAATTATCTCCGTCCTCACAATGCGAGAGAGGAGCTTCAGCAGCCATCAAAGAGTGCCGATGCATGCGTGCGCAAACACATATGCACACATGCACGCAATCACAGAAGAGGGCCTAATGCTCTCTGTTTAAAGTCTTAAAAGAAAGGACGGAGGGAGAAAATTGCAAAAGGATGAGAGGGAGGGGGGAGGGCTTTTGCGTGACCAAGTGTTTTTTGTCTTCTCTGCTTCTTAACCTCACAAAGGGATTTTCATGCAGGCCTTGTTTGTTGCCTGGAGGTGTAATATTAGACGCTAGATGCAGCAGATCTCCCTCATAACCCCCTTCTACACCCTGCTCTGTCCGCCTGTCCTCTTCCTTCAGAGCAAAGGCCTTCATTACCAAAAAGACACCTTATCATTATTGCAAGGCGCGGCCCCAGACACCTAGAGCAAACACAGCTCCGTTTAGCACAGGAATCTTGTTCGACAAATTACCTGCTCCGCAAAAATGCCTTTTAGCAAATCAAATTCAAAATGACGCCTACATGAGCAATGATCTCAGATCGTGGAGGGAGGCGAGAGAATGAAGCAAATATTTAGCAGAGGAGGTGGGGGGAAAGCAGGATAATAAGGAGAAATCTAGAGGACGGAAGTGGGGTTGTCTTTCTTGTCCTAAAGCAGGTATGCAGCTTCTCTCCCTCAGGTTGATGACAGGTAAATTAGTCTCATTGGTTGCTCAGGTAACATACACCCGACTGCCTGCAGGCTTTTACCTGATATTTCATTGTTGAGGGGAAAAATACCTGGTAACTCTGAGGAGAAATCTGCAACATGCGACATGAGGGTGTCACAGGAAAACAACTGTGGTAAAGTATGCAGAAACAAACTTGGTGACCAAGTGAGAAAAACCTGTGAGCCCCAGCGGCCATATTTTTTTCTTCTTCTTTTTTTTTTTTTTACCCTCCAAGAGCAACAAAAGAATCATATCACTCAAGCCACAGGCAGGTCTTCAATCTGATTTAGGATCAGATTACACCGGCCCAGATCCTCCTAACTCCAGTCAGGACGAGGTGAAAACACTGATCATGTGATCCTGTCACTGCTAGGAGGCAAAAACTTCCAAGATCTCCTCTTAGGTTTAGAGCCCAGTTACATGTGTTTCCATAAAGTAGTTTTCTATCATGACAACTTTGTGCAAGTCAAGTTAGTGTTTATCTCCTGCTTGTTCTGTTTAATGTAGACAAAATGTAATGGGTTCAAGCCAACTTTGGTGGGATTTAACATTTCTACAAATGGACTTTGGTCCAGTCTAAATATATGCACAAGTCTCGCGCCTTTGAAGAGGCGATATTTCAAGCTAAACTCAAACTGAAACATGAAAATAAACAGTCAGACACTGCCGGGTCGCAGTCACCACTTACTGCCCTTTGCTAAAGATTTTTCCAGCATCAAAGGCGAAGGCAATCTACATAGCTAATGCCTCCATTTTTTTTCTTCCTCGAACTCCAAACAGCCAAGACCGAAGGGAGAGAAAAAAACGGGGATTTTTCTTTCGCCGGCAATCTGGAAACACTCTCTACTTAATTAGGGTTGATTGGAAATGAACCGCACAAACAAAGGGCAGCCTATGCCCCGACTATTATGAGCGTGCGTGTGTGCGTACACGTGCACAGGGGGGTACTCTAACCACCTTTAGAAACTCATGCTGGTAGGAACTCTCCTCTTCCAGACTCTTCCCCTCGCTTTCTCCTCACCCCTCCACCTCCTTGCCCCCTCCAGATTAAGGGAATCCACCGCCAAAGAATGTGTGACGACCTCCACTGCCACGGAGCAAAACTTCCAGCCCCCGACGCCACAAAAGGCAAGAAGGTAATTAAGTTTGAAAGAATAGAAGCACTGCCACAAACAATGCGCCAGTGTCCATGGGGAGGGATTGGGGAGCGCGCGTGTATATGTGTGCGCGTATATGTGTGTGTGTGCATGTAAGGGAGGTGGGGGTGAGGCAGAAAAGCCATTAACATTCAGTGGCCGGGTGAGAGAGAGGAAGGAGGGCAAAGGGGAAGTGAGGATGGCATTCTCTCTCTCTCTCTGTGCTTCTCCCTGTCTTTCTCTCTCGCAGCACGACTTGTCTGTTCATTCTTTTTATTTATCTCTCCTCTTTTATTTCCCTCACATCTGGTTTGGACCCGCTCCCCTCCCAAAATGCCCTCCCAAATCACCCCTCACTGCACTGCCAAGACTCTCCAATGCTCTTTTTGGCCCCTTTGCTGTTCCTTGTTGTTGCTCTCTATGTGAGGGGTGCCCCCCTACAGACAACACACTCACACAGATGCACACACACACACTATACTTTTCCTTCCCGGCTCTTGATGATCTGTTTTGCAAAGCTAAGTTTGGCACTTTGCATACGCTAAAGCTTCGAGGACAGAACTTGCAAACATCGCGCCACGCAGAATATTTCTATTGGTTACCACCTGAGAGTGCTAACAGCTAACTAGATTAGCACCGTACACACGCAAATTCACACACATGCGGCATGCAAACACAAAACACACACAGGGAGCTTTCATCTTTTTTGCTGCATCTCCAGCAAAGCAGTTTAACTCAATTAGTGAAGAATGTAATTTTATTTACAGACTCCCAAGTAACTCACAACACACACACACTAACACACGCTGAAAGACTCACACAGTGTAAGCAAACTGTCCCTCTCCCACGTGGTTGCAGCTAAGAAAGAAGTATTCATCGCTCTTGCATGTGTGTCAGTCTGCAAGAGTGTGTGTGTGTGTGTGCATGTGAGTTCGGACAGTGGAAAAGATCATGAGACACATTTACGTCAGATGAGTGAATCAGACAAACCACCGCTAATTTCGATGAGGGGTTCTTTTGAACGGAGAGGGAGGGTGAGAAGTTGGAAGACGGGGAAGGGCAGACAAACAGAGACAAACACAATAGGTGAGAAAAAGAAAAACTGTGTGTGTTTCACGTCTTCTGTCCATCTTTTTTTTTAACACACAGTCGAGGCAAGCGAGTCGCCGACTAATTGCGTTTTTTTCAGCGTTATGTGTTTAGTAATCTGCCTCTCTCTTTGTCTCTGCATCTCACCAGAGACCGGGATTAGTGCTAAAATGATGACTGCTTAATCCTTGATTTCCCTGTGCTAAATAAATATTAATCTAGCCTGCTCATCATCATGCTCTTGTAAGGTACAACATACACAATATGAAAGGGCTTAGATGTTACATAAATCGCAGTCTTATCCTCTGGAATGAGGCGAAAGCAATGAGACCATGCACACTAGCAAAGACACACACACACACACACACCTCTGTTTTGCAATAACATTGCAAGTTGAAGGGGGTGGCAATGTGGGATTATTTGTCAAGAGAAATTAATAATCCTGCTAAATACAAAGCCTAAAAGAATCTGGTTTAAAAAGTGTGTGTGTTTTTTTTATCAGGATGTGTGGATCTACACACACAATTATACACCACCCCAGGAAAAAAATAACAAATATCACTCATTTGTGTTGATTCAGACTCCCTCTCTTTTCTCTCACTCGGCCTCTCAGCAGGTTTGTTTAGCAAAAATACTGCTGCTAACATGAAAAATGAAAGCTGCCATTGCTGGACTCCCTCTACCCCTCTCTCTCTCACACACACACACACACTTGCTTAAATTGACAAGGCCGTGGTAGCGCAGCACAGAAGAGGTTAAGCAAACACTGTCCACGTCAGTCAAGGATAGCACACACTCACAGACAGACACAGAGAGCAGTCTCTGACGCAGGCATTTCACATCCACCTGGCAAATATGAGCGCCCGGTTACACTGTATCAGCTAGCAAGAGGCTCCAATGCTATGCTAATTCAAGCTAGATAAGGGTAATGCTTGTGAATCAACTTGTTGTGTATTTAAGCCTTTAAAAATAGCATCATGTACCCAAAAAAATACTTGCCTGAGATTAGAGACATGAAGTACTTTTCCAGCGCTGAAATTGGTTTCGCAAGGCCAGTGTCCTGCTGATATTTTGGAGCACTATTTTTAAGCATTACAGCCTCTTGTAGCAACTCCTGCTCCTCGCTTTATAAAGTTAATTTCGTCTCATGAAAGGAAAAATCCAAACACTTCTGCCCAAATTGGGTAAAAGACGTCTCTCGGTATCACCTCACTAAAAGAAAAATATGCTAACAGTAGCCTGAAACTACTAATGGGAACATTTTAGCCATGCATCATGTCATTTCTGGCTGTTTTAAGTCTGTAATGATCTAAACAGGTGAGGACACCTTGTCCATCCTTTGTGCTCCAGTCAGCTGATTTATGTGTGCTTAACCTGTGCTTATCAGTCAATTATACAGTCGGAGAAGAAGACGAGAGAACATCTGCTTTCACAGCCAACAGTAAATATGCAGAGGCACCTTGCTAATTGTACAGACATTTCTCGGACACAGCGGCCAAACCCGACCAATCCAGTTGTTTTCCAGGGGTAACAATAAAGTTTAAAGTTCAACTCCCCCCGCTGTTTTCTAAAGAAGGTACTCGACGGGACCCCAGCCCTGTTATTATCTTCATAAACATAATCATAGGGCAGGTATCCTGACTGACGCCACAAGCTATGTGCCCCTCACTTAAACATCTCTTGAGTACTTCTCTGACACGCCACAAAAAGACCATTAATGTCTCAACGGGAAGAATGTGTGAGCTTTGCATGAGGAAAAGAGCAGATGAAAACACATTTAGGACGAGTTGTGTGCTGGGACATGAGTGAAAAACACACAAAACACAAGTGCACACATACCTTTTGGCTTTCCAAGAGCTGCTATACTCGTGACAGGTCTAATTTCTGGACCCAGGGAATTACTAATTAACTTAAGCTTTTGGCTCTCTATTTAATTAGAGAGGTCTCCAAATGAACTTTAGACCAAAGCCATTTGCTTTTTAAACAAACCCCCTTTTTCTGACAGCTGTTGCCAGTTTGCCCTGTTCTCACAAAAACCACAAGGAAAGCACAGTTGTTATTTGCGCCATCATCGGCTCTTTTTCTGGTTACCGTGGGAGGGAAGGAAGAAAGCAAGAGAATTGAAAGAAGGAGGGGGGGTTGGGATGAGCGATGGAGTTGAAAAGTGTACGTTTTAATTGGATTTCACTACAAACAAACAACTGTCAGATGTAATTAGCATGGTTTTAGATTAGCACCACAATATTCCTTTATCAAATAAACACCATGTCACGCAAATCCTGGGGCCGGCCCGCTGAGAGGGAACCGAGATGAAATGGACCCATTACCTTAGCGTTCGCTGCAGGAAATAACTGCTATTAGACACAAGTGACACAATAACATGTTGAAATCTAACATGCAAGATGAAGTGTGTCTCACCGCGAGCTCGTTGTTAAATTATCAACATGGAATGAAGGTGTCTCTCTCTTTTTCAAAGTATGTGCGTACATGTGTGTTGCATCGCTCTTAATGTGACAACCAGGGGGGACCGGTGAGGTCAATGACAAGGCAGCTGAAAAACCACAGTCAGCAATATCTCTCTCAAACACACACACACATGCACTCAGAGATTGTGCTTACGGCAAAGAAGTCCACATGCAAACAGAGTCGGTGTGTATTTGACTACAGAAAGAGCAATGTAATCTACTTTTTAACATAATCACAGCCTTTAGTTTTACAATATGACGATAAAGACGCAAGAAGGAGGGTTCGAGAAAACATGGGAGCATCCATCACCGCATTCTGACACTTGTTTAAGTATTAGGTCAAAAGAAGAGCTTCATTCTTCTTTGCTTTTTTAACAATTCCTCCAAAGCCCTCCTATATCTGCTCATCTTAGCAGGGATGAAACACGGCAAAAGCTCCCCTCTTTATTTAGTCTAGGGGCAGAGAGCTGATACATCAGTGAAACCGCTGACAAAACCAGCGAGGCTAATACCTACAATTTCATATACAAGAACATTCCTGCGCCTGTTCTGCTCTTCTTCTCTACTGTCAAGAGGGGGAAAAAAGGAGTATTATTTTCTCTTGTTTTAAGAGCAAATAATTAAAGATAATTCCAGGGCTGGTGCCAGGACAGAGAAAAAAACAGAGGGATAGTGTTGGCTGGAGACTCCTCAGGGGAGTTGTGGAGACACATACTGGCTAGCTTGTCTGTATAGATCAGATTGAGGCCTACACTAGAAAAAGAAACACTCTGTTCCTTAAGTACTTTTTACCAATCACTCTGTGGTCTCAAATCTTAATATAGAGGCCAGATTTCTAATTCTAGGTAGTTTGAAATTGTAGAAATGTGTGTTTTTGCTAATAACTAGGTCAAAGAATTGTTAGTGTTCCAAACAATAATAACAACAGCAAGAATAATAGAATAATTGAGAAGGTCTCCATGCAACTAGGGCTTAATTCTTTGGTAAATTCGTCTCATCTCTCATTACACTGTTTGTTTAAGCCCACAAGTCATGCATAATTAATTAGCCACTTATTCCCTGACGAGCCCTGCCAATGGCCTTGATATCCACATGCTGTTGCCTTCAGGAATACTACATGCCAATCATGTTGCATGTGAGATTTACATGCATACGCAGGCATGTGGTCACAACTGTTGTGCGAGGAGAAAAGAGCTGTTGATTTAGTATGAATATCCTGATAAAAACCCTTTTATTGTTCTTGGCTCTAAAGATTCATTTGTTTAATTTCTGTATATGTAGTTTATCCCTCTTCCCCCTTTCCTCTGTTTTTTTTTCTTTTCTTTTCCTGCAGGTCTATTAATGTGCAGATGTCATGTGACTGGGCTCCCTGCCTTCTTCAATCCTCGCCTTTGTCTTTGGCCAACGAGGAAGGAGAATGCATCATTTGTCATGAGACGTCTTGTGCTATTGTGGTGCATCTTCTCTCAAACCTGGGGAAACTTAGTCATTCATCAACTTTTAGCTCCAAGCTTGTCTTTTTAACTTCTCTTTTGGGGAGGTAGCTGTGCATATTTCTTTTTTTTTTTCTGCTTGCCAATTTTTGCCGCTCTGAAAATACTTCTGAGAGCAATCAATGAAATGTGGCATATAACCTTTTGTACTGTGTGTAGTTTTGTTGGGAAGTAAGAGAGGTACAAACCTTTTAAACAAAAGCCTGCTGAATGCTTTATTAAACATGGGAGATGAGGACTTTGAGGCACTCAAATGGACCTGAAGGGGCGGGAAAGTGTCCTTCATAGGGATCGCATCAAGGAGTATAGAGGACGCGCAATGTCACAGTCAAAGGTAACAGCGGCATTGCAAAGAATTAAAATGAGGCGAGTTACACAGTGCTGTAAAAAAGTTAAGCAAAACCTGTGAGGAGGGAGTGTCTCTTATGTTTTCACATCAGCCAATCGCTGTTCTTCCCTCCCTACCTGACAGGAAAAAAAATCATCCAGAGATGCAAATGAAAGACGAGACAGAACGCACCAGAGAACATGAGACAGAGACACCAGCAGAGAAAGCAAATCAGTGAGACAATGTGAGTGGAAGAGTAAGGCCTCTGTTCTTTTCAACCTTAAACTGAATCTATCTCAGGCAACCCCGGGGCCTGCAGGACCTCAGATCAAACAGAAAAGAGTGCTCCAACACACGGCCCCGATTGTTCTTTCCCCACCCTATACGAAAAATCCCCCCACCCGCACTTTGAAACCAAAAGAATAAACATATTATTCTAAATGAAATACCCAGAGCTGTGTTTTTCCACGGCTAATATCCTGTACGAGATGGCTGATGCAAAATAGGCAGGAGAGCCTGAGAACGGGACGGAGAGAAAAATCCCCCTCTTTTCTATTTTTCCCTGAAGAGATTGATGAAGGGCCTGGCGAGATGAGGGAGTGAGAGACGGACATAGAGAGAGAGAGGAAAAGAGAAAGAGTGGAGAGAGAGAGAGAGAGAGAGAGGGTAACGCAATCCTGACTGGCGCAGGACCAACAGCAACAAAAACATTTAGATAACCGCGCTCAATAATGAACGATTTCAATGAGGACAAAAATTACATTTCCTACAGATAACATGCCCCCTTCCCATAACAGAGCCAAAAGAGCCCCGAAACCACGTCATGCTCGACAGGAGTATTATGTTAAGGGAGGGTTGTAGTAACTATATTAGTATCCTTTTACCCCGCCAGAGACAGTACTTCACTGGCTGGAAGGAGATAGAGTTGGCAGAGCTGAAAAAGAGTCCGGGAGAAATATGACAACTCGACTAGCTTCACTGGAAAAGCAACAAATCACTCCTCAAACCATCACTACCGGTAGCACGGCTCAAACGATTACCGATCTGCAACACACACACTACAAGGGCCACTCAAAAATAACACTCACACACGCACACAACCGAGGGATCGCTACAGCGTACTTGATCCTCATGCAGGTCACAGCGAGAACACCGTCCCCACCTTTCCCATCCGCTAAGCACTCACTTCCTTTCATGCCAAAGTCTGTCAAGTTGTTGAGAGGGGAAGAGGCAAGAAAAAGAGGAGATATGGCGTGGAAAAAAAAAAAAGAGAGAGAGAGAGGGGAGTCTTTGTCCTCCTCCACTCAGCTCCAGCACGTTTCCTCCTTGGGTCCGGTTGGCATTAGCATATGAAAGGCGAGGGAAGGCGTGCAAAAGGTCAAAGAAAGAGGATCCTGTCCAATGAGAGACAACAAAAACAGGCCACACCGGCCTTTGTGGCGTTCATGTTCTCCACTACCCCAACCTCGCACCCCTCCCTCGACCTCCCTGGATCATTTCCATACGCCAGATGCAATAGCAATGATGACGGTTGATCATAAATTACTCAGAAAGTCGAGCCGGGTCAGATGGAAGTCACGGTGGCAATGTTAAGCTGCGTCACCGCCCTGGTGAACTCTTCGTACGAGTACAACACACACACACACACACAGACATAAAACACACCTGCCTTAAAATACCACAGTTCCCTCTACTCAGAAGATATCCAACCAAATCCTCTGCAAACATCTCAATAAAGAAAAATGTAAGAAGAGTGCAGTTTGATTTGATCCATGAAAGCCGCTCCCTTCCTCCCATGTAAATGCTACCTGAGCCACATCCATCTACTACATAATTGCACACTCCAGTGCTTTAGGGATGCAGTTTAGTGTATACATGGAGGCTTAAGAAGTCTCCACAGTTACTCTATTATCATACATATCGCCTCACATGACAGCTCCCATCTGCTGGCATCCGAACAAACAGCCAAAAAACACCAGCCTGGTGTTTCCGGGGTCCTCTCCAGCAAACACACTCCCCTACCGGCTAACAGCGGCCACAGACAGAGGGGACTGTAGGGGATAGAGGAAGGGAGGGAGAGAGCGAAGAGGGGTAGAGCATTTCATCTCTCTTTCATCTCTGTCACCCAGTCAAGCGTTCAATGCCCCATTCAGCGCCTGCCCAGCATTATGCAAAATAATGCTAATCCCCTTTCCCGTGCTTTCACACTTGTATAAACCGCCGTTCCTGCCTCTGAAAAGCAATTATATCAGTTTACGTTCCTGTCAAAAAACAGGATTAGCATGCAAGTACTAGTAGCACCAACTAGGCCCAATCTCTATCCACCTTTGGCTAGCAGGGAAGCACAGAAAATTAAATGTTTGTCCACCCTCCCCCTGAAAAAAAGAAAGTCCTGCTGCTCGGCTGGGGGTAGCTATAAAGATGTGTTGTAATTAGATATTTGGATGGAGTGAAAAGACAGGCCGCGAGTTTCAAAGGCAGAACTCCATGTGCGTGTTACTCAGGCCCCGGTCTTTCTTTGCCAGAATCTCGGTCTTGTACAATAATCAAAAACAAATTCGGCTGTGTCGCTACACACAGCCATATAGCAGTCACACAGTCCCGGCCTCTCTTTACAGACAGCAGTGTGTTACACATGTGACGCACACAACTGAACTGCTGTCGTCCCCTCAGACACATTGCCACCACATGCGCACAGCCTTGCCAATGCACGAGTGCACATGCAAACACACACACTGAGCAGACAAGGAAACATGGCAGAGTGTTTTTGAATATGCAAATGCTCGTACAAGCGGAACGTGTGTAAATAGGAGTCATTGTGCGCCGGTTTAATCTGGACAGTCGGGCCTCTCTTTCTACCCCTCTCATGCCTTTTTGGTGCGCGAGGGGTGGAGGGATGTACACCCATCCTGACTGACGACAGATCAGGGGACATTAGTCAGCACAATTAGCCAGGTCGTCATGGCGACTAATGAAATTTGGCAAAGCGGCCAGGCAGAGACTTAAATGAGCTAGCTGGTTATGTGCTAGCACAGGGGGCTGCGTGCCTGCCTGCCTGGCTGGCTGCTGGCTGGTTGCCTTACACACACCCATTATTCTCTTTTCTGCCGTGGTGGTACAATAGAGTCACTTGTATCTCAGCCGATACCCACCGGCGGTACAAGCTCTCCGCCTGACAATTTGCATATGTTAATATAATTAAGTGCTAATTACACTAAAACTCGCATATTCACAAGCACCCTCCCCGGGAGCTACGGAAGGGCTTGATCTCGTTCCAAGTCTTTAACCCTCCTCCGCCTTTCGCTCAGTGTGTGTGATAGAGAGAAAGTGTGTGTTAGCGGTGGTGCCCCAGGGCTGACAAAGGAAGCCCCCCCTCCCCACTGCTCTCCCTCTCTCTCTGGGACATAATGCTGAGCTGCTGTGGACTTCTTAGCTTCTCCCCCTACAGGCCTTGTCGAGCCAGAGGACCCTGACACTGCTGCTGCAGCCTATCACCTTTTACACACACACTACAGAGGTGAAAGAAAAACACACCTTGATTTGAAATACTCTTCTGTTAGAAAGCTCTTTGCATCTTTTGAACGGTTGCATAATACCCGTTGCATAAAACACGATGAAAAAAAAGTGTTTAAGAGCGATTCTGAAAAAAGATAACTTGGCCAAACTACATGAAATACAGTTGGTACAAAAAAAAACTGTGTTTATTTGTTTCTGGCTGCTTGGAAACCTAAAAGAGACGAGTTTCATTTCACTCTCAAAGTCCAAACCACTCATGATCTGTGGGAGAAGAGTGCTGGATACATTCAATCTCCTCAAAGCGGCTGACCAGAATGAGAGTAGCTATTTGAGCCAGAGATAAGAGACAAAAAATCTACATGATTCCCCCCAGTGACTATGTGTGTATGAACGTGAGAGTGTGTGTAGGCCTGCCGTTTTGATAATGGAGGACAGGCGGTTGTGCTTTTCACATCGTAATGGCCGTGAATCAGGGAGGAAGCCAAGCGGTCGTGCTACAATTAGAGCTCTTTTGTGCCTCTTCCTCTGTCTCTTTCTCCCCTCTTCTTTTTTTCCCCCATGTTTTCACTCGCTGACACTCTCCCTATCGAGGGGATGTTAAAACAGTCTCCTCTGCTCTGCTGCAAAAGCTGAATGAGGAAGAGGAGGGTAGAGGATGGGAGGGAGGGAGGGGGTCACACTGTGGTGCTGCTGCTGCTGCCGCTACTGCTGCTGGACATGCACGTATACACGCACCAGATGGTACAGGAAGGAGGATTAAATAAACACACATGCAGACACACACCTATTTGGCAGACGGACGCCTCTGCTGCGCGCACCGTGTCCCCTAATGAATGTCTATGGGGAGTCAAAGGGTCCAAGCTCATTTAGTCGCCTCTCAATGAGATGCAGCATTATGACTATGGTAATACGCTCCTCCCTTCGCCAATAATCATACACAGGTCATTGTGTCAGAGTGATTCATTTCTATCACACGTACGCCAGATGTTATTACGCAGGAGAGTAAATCTCCCCCCAATGCATGTTGATGGGCTCTCATGCAAAAAAAAAAGAGGGGGGGAAGAGAAGAAGAAGAAAAAAAATATATTGTTGTAGCAGTGCGGCGTGTAGTAAGCTATACTGTTCACCCAAGCATGACGGCTGGTAATGCAGGTCTGGATGTAGCTCTGAGTGTGTGTGTCTTTGAAAAAAAAGGGGGGGAGCTCCCCTCAGCTAATACCTGCTACTCGGATTACCACAGCGTCTTAAGTATTCAACCGGACTCATATTTTCTCTTTCAGCCTTTTTTAGCCAAATTGGCTGTCTTTACAGCGTAAAGCGGCGATATAGCCCTCCTTACTAAAGGCCTATGGGGGATCCACGAAGAAGAAGAACATTAAAATGCAGCGATAGCCTTGTTGCAAAGCTCCTCTCTATTTCTCTCTCTCTCTTTCTGCAGCAAAGGCTTCTAAATCATCCAGCCTCCTCTATTAGACGGGAGACTTATTGAGGTAGAAACCATAAAAAATGAAGAAGGGAAATTTAATCCCTGAAATATTGATTTGCACATTAATATCAGATAGGCAGAGGGCAATCTAGCCGGGTGGAAATGACACATTGTCGACCCCTAGGAGAGGCCCGAGCCAATCTTCTAGCTGCATGTGTCTTGGGCCTAGGAGTTATAGGACAGACTCAGCCCCCTGTCTCCTTCTCTCTCTCCTCCTCCTCCTCCTCCCAGTACCCTCTCATCCCTCTCCCTCCTCCTCCTCCTCCTCCTCCTCCTCCATCCGCACCCTTAATGAAGGCTGCAATGCTGAAAATGCATTAGCTTTTAATAATCAAGAAGCATTTTCAAGCCAACAGCTATTGTCCTCTCAGGGCTGTCTGCCCATCTCTCACACTGTATGTTTTTTTATTATCCCTCAACCCCGGCTGCTGCGGCTGGTTACAAGCTGCTTAACTAACATGCAGAGATACACACACACTCACACACACTCACACACACTCTTACAGTCTTTGATAGTGCTAAGACAAGCCCGCACATAAAAACAAAAAAACAAGAGGGCCTGAGCTTCTGTAAACATAAAACTACGAAAAAATCCTCTCATTTGCAAGCGAGGAAAAATAAAAACAGTGTGTTATTATGGAGTGAGACAATAGCATCATTAACTGATGAAATTCACTGCAATTAGACAGGATCATCTCCTCTCGTAATTCCACTTTTTGGATTTTTATCATCAGGCCTCTTTGTGTAATGAAACATACGATTTTATGCAGATGCAATTAAATTGTGTGATTGGGTAGAAATATCAATCCAGTATCCATCACTTTAAAATTAATCTGGTAGAATAAGTCCACCTGGTAAATAAAAAACTTGAATATTTTAAATTTCAAACTCAAGTCTTCAAATTCATAAAGAATAATAGAGTTAGAATAAAATGATGATAATGAGGAAATTAATTTATTCTGATTATTCAAGGAGTGAAAACGCTTCTTATTTGCTGCTTGGTGTGTTGCAGAAAATCCCGTATTTTGGTCAAAAAGCTGCTCACTTTGTGTACAAAAAGCTGTCAGCAATCGATAATCTGAAGGAATCAAAAAGTGTAAACACACTACTGTAAAAGTCTATTTCTGGGAATTAAAAAGCCTCTGAAATCCAAACGTAAAAACTCCAAAAAGCCGTAAATAAATGGGAGATAGTCCTGTAAAGAAAAGAAGAGAAAAGTCGTCTGGCTAAAACACCGTCTCTCTACACTCACTACACTGCTACATACCCGGGTTGGAGACTGACTGGCCCCTTGGCCCTGATGTTTTGTTTTTTTTTCTCCTCCCGTGCGATCGATGTCCCCCCTGTCACTGTCGCGTCCCAATCCGAGCCAAGTCTATCCAACCTAAGCTGAAAAAACAGCCATGAGGGCGCAAAAACACCTGAGAAGCCCTTCCTCTGCAATCTGTCTGCTTCAAATTAATACACAGCATCTTTTATCGACAACTTGAAGGAGATGTTTTAAGCCGAATAGAGAGGGACAATTTATGCGAGGAAATATCAAAACCCACCGGCGAAAACTGGAACTCAAAAATGGGACTTAAAGGTGGAATTGAAAATGAGTTAAAGCTTAGTAAAAAGGTGTGAGTTGTGGATACAGTCTTGGTTTGAAAATGCCGGTGCGAAAGACAAACAGAGGGGGGACCCAGGAGTCGGCTGCCTCTGAAGGGACTCGCCGTGCTATCAGTAGCCCAACGATCGCTCTCCCTCCTGGGCGACACAGCCACCCACGCCTCGGTAAAGTGGGACTACTTTTTAAACGCAGCAGGTACAGATGCGTGGACTACGATGAGGGACATGCACTTTGCTGTTGAAGTGGTGGTTGAATACAGGTTTTTTACTCGGACTATTTTGAAATATATTCACTTCTGAGCAAAGGAAAAGAAGGAGATCGTGCCAAGAGTCTGATCGTGTCACTTCGAGCGGTGAAGGTGCACGAATCCCGGTGTAAAAACCGGCTCAAAGCGCTGCAGTTCATCTAAAAATTTCCCCCAAATGAAAATATAGTATATCTGGGGAGTGAAATAAGCAGCCAGGAAGTGGGTGAAACCAGTGAGCCGGACCCCTCGGCTGGAAACATGCTCAGAGCGGACATGTCCGAGGGATCGGACTCCTGGAAAAGGCAAACAGCATATCCGCACCGCAAAGCCACAAAAGGAGAGAAACGCTCGTCTCATCTGTTCAAACTACCGAGGAGTACAACTCAGTCTACCTCTCTCCGGAGCGTTTTCTCACTAAGAATCGTCTAAGTTTGCAAAAACGGCAGGTCTGGACGTGAGATCCCTCTGTAGCAGTACGGACACATGCGTAAGAACGCCTCCGACCCTGTCAGCCGCTCGGTTTATTGGAGCCAAAGCGCCGGAGTTGCTCTAACATCCCGATATCCACCTTTATTCTGGACTTAAAACAACCCAGCACCTGTTATCCAAACAGCCCCGATGTCAAAGATCCACCAGCGAGATAGATAATCGATACCCGACCCCTAAATTTAACACACACCCCAAACTACTCAATAAAAGTTAAAGGGAGAGGTGGAAAGGAAAAAAAAAACTTACTTTCTTCCCCCTCCAAAGCCGTCACCTCCGCTTCTCTCTTTGCTCTTGGCTTTTAAAACAGTCACATCCAGCGGCTTGCGTTAGTGGACAATCAAAACGTGGAAAAACAGGGAAAATTACAATAATCCTCCAACTTTATGTTGGGAAAAGGGGGTAAAACCACAAATGTCAAGCGCTTAGAGAGCTATCCCTTATTTTGGTTCCGGTGGCGGTGAAACGACGTGTCGACGGGCTGCCTCGCAGTTTCTCTTGTGGACGGGGGTCGGGAAACGGAGGAAAGGAAATGAAAATCCGATATGTCTTTATTCTGCTAATTATTATCGTTTTAGCCCTGTTTAAAAAAATGGCTGATTAAGTTGAGTGCGCATGTCTTTGTGTGTCTATTTCCCGATATGCACTCTGGGAATGGGTAGAGAGACAGAGAGAGAGAGAGGGCGAATGAGAGAGAGAGAGGGAGAGAGAGGGAGGGAGGGTGCAAAAGAGAGACGGAGAGGGAGGGAGATAGAGGAGAGAAGTGTAATTAGTGAGTTGATCAACAGTCTCCACATTGCAAATGACGCGCACACGGAGCCCTGGCGGCCGCAGAGGTCTATGCGCGCAGAAAAATCCTTTTGTACGGTTTCTCTCCAAGGGCCAAATCACATGTAGAACAATGGACAAGCGCTTCCTGCAACAGCAAACAGGCTGCACTCATTGCTAAGTACTTGGAAGAATTAATACTTAGAAGGTATCTTTTACTCTCAAGAAAACACGTTCAGTTCAGTTTCTTATCCTTGTACAGAAAATACACCTAAACACAATTCCTCTTTTTTTATTAAACATAATAAACAGGATTATTTCTCTCTGAACATGATGCTCATTTGTGTTTTTTTTTTATACATCAGCTTGATTTGCTTGATTATGACACCACAGGTGAAGATGCTCGGAGAGAAACAGTCTGCGTATATCCGTGAAATGTAAAAGCACAGACACACCTGCGAGTTTCTTTGAGCTTTGAGACAATTTATGAAAATTAATGAAACTTGGTAAATAAGATTTTGCCACTGTAAAACACACACCTACGACCGAACATCAAACACACCAAAACCGTCTCGTGGCGTGCTTGAAAACGGGGCCTGCAGAACATTTAATAGATAACATCATTTATGTGAAAAAGGCACAAAAGCCACTCATACACATGTGTGCGTAATTTACGCCACACATGGATACACAGTTTTTGTCTTTTTCATCATATTTTCTAATAATGTCGTCGCTTTTTTCTCGCAGAAAGGAGCCTGTATGTGATCTGTTGCAAATATGAAACACATAAACACTCGAGCTTAAAAGTCAAAGCCATGATGCATCCCAGTAATCCTGCACATGTTGGAAAGTCATCACTGCCCTTTCGGGACCGCTGAGGCCCCGCGTGGGTTCAATAGAGCCAAACTGCAAAATCCAATACAGGGTCAGACTAAAAATCCCCCTCTCTATTCAAAGCTCTATTCACTTGCCTTTACATTTAGTGTCCTTACAAAGTGCATCGCTCTGTTGGCCCTATAGCCTTTCAATGCAAACCGTTTACTGTGTGTTTCCCCCCCGGTTGCTTTAATAGTGGCTGTTGGGCAAGAGGAAGACTTTACACAGTCTCAATCGGGGAGAAAATCAAGAGATCTTGTTCGCCTTCATGGAAAAAATCGAAGCTGGGGGTGAATTGAACTGCATGAGCCGGGGCTTGGGATGTGATGATAAGGCTGCTGCTGGCAAGTGAACTACTAGGTCTACTTTGCAGCCACATTGACTGGACTGCACCCCGTACCAACTGGATCCTTAAGAAGCCAAGAGATCCGAGCCCGACCCGACCCGAGGCTGTTTATTCTGGGTTTAGAGAGGTCTCCGACAAAAAAAGGGGGGTGGGTGGGTCGAGGTGAGGAACAGAGGCGTCACTTTTCACCCGGATCCAAGGCTCCTGCTGCTGCCGCTACTGCTGCTGCAGCTGCCTGCCTGTCCTCCAGGGGGGTTTCTAGCCTGTCAAGCCTTCGGAGGCGTCGCTAACAGACGGCTTGGGGAATCGAGTCTGCCCCGCTGCTGCAGCGGACGCGCAAAAACCGGGGGCCGTGCGTCGAGGTCTCCAAAGCTGCATGGAATGGACCTATTTCTCATTTGCGACTTTTCACACCTAAACGGAGGACTTTTATAGACGTAAACCAGCGTTTTTGTCTCTTTTTTCCATTCGAGCATCTTCATTTCTGTGAGAGGATCTACTTTATCCACTTCTTCTTGCGCGCGTTGTCATTTTACGCTGAACTGCGCTTTAATTTTTATTTGTTCCACACGAAATAGAGAGAAAGTACAAACGGATATATATAGTTGCTGTAGACTATCGCTTATCTTAACCTCCTGCGTTTTGTAAATCCCCCCGGTCTCCACCCTCCCTCTCTCCCTGCAGACGATGCTCTTTCTCCGGAGGACCGCTCCACAATAGACCGCGTTAACTAATATTTCGCCCCATTTCCATATCAGCAGCATCCTCAATTAATTATAGATTTTTATCTGTAAACTCCGCTCTGGTGGTGTGTCTGTAGATGTGTGTGTGCGCCTGCTTGTGTTTGTCTGTGTGTGCGAGTGTGTCTGTATTTTTTGCGTTCAAATGGAATAAAAATAACAAGGAATTTCTCAGTGACAGCACCCCAAACATGGACCCCAGTGTCCGAAATTTAACTCTTTTAATTCTAATGTAATTATCAAACATTAAAAGGTCGTGTGCTTGTTATATTTTGAGCAGCGTGTGGCGTGGAAGGAGCTTTGAGCACTCATAGTGATCTTATGCCACTTCAGTAGATCAATAACTTTGAATCGTCCGGATATTTCCATAAAGGCTTGACACGCAGAAAGAAGCCACACTGCTGGTTAATCGATATTTCCTCTGAGGTCAAACTAAAACACAGGTTTGATGTTATTTGTTCTCCTATTTTCAAATCTTGTATCATATCCTCATGTCTGCCATACAGCAGTCACCTGGTCAGTGTTTTGAGGATTTGCTCTCAGACCTCCACCTTGTTTGTCCTATGCGTCGGCGCCCTCGTGGGGTTGCATGGCTGACCCCTGTGCCTCCTCAGGACACACACACTCACACACACACACACTCTCCCTCTCAACTAAGAAAAAAAAAAGAAGAAGAAGAAGAGCACGCCAAAAGTCCACAGCTCTGACCTGCAACCTGCCACAGTGACCCACTGGCCAAGTCTCGTCCCGCAAACACGCGCACAAACAAGGTGCACAAAGGCCCATAAAACAGACAATAACAAGTTAAGTGTGACTCTTACAACGCATGACAACAATGTGAAAAAATACCATGCATATGAGAATATTTAAGCGTGAATAAAATGCACTTAAAAATCAAAAATGTCAAAATATGTGCAAAGATCTGAGTCGTATTATGATCTTTGCAAAATAAAAGAAATCCTCAGAAATCAAGTTGCCAAGCTGCAGAATCAACTAAGAGCAAATAAATCAAAAATGTCATAATTATTCTGTCTGATTCCAGCTAAATAAATCTCCAAGCAAAATGTTTCTTCAACTTTGTCAAACAGACAAGGTAGAACTCCAGAGAGAAGTGCTCAAAAACAAAGTCTCCTTTTGTTAGAATAAATGAGGAAAAACGAGTCAAATCTGAGAAACACAAACAGCTTTTCTGTCCTTAAATGCTCGCCGTAAACTTTCTCGACGTTTTCACACTTAAAGTCTTAAAGCCACCCAACAGCGATCCATAAATATGCAATCGTTATAAAAACTTCAAAATCACCTCCTCTTACCTCCTTTAAATCCACCAAAAAGCATAAAAGTACAATCAGCCATTGAAAGAGAAGAGGAATAAAAATGTAGAATCTCGGTACCTTTGGTATAAAACATTCCGTTTTTCTTCCTTTCTGTCTTTCTCTTGCTCAGTAGCGATCCGATAATAGCATATGGAAAGTGTTTTCAAAATGCCCAGATTTGGCACATTGTCATTGAAAAGAGAGGAGCGCAGTGATGCGGTGCTACAACAGGGGAAATGAGTTGCGGATTGGACGCAGCCCGCCTCGGTGCGGACTTATCCCACTTTAATTTAATATTCCGCAATCACACACACTAGTGATGGCATATAATTCAAGGAGAAATTCAGAGGGAAGGAAATGCTTTTGTGTGTGTGTGCGTGCGTGTTTTTTTTACACCACTTTATTTGATTAAGGAGAGAGGCAGCACAATATTGTGTCTTTTTCACCCCTTTTCCTCTCTTTTTTAACCTCCTTCTAATCTGCATCACTTTTATGTTTTATTCTCAATCAATTAAAGAATTGATAATTATTTGTTTTTATTTGCATCATGTATTTAAAAATCAACAACTCCGACTTCTTTGCGCGCTGGTGTCACACTGGAATCATCCCTAACATAAAATCAAGACCCATAAACGCTTGTTTGTAAAACACTGAACCCAAAATCAATGTATTGGGACATTTCAATCGATTATATAAACGAAAATCCATACGCAACATGAGACCGGTATCAGCCCACTCTTCCGCTCCCTTTTAAAGAGAGAGAGAGAGACAGACAGAGAGAAGGAGAAAGAGAGGGAGGGAGGGGGTGAAGAGAAAAAAGAAACAAAGACTGTCAATGCAGCCCTTTGCCTCAGTCACTTAGATCAGGGGCTTCTTCAACGTTTTCATGTCAAGGACCCCCAAATAGACACACCTTATGCCAAGGGTCCCTATTTAATTGGATTTGGTCCCCGAGACCCCCAATGTGAGTTTTTGTTGTTATTGATTAAGAAACGACTTGTAGACCTGGTGTAAAATGCGCAGATAAAACCTTTGTTCTTAAGTTTCTTCTCTGATCAGAATAATTTCAACTTAATGAAATCAAACTTTTAAAAAATACAGAATACAGAGACAGAAATCCTCGTCTCGCCAAAAGGAAGGGAGGATGCAAAACGCATGCATGCATGGCCTTCGCGGACCTTTAAGATTCCTTGAAGCCAACTTTTTTGGAGAACCGCTGACTCTTGATGTCAAAGTGCTTCCAGATGCGCAATGATAGTGCGAGTCCTGATGACAACAATTAGACAGGAAAAAATGCCCCCTAATCAAACAGGGCCACGTGGGATTATGTTGCATTTCAAGGGTCAAGGGGAACCGTTTCTGCTCCCCAGACTCCCTTCCCTCCTCCTCCCCGTGTCTTAAGAGCAAATATCACATTTCAGCATCAAATAAACTCACCCATGCAACAATCAAGCACTTCAGGCACTCTAATCAACTATGCAAATTCCCAGGGAAAGGCCTGGACATGATAGCAGTTGCATAAACTCTGCATTAATATGCAATATGATATGAAGGGGAGGGTGTAAGGAGGTGCCAATCATGTAAAATTTACATGGGACCACAGCTGCTAGGGCTCTCGTGCAGGGGAAGAGGTGGGGTGGAATTAGAGAAGGGGAGGGAGGGTTTGAGATTAGGAGACAGGGGTGGAGGAGGTGGTGGTGGTGGTGGTGGTGGTGGGGTCCGTGCAGCCGCTGGTGCCACTCTGTTTATTTGATAAGAGCAATCGATGGCCCCTGACTGTAAAGTCTTTACCCATGATGCAGGCGGGGCAAGAGCGAAAGGGGGCTGCCGGGATATTGCTCCCGAGAAAGAACAAGTGTTGTGGTGAGCAAGAAAGAGGAGGAGAAGAAGAAGAGGAGACACAAGAGAAGAAGAGGAGGAGGAGGAGGAGAAGGGTGACTTGGCAGGCGTCGTCGCCCGCATTTTGGAGGAAATCAACACACATACCCAGAAACACACACACACGCGCGCTCCCCATGTGCATCTCCCTCACACACACACACCACCACTAACACCACCACCACTGCTGTTTCCATTCACTCCACCTCGCCCTGCTGCCCTCCTCCCACTTGGCCCTTTGCTCCTCCGATCTTTTTCATTGTTGATCCCTCTTTAATAGACACGCGTCCGGTGAGTGTCCTCCATATATGGACAGAAGAACAAAAAAAAAGACCCCCCCTTTTTTCTCCTTTAACACGGTCTCCGCGTGATACCCCCAACACGCAACACACAACACACACATCCATCCGCCTCCAGCCCCGTTCAGCGCCGAATTCTATTGATTATCACTCAGATCCACATACACTTATAGAGCAGTAAAGCTGCCGTGCATGGGAATAATAGCACCTGTTTGACTCATATTATTGGTTAATAATTAATAAATAGCTGATCAAAATATTTCCAGGGACTTTTATTTTGAAATTTAACAAACAATTCCATCTATCTAAATTGTTAAAACTACATGCAAAATAAAAACAATACAAGTTATTGATATTCTATATTCTCATAATCCAATATCAAAAATGCTAAATTGAATAAAGCTCTAATAATAATAATAATAATAATAATAATAATAATAATAATAGTATGATTTTATTAAATTAAGACAACATAATTTTTTTGTACATCTATATCTGAGTCAAATTAAAGCTATAAAAATTTAATTTGATATCCATCAGAAGGCCTGCTTTTTAATGGCCTCATGAAAGTAACACTGCTATAGTGTGTGTTGTCACACGCCTTATTAAAGTGCTTTCTTCATGACAACCCTGGAGCTTGAACATGTCAATTTAGTGGTCTGAGAGGTCCTCACCAGGACCCCCCTCACCCCTCCTCTTCTCTCTAGGGGATGGTCACCCCTCCACCTTCCCAGCCCATCATCCATCCGTCCAGCCGTCCATCCATCCATACTCCTACCCCCTTTCTTTCCTTTCCTCTGACAGTCAGTGGGGCATCCCAACACGGCAAATAATCCAGTCAGTACCGAGAAGTCAGTTCAGTGGCAACAGATTGAGATCTGGACATCCGGGGGAAACAACGTCAAGAGGAAATTCAGTGGTGGGCAGAAAGAAATGTTACCCCCTGACTTTAGAGTGATATTACTGTCGTCGACAAGCACCACGACAAGCAGGCCTATGATTCTGGCAATGCTGCTGCTTAATTAATTTCTTATAGATCAGATTGTTCTTTTATAAAACTTAAATTTAAAAAAATTATTTCATTTTATTCTGATCTGAATTCCTTACAAATATCCTCCTTACTGTCAGGCTGTGACAGCATCCCTATAAATCTTTAAATCACAGTGTCAAGATTAAAAATTTAATATTTAAATGACTTCTAATTTTGATTTATTTTTTTAAAAGTCTGAATCAAAAAGTGTTCAAGTGTGTATTCTCCTCTTCTCTCTGTATTTGTATGAAAGCACCACAAAGCACAGATAAACCATCCCACTTTGTTGTCAGCTGTGAGTGTGTACAGTCAGTCAGTTAGTCAGTCAGTCTCCTGCCTGGACGCCATCATCCATCAAGCCAACCAAGTCAACCGGAGGCGCAATGACCAATGCGTAAATGCGCACGGATTAGTGGATGCAGCCCAGACAAATTGGCAACGCTTGAAGCGAAAGAGAGAATAAAGAAAGAAACAGAGAGAGGGAGAGAGAAAGAGAGGCGTCAGATTTTGAGGTGTGCGTTGACCCTGAAAGATGCTTGTTGGCTTCCTCACTGCATTAGAAGAGTCCTTATGAGGGCTCTTCAGCCTCCTTTCCTAGTGACCATCATTAGACCACATGACCCGAGTTCAAGCAGCCGCTTGTGCAAGTGTCCGCCGTGCCGAAGTGTCATTGAGCAAAAGCGTTGAGACCCATTCTGCTCCAGACAAATGTTATGGGGGGCTGCGTCTGGCCTCTGACCTTTCTGTGTGAGGGGGGCAAAAGACAAAGGGGGAGGGTTTACTCCAAGAGAATCAGCATGGGTAAAAAGAAAAAAATGACACAAAATTTTGACGGAAAGCAGCAGAGGTCAATCTTTTTCCTTTTGAAGCTTTTGTCACTTAATGAGTGGAAGATGTTTTCCTCTCCGCTCCCCTAAACTGTAAAAAGTGATTCATAAAAAGAAAATCTTATTTTCATCATTAGCAGCTTGTTACAGCTTATAAAAAATATTTAAAAAATAATTGCAAAGTGTTTTAAAAAATTTGCATAAACTAATTAGAAATATAAATTAATTAGAAATAGATAGATAGATAGATAGATAGATAGATAGATAGATAGATAGATAGATAGATAGATAGATATTGTCACACAGAGTCAATATTATATTTGTGCTATAAACGCCTTAACTTGAGCTAATTCACAACTTTACACTCAAGCAAACAGAGGATAACAGTGAGAATGTGCACACATCCCCTCAGTACACACACACATACTCACAAAAGCCATACACAAACACAAACTCTGTTATGTTTTCAATTTGGGTTGAAATGTAGACATTTTCCCTTGGTTGCATAACTGCCATGCGTATCGCCCCTCCCTTCAATTAAATGCTATTTCTCCCAAACAAAATGTCAGAATCATTCCACACAGGCTAGTTCAACAGTGATTTGTTCTGAAAGCTATGTGTCTTTCCCTGAGATGGTGTGTGCACTTATGTGTATGTGTATATGTGTGTCTGTCTGTCTGTTTGTGTGTCCTGACCTCAATTCTAACTGGGTTCACAAAGGGACAGAAAAAAAAAAGGTGCCTAAAAATACATTTAATTCACAATCAGCCCAACTGAGCTGAGAATGACAAATCCTTTTAGAACAGCCCACAGTCAGATGTGAGATTAGGAAGAAAAAAAAAAAAAAACACGCACATACAATCATGCACGACGCGTTCATACATGCATGAGGTGGTGCAAACAACACACCTGCGTGGACTCACACAGGAAATGGTAAAAAAACACAATCAGATTATAAAAGAGGAAGTGTTTGGCCAAATCTGCACTCATGGTCTGAAAACACTTCTTATATTTTCATTGTTTTTTTAGTGCGTAAATATTGAATGAATTATTCAAATAAAACTTAAAAATCCTTATTTCTTTTATGATTAATATTTAATTTTTGTTCTGCACCAATGGAATAAAACAATCCCACATTAAAGGAATCTAAATGCACTGCATATGTTCATTAGAATGAGGGAAATTATTGAGAAATAAAGTAGCAAAAAAAAATCTCAAGAGAAAGTGAAAGACTGTGATTTTTTTTCTTATTTTTTTGTATTTTGTTGTTGACCCTGTTGGATTTATTTAAGGCGATATCGCTTCAGTCGCTGCGGTCGTTCATCTTTCCTGTATGGCTAAGGCTCTCTGCTCAAGTCCACTGTGCTGAGAGAGATTCCAAGATGGCGGCGCACCTGTCATAGAGGTGGATTGTCCTGATTATGTATGGAGATCACCTCAAGGCCTCTGTAAGCTAGGCAGAGCATGCACACCTTGAGTTGCTGGTTCAATGCCGGTCAAAAGCCGGTCCTTCTTAAAATCTCTGACTGCCCCCTTCCAAAAGAAAGGATAAACCTCAGCAGTGTCTCCCCTCTCTCTCTCTCTCTCTCTCTCTCTCTCTTTCTCTTGCTTCCTTTCTCTTTCTCTCTCTCTGTCTCTCTCTCTCTCTCTCTCGCCCCCTCTCTCACATCAGAAGCGCTGAAATGCACCCCAGGGCCAAATCGCACAGAACAACCCCTCTGAGCCAGAGAAAAAAGCTGGAATCCGTTTGCCCTGATATTTCACCAGCACCAGCCAGGAGCGAGTGGAGAGGGGAAAGACAGAGAGAGAGGGAGAGAGAGAGAGAGAGGGAGAGAGAGTAAGGGGGTGAGAGAGAGAGGGAGACTGGGGCTAGAGAAAAAGGGATAGATGGGAAAACGGCAGACCAGGGCTGTATTTATTGGGGGTGTGAGTGCCGCGCTGTAGGCTGTGGGATGGTCGGGGAGAGTGCAAGGTGTTGCTGTTAGGTGTGGTTGAGGTTTTACAGAGAAGGAAGAGCATGCATAGATAGGATGGTGGAGGAGGAGGAGGAGGAGGTGGAGAAAAAAGAGGGAGAGATGGAAGGATTGGTCATGCGCAAGGTAAGAGAGAGGCTTTGTTTGATTGTATGTGGGAGGGGGGGTAGAGGTGGGGGTGGGAGGGAGGGGGCTGAAGCTGTCATCTGTGGGGTTATTATTATTGCAGGCAATCTTTGTGTGTGTGTGTGTGTGTGTGTGTGTGTGTGTATGTGTGTGTTTGTGTGTGTCTAAGAAGGGGAAGGAGAGATGGGGAGATATGAGATTCAGCTGCGGGGTCATTATTTTTTTCTGACGCATGTCATGGGGCTAAAAGAAGGCGCGGAGTCACATGATCGGTGACATCACTAATGATCCAGGCCCATTTACATGCCTAACTAGGTGAAGTGCAGCAGGTGCCAGCTGAAGAAGTGACCAGTGTGTTTTTGCCACCTATTGATCTATTGATTTGAGTGTTAGGGTTACACTCCAATACAGTATACGTGACATCTGGAGCGCAACATAAACACATGCAAACACGGGAAGGCCTCGCACATTAACACAGCTGCCAATATCTTCATAATATTGCCAAGAGGATGGGCTACAGTGAGAGAGAGGCGATAAGAAAAAAAGGGCAGGGATATAAAAGGATATATGGTTTGAATAAAAGTGAGATTAGAAATAAGAGTGCAAGAGAGGAGCATTTTTTCGCCATTTCACCCAGTTTAATAGGAGGGACAGTTAATGGGCCTTTTTTATCGGGTGCAGGCATCAATCAAGAGGTGTCAGGCGGCCGCTGAATCTGGGCTGTGGTCCTCTTCACAGATGACTGATTAGCAAGCCAAAATCACCAGATCCATCTTCCGACGGTCACTTTTATT